ACAATGCTACCCCCGGGGTACTATTAACTAACTAATTAGAGGCAAGCAATTGTTAGTAACAAAGGACAATAAGACTACACTAGGCGCACTACGACGCGTCAACTAATTGCCTACTCTTTTAAGGATTCTACCTCTTCCCTAATGCGCCCTATAGGTCCCCCTCTTATTCTTTATTCTATCGAGGCCTCGAGACCTAAGCGTTTAACAAGGGCGACGCGCGCGCGCGTACGAATAACAGTAATAAAGGTAATAGTGTCGCGCTACGAGCTAGCAGTGCGCCGGCGGCTAACGCGGCTATGTTAGTAACGGTGTTACTAAGTGTATTGTTAGTCGAAGAAGGAAATTAAAAGCAAGGTAAAGTTAGCGCTAAGACGACTAGCGCCGCTATTGTTAACATTACTTACTATTGTCGCTACGCCGTAGGTATAACCTTACCTATACTACGAGCCTAAGGCACTGCACTAGCTAAGTTAAAAGATTGAGCCTATTAAGGGTTTAATCAAAACTTTAAAGCTAAGTCAAAACTTTAACTAAGTTAAAAGATTAAGCGACTAATAGACTAACTAAGGGCAAAACTATAGAGCTAAGCTAGCCGGGGTCGATCTTGCGGATAATAGGTTACTCCTCGATCTATCTAACCCTTTAAGCGAGGCGAACCTCTACTACTATACTTATAATAGCCTTTACCTATAGAAACTAGACGAGCTGTGTTTTTTCGGAAAAGATAAGATAAGATTAACAATTAAAGGCTACTAAACCTAGCCAATTAGGGCTAGCGAAACCACGAACAATAATAGCCCTCGTAACGATAAGAACAACCCTCGGAAGCGGATATAGCTAGGTCTTTTAAGAGTAGACGCAAAGAACTCGGTACGACATTACGCAGAGCGGAGGTAGGGCTGCAATACCTCGTACGTCTACCTATTATAGTAGGGAAGACGCGCTCGTATTGTAATTAGTCGAAGGCCCTTAATTCTTGTAGATATATATTACTTTATAGTTTATTATATATAGGGATAGCGCAGTTAGAGTTGGATATTGTATTAGAAGGTAAGGTTTGACATAGTTACATAATCAGGTAGTTAAGTGTTTAATTTAGCGCGGACTGAGCGGCTTATTAGACCTACTAAGTTAGCAGCAATAGGGGTTGAGACTAGAACAAAGACCGGCTACGAGGGCGCGGCCTTTAGAAGGGAAGCGTATATTAGGGCTAAAGAGGCTATACGTAATTGGCATGTAACTAGGCCGAGTGAAGCTAGGGTCTTAATGCCTTAGGCAGGGCTTAGTGCTTAGCGTTAGGCCAACTCTCCTGCCTTTCTCCCTCTCCTCCTAGAGCTCTATCGAATACTAAACTGATTTACTACTACCCTATCTATCTGCTGACATAACCCTTCTTATATAAACCTTCTATAGAAGGAGGCTAAGGAGTTGCTAGTAGTTAAAGAAGGCTCTCGAAGTAAGGCAATAGTTATTAAGAGGGTAGAGTTTAAGGCGCTCGAGTTAAGGGTTAGTTAGTTAGAAGCGACAATTGCCTCGCTCGTAAAGTAATAGTGCTTAACCTACGCTCTTTAGGAGTCGAATATAGCGGTAGCGGCGAAGGTTATTAATTGTTAGTAGTAGTCGAAGATTGCTTAGGCTCCTAACTCTTAAAGAAGTTATATAGATTAGGCTAGTTATACTATATAACCTCGTAGGCTCTATAGATAGTAATAGGACCGTAGTAGATATACATCTTAGTTGTCTTATGCTTACTGCGCTTATTAATAGGCTACTATTTGAATTGCTAGGCCGTTCTTACGTACTTATAGAGATAGTAGCGCTACTTAGGTAATAGAGGCTTTATTACGTAGACTGCCTTTCTACTACGCTCGAGGCGTCGTTTCTCTTCCGCTATAGGCAAGCTATTACCTTTCCTAATCTAATAGCGTTTGGATCTTCTTCTACTGCTATTATAGGTATAACCTACGATAAACTAGCCGTAGTTTCGAGGGGGTAGCGGAGTTAGTGTATAAAGAGCCTTTACTACGGCCTCTTCGGCAAGGCGAGTATTCTTCTTACTCTATGCCTTCTAAACTATTTGCTACGCTAGTTTAACTCGAAACTCTCTTTAGTAAGTAAAGTCCTTGTTCTTCTTATCGCCTCGAAGAAGTATAAATACGTTAATAATAGCTACGTCGAGAAGGAAGTAGAATAGCAGGTACTATCCCTTCCTCGACTTATACTAAGAGGAATAGTAGAACCGGAGTTAATCGTAGATATCTATATCGCCTATATAATTATTATAGAGTGCCGCGATCTTCGGAATTTGTTTAGGTTCTCGTTCTGCTTTCTAGTAAGGTTGTACGTAGGTATCGATAAAGGTGTTATTATAGGCTCGTAGGCGTACCTATATACGAGTTTTATAGCTTTAGGGGTCGATAGTATTCGTAAGGAACTAAACGAGATTTCTGTCCTACTAGACGATCGCCGCTATACCGTAAATTACCTTATATATAAGTGTATCGAATAGGAAACGAGTCGTCTTATATTCGAGTAGTATAAAGGTCGATTTCTTCCTTATCCCGTTCTTTAGAACCTAACCTAGTTTCTCGAATTTAGCGCCTCTCTAAGGCTACGATAAGGAGCCGGATCGTATAGTGCCGCTCGTAGCAATACCGAGATGCTTTAGTATAGCGAATAGGACTATATTATTAAATAAATTGTCTATATAGACGTAGAAGAAGTATATCTAGAAAGGGAGTTATAATAAGAGTCGAAGGATAGCGACCCTTAGCGGACTTAGCTATACGCTAAGATCGAGTCTATAGGCGTAGTTAGTCGGTTATATGCTACTAGGCTCGCTTACGGCGCTTTCCGTATTGTTAGCGCCTCTCGAGGTAGATACGTAGAAGTCGACCTTTATTTTATTAACCTCGTAGATACTACTTAATTTATTATAACTACTACCCCTAGTAAGCTTATTAAGCCTATCTCGACGCCTCTTATTACTCTCCTTCGCGCGCTCGGCGATTTTAGCGATTATAGACTTTTCGCGGACGATAATATACCTCTCGAGAACCCTAGTTACGAATTCGTCCGTTTCGGCTTCCTAAGAGTATTACTTTCGAGGGCTCGAGAATAAGAAGGAATATAGGTATCTACCCTCGTATAGGCAAAGGACATAGTATCTAATTAGTATAGGCTTGCCTCGCATTATTATAATATAGCTAGATCGTCCTATAAAGCGGATTATAGACTCGTCGATCGATAAGTTAGTACTAGGTATAACGATAGTCTTAAACCTCTCTTATAATAGGTCTACTAATAGCAAGATCTACGCCTACGTAGGCAAACTAGACCCTCTTAGAATAGGACTTCTATACTATAAAGCGGCCTTAATTTATCGAAAGCGCTACTTACTTATATATTTAGCGATTAAATAGATAGGCTAGTATTTGTCGTCTCTTTAGTAGTCCGATTTGTCGTCTATTTAGATTATAGATATATAGACGATTAGGGCTACGAAGATTATTATATCTTTACGCCCTACTAGTTTTTATAGATATCCGAATACGAAGATCTGCGGTTACTCTTTACTATCGATCCGTAGATTTCTAGATAAGTCTAGTTTAAACTCTTCTCGAGTCTCTATATACTTATTAGTATACTTAACTAGCTAGTTTATAACCTCGTCGGTTTATAATAAGTAGAAGAACTTATACTATACGTTATTAACCTTTAACAAGTCGCCTTATAGGTATAAAGGCAAATTCAACTTTCGCTTATACTTAGTCCCCTATAGTAGTTTAAAGGGTATCTTATTCTTATCGTCTTCCGCTAGATAATATAGGCCGCCTACCCTATTATTAACGCTAATAGCCTTAATATCGGCCTTATTTCTAGCAATATATAGCTCCTAATCTAACCCTCGAGGCGCTGTAATAGACACCGGTTTAATAACTAGATCCGCTATCGACGAGTATAGATACTTATTATACTTAATTAGATTAGTAAAGGCCTTATCTACCTACTATAACTACCCTTCGTTATCTTCTTTATTAGCTTCTTCTATATTAGCGATAGTCGCTATAAAGCGGTCTATTTGCTAGTACTAAATAAGCGTGTTTAACTTTACGGTTTAAACCTTTAGGAGTTAGAATCCTACCTCCGAAGGCGGCGGCACTAGAAGAGGCATAGTTATATACTAAACGAGTCTAATAGACTCCTTATTATTCACCTGCAAGGCGCTACACTAATTGCTAAGTATATAGATACTACAGGGTGGAATGCCTGTTTAGCCGACGAACGCTCCGAGCGGACGAGTTTTACAAAGGGATGTGCCCGTCACCCGCGCACGGGTAAACAGAACAGGGCTAGGATCGTTCCAGAAAAAACCGGGAGACTTCGCTTGCATGGCCAGCCAGGCGGCTCTTCGATGGGCCAATTGATCTTCACCGCTGCCCGCTGGCCCAATATACATCTGGCGGGCCTCGCGCTGCAATCTGCCTCTCCTCCGGGCCTCGTGGTGGGTGGTGGGCGGTGGGCGGTGGGCGGTGGGCGGTGGAGGATCTTGCACACGCACCCGCACCCGCACACGCACCCGCACACGCACACGCACACCCTTCCCTTCCCTCCCCTCGCTCTTGCGGCCGGCATATTATTGCCCATGGATGTGTGGCTCTCGCCCGACTAGCGTCTGCCGTGTGCTCGGTTCGTGATGCATGGTTAAATGCACATCCATCAGGTCCAAGGCTCCAAGCGGCTCCAGCTGCTGAGGCGAAGGCCGCGAAGCCCTGCACGTCCCCGCGTTCTCGTGCCTGCGACCTTCCTCTTCATGAGACTTGAGTTAATGAAATGAACAGTCACGCTATGGCGTACCGGCTCCACAGCGATGCGACATCACTGAACCATCCAAGCTCCCCTACCTGTTGCTTGTCCTTGTTGCTCTCTCTTCTGCAGCTCTTCGCCGTCCGTAATGCTTCTCTACCTCACCAACATGCCGTTTCGGTGACAGCACAACGATGGCAATTGCACAGAACAGCATCGATCTGGCGGCTATATCGAGGCCTATCGAGCGCCTGCCGGTCAGGAAACCAAGCGGCGAGCCGAAGGAGGCCATGAATTGCAAGAGTTGTCGAAAGCGAAAGGTATCCTCACCTGACCGGCCAGCCTCCTCTTGGCTCAAGCCTGCCGCTAACGCCTCGGCAGATAAAATGCAACAGAATGAACCCCAGCTGCGAGGCTTGCTCCGTCTTTAACTGTGCGTGTATATACGATGCCATCCCTAAGAAGCGTGGTCCCAAGACAGACGTGCTGGAGGCACTGCTCAAGCGGGTGAATGGTTTAGAGAAGCGTCTCAAGGACGAGAACAAAAACGCCTCGCTATGTGCAAAATCGTCAAACTCTGCAACTGATCCGCAGGATGCTCCTAGGACTACTGAACGCGATACGATGCCGACATCGCCACCCAGTCAGGACACGAAAAATGCTGAGAGGCGGCAGTTGAAGGCAGCACCGATACCGATTGAACCAGCACCTCCAGCAAGAGAGGCCCTAGCCTTTACAGACGCTCTGCTTGATACGTATTTTGCTCGCCTGCACAACAAGCCATACTACATTCTGGACGAGACAGCAACAAGACAAAGATTGCGTGACGGTCGCCTACCAGGGTATCTAATAAATGCCATCCACGCTGTTGCCATCAGATATGTTCCGCATCTCAGTGCAGGCTACGGTGGCGCTGTGCGCTCCAGCCAGGACTACGTAATGCGTGCGAGGCCTCAAATCGATGTCGACGAGCCAAACATTGACAACCTCCAGGCGCTTTTGCTGCTTGCGATGGCAAACTTCCAGAATGGCAAGGGAAAGAGGTGTTATATGGTCTTGACCCATGCAGTGAGCATGGCTTTTGCTCTAAACCTTCACCGGGAGCTTCCAGCCGAGCTTCGAATAGCGCCTTCAGAACGGGAAGGACGTCGGAAACTCTTCTGGACATGCTATCTCATGGATCGTTTTACTGTCAGTGGCTCGAAACGCCCATCCCTTATCTCAGACGACTCGATTCATCTGAGATTGCCAGCGTGGCAGCCACCCGGCTCTCGAGTTTTGGCAGATGGCAACTTCTTCTCACATGGCTCGAGCTTGCTATATGCGTCAGGAGTATCAAGTGGAGTACAAGGAAGTGGTACAATGCTCATTGAGATCGTGCGAGTTCTTGGTGTCACCAATCGCTATCTAGCCGGCGGTGGCGTGAAGGGCGACTCGCACTTTCCCTGGCACGCCCAGTCTACACTTTCAAGGATCAGATCGGATGTAGACTACTGGGCGGCGGCTACACAGGAAGTCTTCACATCGATTGATACGCTCTTTGGATCTCACGACAGCTCAACACTTGTGCTAAGCAAGCTCATTTACCATTTAGTCCATTGTTTGATCTATCGACCATTTCTCCCCATCGATCTTGCTGAACTTTCAGGTTCAGCGCAGCATCAATCATGGCAAATAGAAGCCACCAATCTGTGCTTTTTACATGCAAACGCAATTGCCGAATTGGTGGAGATTGGAAGGAACACATCACTGCTAGACTGGCCATCATTTGTCGGCTACGCAATATGCACAGCGGGCACAATCCATGTGCACGGTGCTCACTACCTTTCCTATCGCGATGGCGATGCTTTCTGTCACAGTGCTGACTTTTTGTCACGTGAGATGAATCAATTACAGGAGCTGCGAGCGATATGGTCCGGAGTGCAGCATCAGAGAGACACTTTGCAAGCTGTCTATGGAAGCCATGCTCAGCTTGTAAAGTCGTTGGCGAGCAGTCCCATGCGCTTTTCGCCGGTTTTCCAAATGGAGGATTTCTTCGACCGCTACCCAGGGTGTTACATTGATGGGGCACATGTCACATTCTCCGACATTGTTCCTGATTCGCTGAATGAAGGATATCAAATGTTCAACGCTCATGACATGTGGCTACAGGAGACCACTTATGCTCCTCATGTGCCTTCTCAGCCACCGTCTCATGCACCCGGTGTGGAGAGGAAGCCGAAGAAGAGACGCTCATCGACTTCATCGCTGCCTTACCCAACCCCAAGATCGGGTACGGACACGTTGCTTCAACAATCGATCGAGGAACAGCACTCTACGGCGCTAAGCAGTGTCCCAGAAGTCGCGGTTACGGACGTGATGAATGGCACCTACGAACCTGGCGACGAACACGAGCACAATCCCATACTGTTTCAAGGCAGTGTCACGCCGAACTTCGCCTTCAGCCCAATTCAATCTGCGCTCACACTGAAGAACCAAACATCACATGATAGCACATACCACGGGCAGGTCATGGACCAGCAAACGCCAAGTGGATTCAGCGGCAGTGCTGAATCGGGCAATCACGAAAGTGAGAACGATCCATTCCTCAGTCTTTTGGAACAGCTAGCGGACGACAGTGATACTGGCTCTGATAGACATCCATCGCATGATATGAAGTTCTACCTGACCAACAAAGCATCGGCTTAAGGAGTCTGACGAAGTGGCAGGTGGTCGTGGCAGATGCATAGGAAATCTTGAAGGATATCGAATGTACTTGGGATTTTCTCAGAGGTATAGCCTGGACGCTTCCTGCAAACGCCACGCTCGCTGTGCACAACCAATTTTGTTCATCAGAATTAATAGCCCCCTTTGATACCGTCGGTGACGCGGGCTCACAAAAGTCCAGGAATGATAGCCTTTCGGTTTCCGACTCGTTCCTTCCCAAACTTCTCCAAGTACCACCGCTTTCCTGCCAGTGCTTGTGGCAGCATGGTCGCAATCTCGTTGATCAGGAAGGTTCTTGCAGGGATGCAGTCCCAACCTCCTATCATCCAGAAACCAAGCCATTCGAACCATTCGCAAAGATAATGTGGGTACAGGATGAAGTGGAAGAGGCCATTCTTGGGAATCATGTAAAGCTTCTCAATGCCAGCGACCGGCTTGCCGTCCTTCCTGGCCTGCTCCTCCTGGCGGCGCTTAGCGGACCTTCTGATCTCGCGGAGATCGTCATCGTGAAAGAGGTTGCCCAAAAAGCTCCAGCCCCAGACGACCAGGCCCAGTTCGATCATGTAGAGCTTGCCAGCCCAGTCATAGATCGTTTGTGGTCCGTAGCCTCCCAGCCAGCCGCCGAGAGATAGACCATTCATGACTTGCCATGCAAATGCCGAGACGAGAACTATTGGATGGATTGGTGACATGGATGGATTGAGGAACAGCGGCGAGAGCACAGCGCGGTAGATGTAATGGATTGTGTAAATGCCAGCCATCGTCCAGTTAGCCCATGGTACACCTCGGAGACCCTCCGCTGGCGGAATTGCGAGCATGCAGTAGTTGAGCACAAGGAAGCCGGGACTTTCCATGATGAACCACGCCCATTTGCCTGGAACGTTGAATTTGGAGTCGACAGATGTCTTGCCTTTGGGGAAGTAGTCGCTCACCCATTGGAAGGCGGTGATCTATTTCCGCCCGTCAGTGAGAGGACTCCTTATTATTGGGCAGAAGCATTGCGAGACGCTCACAATTGGGAAGAACTGCCATGCCCAGACGATCAATTCCCAGTTCTCGCGCGAAGGTGGCAGGACACCTTCGATCAACGGCGGCAACGTAGGCATTGTCGGCAACTCCATGTCGAAGAGAGAAAGGTGGTGGTGGTAGTGGTGGTGGTAGTACTTCAGTCGTCGTTCTCGGCAAAGGCGCGACAGGCATTGTGGCGGTGGCCTCATTTCGTCTGCCGAGCTAGCGAAAGCTTATTCTATATTGATCGCCTTGAGATGACTAAGTTGACTTCGAACATCTCAACAGCTGTCGATTTCGCGCCCGACGAGCTTCGAGGTGAGAGCGAGCCATGGCCGACCAGCCACTGCGCATCACGGAATACGATGAAGCGGACACGGTGACTGCCACCTACGTGCAAAGCGAAGGAAAGAGCCAAGGACTGAGCAGAGTCGATGTCATTGTATGTCAGCACTCGTGGTCGACGATGGCTCCTCAGCATTATTTAATATTGACTTCGACATAGCCACCACCCAGAGATCTCACGTCACTCTCACAGACCGCGTGGCAACGAGCGGTGGACGTGTTCCTGCCGGTCGGCTTTCCCCACAGCGTGTCTGAAGACTACCTGGAATATCAAATCTACGATTCTCTCCAAGCCTTCTCAAGCAGCATAGCCAGTCTATTGTCTTCGCGCGCTGTTCTCTCCAGTGTCGGGGTCGGTGATTCGACCGCATCTCCCACCGCAGCCATCATCCTTTCCATCCTACAAGACTCGGTCGGCCGTCTCGCAACAATCCTGTTTGCCCACAGCTTCGGCACATCATTGGAGCCAGAATGCAAGATGTACAGACTCCTTGCCGATGTCTTGAACGATACTGGCTTCGTCCTTGACTGCATGTCTCCGTCTTCCCAAAGCCAATCAGAGTCGTCGTTCTCAGCCTCAGCAGCGTTTTGCGATCACTGTGCGGAGTCGCCGCTGGTAGCTCGAAAGCAAGTTTGAGCGCACACTTTGCGAAGCAGGGCAATCTCGGAGAGCTCAATGCCAAAGACTCTAGCCAGGAAACAGTGATTTCACTGGTTGGAATGATGGCCGGAAGTCTGGTCATATCCTGGATCACCACACCTATCGCGACTTGGACAGCTCTGATATTGCTCCTCTCAATCCATCTGGAGACTAATAGGAGAGCTGTAAGGGCCGTGAAAATGAGGACTCTGACACGTCAGCGAGCAGCCTTGATATACTATCAGGTACAGCAGAACAAGACCCCAACACCAGATTTCATTGCGAGCCAGGAGCGCATATTCGAGCGAGACGGCGTCCTTCGCAATGCTAAAGCCGAAGTACTTGGCTTTTGTTCCGTCGGAGTTCCCTTGGCACGCTTGCTGAACTCCATTGGTGAACAGCACAGTCAGACTAAGTCTTCCACTATGGCCAGTGAGAAATTCACGCGAATCTTGCATCTATACCAGACGAGCGCTTTCATCCTCTGGTCCGACAGACACTCGCGTTCGAGGAGGAACAGTCTCTTCATCGTAGTGAAGAAGAGTGCTGTGTCTCGAGACTTGATCCTTGCATGGTGGCAGGCGCTGATATTCGCTGACGACTCATTGAGCGACTCTTCGCGAGATGAGAAAGCTGACGACTTTGACCAACTTTTGAAACGATTCTCAAGATCTCTGGATACTGCCAAAAGCCTGCTAGAGAAGCACGAACTGAAGTTAAAGGAGGCTGGGTGGAATCTGGAGTTGGGTGCGATCCAGACGGTGGCAGGGACGACCGTTGCAATTGAGCATGCCGAGGCGTGATCACGAGAGTGCTGACAGAATTCGCTCGAGCTGGAGTACGACCGGTTTTAGAGATCATGCAAATGCCTGATTATAGATTAGAGGAGCTGGGCAGCTCCGGCTGCTGCATCACCACATCCCGGGCCTGCTTGCTCTTGCGTCTGAGCGATTTGACTTCCTCCTGCAAGTCCTTGTTCTGCTTCTCAAGGTCTTCAATGCGTTCACTGAGGGGCTCCATCTGTTCTGCTGCACCGGCACTCAGCTCGTCAATGATCTTGAGCACTCGCCACAACCTCAAGACCACCACAATCGAGCCAATCTCTTCTAAGGTTCCTCTGAGCAGGATGTCGATGATCAGCCCGGCAACAATCACAATTGCCTAAAGACAAAGCGTTAGAGATCAACAAGACTGTGTGCTCAGTAGCACAGCATGATTCATTGAAGTACTCACATCAAAGCAGTGGAAATACGAGTTGAAGAACGCGAGTCCAAATGACCATATACTAGCCAATAACTCAACCATGAACAGGCATGAGAACACCAAGCTGACTATCCCAAGGACCTGTCCTGCTTGATCGGCATCTTTCTTCGGAATATGGCCTTCGCAAGCCAGAGACGTGATAAGAAGATCTGCAAAGATGCAACTGATATCGAGCGAAACCAGTAATAGAACAGCATAATGACCAGTCTTGCTCGTCAGAAATTTTTTGGTCTCTTTTCGTGCTGAAGCTGCTGCTGAACTCGCTGAGTGTTCGACAAAATGTATTCGATCTGAAGGCAAGAGTGGTCTGTGTTCATCCTGCTCACTACCGGGTCGCTGGACGTGCTGAGGCTTTTTGTTCGGATGCCAGATAAATGATCGAAGACGATCACCTAGCAGTTCCGGTCTCTGAGTGCTGAGCATCGTCTCGATGTCTACATGTGATGATGTTGCTTGGCGTGCTGCTGGGGTGATGGGAGCTAGGAAGGATGTTTTGAGGATGCGGCGGATGGGATCGAAGTGGAGGATCGAGCTTTGGGCGACTGCCGGTCTTTCCTTCTTGCAACACGCATGCATGACATATAGCGAAAGCGAGACTATCTTTTCTTCTTCTTCTTCTTCTTCATCATCATCATCGATCGCCTCTGTAAGACGTTCTCACAGTCTTTCGTGTTCTCAGACCGATTGGAACACTTCCATATGCCTTCCCTTTGATCTCGAATTCCACCCTCCGCTTGCTCGCGAACCACGACACCAATGCGAACACTACCGCTATTATCATAGCACGCGTCTGCTCAAGAAAATACACAGAGACATGATGATTCTAACCCGTCCATCGACTGCCATAGAATAGGGTTGTCGGTCTGAGAAAAGAGCAGCTTGAAGCGAGACGTCGGATGGATCAAAAGAGCTGGCCACTTGGTCTCTGCACCCTGGGAGCTACATCCATGGCGACTCGCCGACTGATTTATAATTTTATCGTCTGAGCTGAATCGGATGCCTGTTTGTGTGCTACGAGGCCATTTCGCAGGAAGCGACTTATCATCCACACCGAGGATTGAAGGAGATGCGTGTGGCCGTTTCTGAAGCTCCCGGCTTCTCAGCGCAGTCCGCAGTTTCCCAGGCTTCATGCAACCCGTATCCTAGAAAGAAATATTACTCCATCCAATAAGCACAAAATTGGGGATCTGGTCTACTGGTAGGGCACAAGGGGCCTCAAGCAGATAACTTTCCTTACTGTGAGAGGTGGACGATTCATTTAGTCCAGTACCGTAACTTGGATGTCGTTTTCGAATCCGACGTTCTCCATCGTCTGTTTTTGCTTTTCTTTTGACCCTTGCACATGCTCACCTCTATGTTCAGCCTTCTTTCTACTACTTCCTTTCCTTACATCCTACGATCGTGCTGACTTTTGCAGCTAGATTATTTTACAAGCTCGCTTGCTGCTTGCCTGTTGCCTTTGACAGCGCTCCGCAGAAGATCTTCCCTCAGGCCCTAAAGCTATGAGGTACCACAGAGCAAGTGCTCCCTTGAATTGGTATGCACAACCTCTGCTTTTGTTCGGGTTTATCACATGCTACACTGAGCAGATACGACGATCTTGCCTTTTACGACCGACTGACGGCGTAACTCTAGAATGCAGCTCCCTTCCTTCTACATCTATTTCTCGCCTACAAGCTGATCCAAGTCTAGATTCTCCTTCGGCATTGGCCATTGGTTTTCACTAGCATCCGCTGTTGGCAGATAGTGAACTGGTCTGCTTTGTCTGCCTCGCACTGCTGCACAAGAAAGTGGTTCCTTTCTGCCCTTTGAATTCCTCCTGCCTCTTCTGGACATCGGCTGTAATACAGAACAGATATCTGTGGTCTCTAAACAACCCTCCGAGATCATATCGAATCGGACGATCACACTGATCCATGGATGTGTCTGCATGGCCACGAGAAAGGCTACCATTAGCTCTGTGTGCATCTGTTTGCGTTACATTGATATGAGGTGGACTTCGAGTGGCGCCGAGAGCTGTAGCATTTGAAATTGCTGATAAGTACATCTCTTCAGCGATCGCACAGGCATCAGTATACCTCTCTCGGGCCTTCAATACAATCCAGCAGGATACCTACACAGGAGCACGCCAAGATGAAATTGATAGCATCATCTACCCTAGCGATGGCTTTCAGTGGCCTTGCAGCACCCTTCCCAGAACCCGATCTCGAACTGGAAGCCCGCGCAAGCTCCGTCCTGGGCTTTGACATTTCGCACTATCAATCCAGCGTAGACTTCAGCTCAGCTTACAGTGATGGTGGCCTTCGCTTCGTCTACAGCAAAGCTACCGAGGGAACAACTTATAAGGACCCTGCGTTCTCCTCCCACTACACAGGAGCGACAAACGCAGGCTTCATTCGTGGCGGCTACCACTTTGCTTCCGGCACAGGAGATGGCAGCCAAGAAGCTAACTTCTTTCTCGCGAATGGTGGAGGCTGGAGTAATGATGGAAGGACTCTTCCTGGGATGTTAGACCTTGAAGGAGACTGCAAGTCCGTATCTTGGGTAAGCGACGAGCAAACATCGAAAATTCAAGAAGTTTTCCGCCGACAGATCTAGATCCGGACTTTCAGAAATACCTACCACGCGAAGACTGGGCGATATCCGACGATTTATAGCAGCCCAAGCTGGTGGAGCTCCTGCATCGGCAACTCGAATGCTTTCGTAGACACGAATCCGCTCGTCATGGCATGCTACAATGCTAATCCCTGCACTCCACAAGGAGGATGGCCGTATTACACGATATGGCAATATAAGGACTCAAATCCTTATGGAGGAGACTCAGATCGCTTCAATGGTGATATGACGCAGCTGAAGAAGCTGGCAAGTGGATAGGAACCATCCGCGAGGAATGGTGAAGAAGAAATTGTCCAGATCAAATGACTTGTTGCACGACAATCACCACAAGAATGACACTTGTCAAGATCCAGCCTATTCGAGATAGCACGCGCAATGTGACATGTGATCTTGCTCGCTCTCACTCAAGCACACGTCACAAGCTATCGCTCACTTACATTCACCTCACCGCCGCCAGCTGGCACGTGCTTGGGTGAATCAAGCTCCAAAGCTCTCGGCTACTGCCGCTGCACTCTCTTGACTTTAAATGCTTCTTTCGCAACAACAACTTGACACACTACATACACTTTTCGCTTGGGTTGCCCTTGCATCACTAACACATACACAAGTCGCCGGAGTATTGCGACTCATTTGTCACTTCAAGCAACACAAAAAGCCCCAGGTACGTCGCATCATCTGCCACTCACGCGGAGCTCTTGGTGTACATATAATTTCCCGGACTTGAGACGTTGTCGTTGCTATGCCAGAACAACACGAGAAAGAGCAGGATCATCTAACCACCGGAACACCACACAGAAGCGCATCCGTGACCTCATCTCACACCATGGCCAACGAGGACCACAAGCGCGAAGATGACGCGCTCGATAGGCAAGGCGAGGACGAGGACTTGGGCGATGAGGAGGAAATTGCGGCGATGAAGAAGCGCGTCGAGGAGATGGAAGCAGAAGCTGCGAAGCTGCGCGAGATGCAGGCGTCTGTCGACGCGCAGACTGATAACTTGCGCGAGTCAAAAGAGGACATTGACAGCCGAAGCATCTTCGTGGGCAACGTGGACTATGGCGCAAGCCCTGAAGAAATTCAGGCGCATTTCCAGAGCTGCGGCAGTATCAATCGCGTGACGATTCTGCTTGACAAGTTCACAGGCCATCCAAAGGGCTACGCCTACGTCGAGTTCTCCGAGCCGAACCTGGTCACGCAGGCCCTCGTCCTCAACGAGAGCGTGTTCCGAGGGCGCAACATCAAGGTACGCAGACAAAGGATAGCACATGGTATAACCAGGCTGACAATATTTTTAGGTCGTTCCAAAGCGTACCAACCTCCCAGGTATGACCAGAGGAGGCCGAGGCGGCGGCGGCGGCGGTGGCGCACCACGCGGTCGTGGTCGCGGCGGGTTCGGTGGTCCTGGCTACGGCGGTGGTCGCGGAGGCTATGGGGGTCCGCAATTCATGCCTCGTGGCGGTGGTTACAGAGGTGGCTACCGAGGTCGCGCACGCGGTTACAACCCATACTGAGAGTCTACCCTTTGTCCTACGCATGATACCCATCGACTTTTGACCATTGCTTGACCGGTTAGAGCAGCGTCTCTCCGTCATGCTTCTGCTACTACCGAAGGCGCAGCGCCGAGCGTCACCGGTCCGATATCTCCTTACTCGCAAGAGCCTGGTGTTTGAGATGTATGAGGCTACAGGAAAAAAAGGAGAGCTGCGCGAGGATTTCTCTTGACATTGAAGAAGCATATCTTAGAAAGAGCAAAAGAAGCGGGCGATATTAAAGAAGCCACAAGATCTCATATGTTGGAGCAAGAGCCATTTTTCTGCCATTTAAGGCGTCCGCAATGTCAAGAGTATGATCCCGAGAATTTCCAAGACGACTGGTGATGATGAGGACTCGTTGAAGATAAAGTATGGTTCTGCGTCATGGTATGGCTCTCATATTCAAGCCGGCCAGCAGAGACATCATGCCGCCATAGAATGCGTTCGACCAATTTTTAAGTATGAGTAAGTTCTACGAGCGAGCAAATGCTGAGCTATGCTTACTCCTGGCGCAAGCAGCACCACAGGTGTACTTCACGCAGATTACGACGAAGCTTCGGGATAGATCAAGACAACGCAGTCATGCGTCGCACCATGGGCAAGAATTCACCAGGAACGAATTGATGAAATGAAAAGTATTTGAGCTCTCGTCAAGCCATGACCTCTGCTCGACGACTGGCATTCCAAGCACATCATCAATCTCCATGCCATCCAGAGCTGGCATCAAGGCGTGCAACTGAGATGCAGCGAGCCAGTCTTAAAGTCATGGGATGATGGCAATTGAGCATGTATGAGTCCCGCGATTCTCGGAGGCAGTCAATATGACCATGATGTTCCGCGAGTCCGACGTGCGAGATGGAGTGTCTTACTCCACGCGCGAGGAGTGGAGCAAAGCCAAATTTGGCAATCGTCGACGCAATACATACCACAGATTTCCAGAGCATCACCCTTCCAAGACCAGGAGTCTCTACTTCTATTCGCCTGAGCGGTAGTTGAATCTACGCGGTTCGCGGTAATCCTGTATATCGCTCGATTACAGGGCAGGCAGCAACGCAATACTCCAGAGTAAACATTTGAACTGGTACCAATCCACAATGACTCCTGAATCCATGGACCAATTTCTGGGGAAGTGGATATGGAGGACCCTCATGGCAGCTCGTGCTCACTGAATCCCGAGGTCTTTCCGTAGAGTTCCAACCTTGAAATGTTCATGACTACATGTACCTGAGATTTCTCTCATTCCTGCCCATCCAGAACCCTCCCGAAGACCTATAACGCGATGGGTCGTGGAGTATCATTCGAGGAAGCTCGCGCCTGCTCGGTTGCTGGGACATCAGAATGGAGTAGCAAGGATAAAGATGCTGAGACCGAGCCACACATCGGATTTGCCCAACCGCAGCCGCAGCAGCGGAACCCGATATATCAGGAGCAGAAACAGAAGCTGGGTGTGCCTGATAACCATGAGATCTTCTGGGTTGAATGGAATGGGCCTGATGATCCTCAGAACCCGTATGTATAAGACGATATCTATCTGAAGAGCCAATCGAGGTGGCAGGCCAAAACAAGGCGGAATAGATTACTCTGACATGATACAGCTTTAATTGGCCCAAGAAGCGCAAGTGGATTGCAACATTAACAACATGCTTCGTGTACGCCACCCCGACTAAGAATACAATCTGTTGCTAACGCTCCCGAAGCTCTATCTTGACCGGCCTGCCCGCTGGAGCGTATGGAGCGGCATCCAAACAGATGATGGATGAATGGCACATTAACGACGATAAATTCCCGTTCCTTTCTTTCGCCTTGGTCTCGTGGAATATGGGTGCTGCCTTCTTCCCACTGGTATTTGTGCCTCTTACGGAAAGCACAGGTCGACTGCCCGGTTATTGGGTACGTTGACTACCTTGAACCCATTACTTTTCACGCTCACACATGATTGATAGGCATTCTACATCATGTTCACCCTCTGGTTGTTTGGCTCTGCCTACGCCCCGAATTTTGCTACCATACTGATAACTCGATTCTTTGGCGGTGGAGCATCTTCCGTGGCCATTACTCTTGTCGCCGGTACCATCACCGATATCTGGAAGGGCGATATCGAACGGAGCTTGCCAATTTCCATTTTCGGTATCACAAGCGTGGTGGGCATTGCCTTGGGCCCATTTGTGGGCGGAATCATCCAGAAATACCTGTGGTGGCGCTGGATCTACTGGATCCAAATCATCATCTGCACCGGCTTCATCCCCCTCTTCGCATATATTCTGCGCGAGACACGCGGTGACGTGATTCTACAAAACAAAGCGAAGAAGTTGCGGAAAGAGGGAAATCTGAGCAACGATGACAACGACCCCAAGAAGTATGCCTATGCAAAATCTGAGCTGGAGAAACCGAGTATCGTGCAAGCGCTCAAACTCTCCTTTATGCGTCCGACCAAAATGCTGATCAGTGAGTTCGTCGTCATATCTTTCACCATCTGGGTCAGCTTCGCTTGGGGTCTCCTGTTCCTTTTCCAAAGCAGTGTTGGCATCGTCTTTAGCGAGCTCTACAACTTTGACACCTTCCAAGTCACACTCATCCAGCTCGCGGTCAGCGTAGGAGCCATCATCGGCGGTGCCATCAATCCCCTCCAGGATAGGCTGTACTTCAAGTCAGCAAGACGCAATGCGGAACGGCCAGGAAAGTGCATTCCGGAAGCACGTCTCTACTTCGCAGTTCCGGGTTCGATTCTGTTCGCAGCCAGCATGTTCTGGTTCGGCTGGTCCGCGTACTCTGGTCACGCTACCCACTGGATCGTCCCGACGATAAGTCTCGTCACTTTCGGCATTGGTGTCTACCATATCTACCTAGCTGTCACCAATTACCTTGCGGACGCATATGAGAAGTATGCCGCTTCGGCTCTGTCCGCTGCGGGCTTCGGACGTAACATCACTGGAGCGTTCCTGCCTTTGGCGACACCTGCTTTGTACAACAACCTAGGCTTCAACTGGGCGTCGACGATGCTGGGTATTCTTGCTTTGGTGCTTACCGCGGCGCCTATTGCGCTTCTGATCAAAGGTCCGGTCATTAGAGCTAACAGTCCTTTCATGCTCGACGCCACGTTCGACGAGGAGGAGGGCGAGGCGAGGAGGCAGAGTATGATGAGTATCCAGGGCGAGGAAGTCGTGAATAGGCGAAAGAGCACTATTCCTAAGTGATTTCTTCGACACAACGAGCCATAACCGGCATGACATTGCAGAACAGGAAAGGCCTCCTGAAAGCCATATATAAACAGAGCTAATCGCTCGCTAATAGATATATATGTACATGGACTCATGCGTTGGAAGTGGCTGATTGCCCTTGGAACGAGGGAAAGCATGACATGATGAGATATGTATATAATAGCATAATGACGAATGAGACTTGGTCCTCAATTCTTCTCACGATCTATCAATCTATTTACAATCGCAGGTAGATCTGCTGACGTATGTACGAGGCAATTTTCACAGCGCCTTGCTTCCAGTGCAGGTAGATCTGTTCCACCGCGGGTATCATTCGTAGTACAGTAGCAGCAGCGCCTTGCTCAAAGAAACCTAAAAACGCAACGCCCAGACATATCAAAAAGAAGACTGCACCACACACACAGCATTTTGCTTCACTCAAACGGCCGCAGCGACTACTGGCAAAGGTCCCAAAGGCTCCTCACTAGAAGCCAAATTACACTGTCTAAAAATCCTCACCTCGTCAGGCAGAAAGCTTCCGGTAACGGAGTGAAGGACGCCATGGTTGTTGAAGAGAGCCAAATCTCCCGCTTCCCCATCCACAGCGTAAACGAGTTCTGGCGCAATCCCAGGACGTTGCAGTCTGTGGATGATCTCCCGGACCTCCTTTAAATCTTCGATGACGCTGCCATCAGCGAGGTGCAGCTTCTCGACTGCAGAGGGATGGACTTGGAGAGCTAACTTGCCCGTGACAGGGTTGCGCCAGCACATTGGGAGAATTTTGATCTTGCTCTCATCGATTTCTGGGAGTCCGGACTTTGGGAGCTCAAGACCTTCGGATATGAGGCCGAGGCCGTCGGAGCGGGACTTGACTGCAGACATCCAAACGTATGGGTGCGCTGCGTACTGGACTTTGGTTGTGCGGGCAAAGTCTTTCTCTTGTTCGGAGAGAAGGTCGTACATCTTGTAGGAGCTCACGAAAACTGTGCTGCCACGTGGGACACTGAGTTTGTCGTTGGAGCCGTCGTCGTAGCGGAGAGTCTGATATTCTGTCTTGGGTACAGACACGGCCATCAGACTGGTGACGCGTGGTGGGTTGAGGTCATACAGAGCGGCGTCGATGTGCCATCGGTAGAAGCGAGTGTTGTCGCGGTCGTCTTCTTCGGAAATGACGTCCTTGTGGAAGGATTTATGGTGTGGGTGCTTCAAGGTGATATCCTTCAGGCCCTGAAACTCCGAGACCTTCCCATTGCCAATGACTTGCACCTGTGGCTGATGTGGGATCGTCTTCAAGTCTGGATGAAGAATGGAACGCTTCGCATCGATCGTCTTCCCATGGCCGTACGAAGTGCAATCGGGGTCGAAGAGCCTAGTAAGCTCATATTGAGCCCGAGGAGAAAGATGTTGTTGGCCCTTGAACACAACAACCTGGTTCTCGTACAGGGCTCTCCGGATCACTTCAAAGTCGGTTCCGTCGAGGTTCTCAAGGTCTGCACCGCGGATTTCTGCGCCAAAATCGAGCCTTGAGCCCTCTGTTGCGAACTTGTGGACTGTGATCCTGCTTTGAATTGCCATTTTCTTCTATATTGCTAAAGTTGTTGGTTTGTGAGTGTCTTGTGAGTGAATGAATGATCGATCTGTACATCTCCAAGGTGAGCTCGCTGGTTTTATGCCAAATGCGGAGCCTGGCGTTATCGCTCGACCAAGTCGGAGGAGCCCGATGAAAAGCAAGGACCACACTATCTCGGCGGTATTGCGAAGGCTTCACCGTACTGATGATATCGCAAGTCTCCGAACCGCGCGTTTCGATCTGTATTCATCGTCAGTAGAGGTGTGCAGAAGCAAGTCGATGTGAAATCTTTCCACAAGTGAGATCATTGAAAGCGCGATGGTTGGAAGCGAATAGCAGTCCAGAAGTGAAAGCTTTCACGTTGCTCGTGTCCAACGAAGCCTGGGTATCTTTTCAAAAAAGGCAAGATGCTACCCCACTAGTTTATGTTCATAATTCATGAGCGTACTTGCGTCTCTCCTAACGCAGCACGGTTTCTCATTAGTCGTTCGGCATTTTGAGCCATAAAAGACTCGCCAAGAGATCCAGCAGTGAAGGATCCTTTGCTGGAAGGCCTATTGAACGACGATCCGTAGATCTCATTCGTCACTGCACTGTGTTCTGCACGATCGTAATTAGAGCCCATGTAGACCGGATCGATGGTCGCTGAAGGCCTTCTGAATCCCGGAGTATTCGATTGCTGCACTGAAGAAGGTCGAAATTCGATGTGTTCGGCATGGTCGTCTGATTCTTCTGCGCCTTCAGGTATCAGAGCCTCGCTCGATTCGTATATGACATCCTCGGAATGGGGAGAGGTGCGGAGTGTAGCAACACGGCCAGTGATATCGTCCTCGCTGTCCACAGCGCTATCTTCGACCGCTTCATCAGATAAAGCCTCGTCGCCGCCCAGGCCAAAATCCAGATCGCCATCGACATCTTGTCTCGGCGGTGATGGACTAGGGACTGGTGCATGAGCAGCGGCAGAGGACGAGGCTACGACGACATCTGGCGAGTCCTGTCGTGATTGCTCAGCCTTGTTGGATTGACTGGTCATGGTGGCCTTTGCAAGTGGAGAGAAGGGAGCGGTTGAGGACTCTGCTGGAGTGATGCTTGTTGTAGGTATGTCGGCTGCTGCGGGCGCTTTGCCATTTCTGCGTTCGCACGACGCTGGGGAGCGTGTTCGAGAATGCGATGGCGTGGTGTTGTGGGAATTCAAGGTGAGAGGAACATTATCACTTGGCGCAACGATGGAGTCGCCAACTGCTAGCGACACTCGCTTTTTTCGTGGGCGATGTGTCGGCGACTTCATTGCGGAAGGCAGCTTGCCGTCTGCAGATGAGCCCGAGGATGATGTTCGACCAGATAATTGAAGATGTACAGGCCTTTTCGAATTTGGCCGCACTGCCGGGTCTGAGTTTGCCCTCTGCACAGCATCCGGTGCTGCATTTTGCTTCATTGAGGAGATGGATAGAGGCGGAGCGGAATCTGCTCTCTCGCGCTCGGGCTCAGCGTCGTCTCCATCAATATGGAGGGTATTGTGCACATCCAGGGCAGGCAGAAAAGCGGGCGTGAAAACGCCAATGAACTCCCTGTCGCGCTCTATGCTCGCCTTGCGATCTGTCAAGCCTGCGACAGACTGTCTGGCGTCTAATGTGGTCCCAGGCTCGTCGTCATCTGGCACAGCAGTCACGGCCAAGGGCGATCCGATGTGTTCTCTGCGCACAGCGGCTGACAGCAAGGCATTGACTGCGCTTGATGACTGCGCTGGCAAGCGCGGCGACTGCGACGGCGAATTTGAGGCATGGCGAGAGGAAGTGGGTTCGGAAGAAGGTCGTCTCGTCCTCTGGAGGTCGGTGGTTATGGCAGCCTTGTGCTTTTGGATCAATTCCTTCTCAAACAACTTATATTCGCGCTCCTTGGAGGCAATGTATTTGTGGATGGATTCGTCGAGCTGCTTTCGCTTCGCCTCGAGTCGTTCCAGGTCTTCTTCGGGCAGCTCCGCGTCGGCGAGCGATCTGCGGAAGGACTGTCGTCGGGTGGTGGTGGTGGTGGTGGTGGTGGTGGTGCTTGAGGCGTCTCTGTCACGAGACGCACGCTCACGCTCGGCCATCAGCTGCTGCTGCATGTCTGTGCGTTAAGAGTAGTTCTAGCGCAGGCGCGTGACAAAGACATGTAGGGTGGCAGTGGCAGTGGCAGTGGCAGTGGCAGGCGATCCATAGAATGGCAGCGGCAGAATGGTCGCACACGAGCAAGGGAGCCTTCATAGCGAGTCAGAGGCGGAGGGTGTGGGCGGGCGTGCAACGGAGAAGAAGATGCAAGAGAGCGAGGTGTTGGATCACATGAGCAATGCACAGAAGATAAGCTCGAAGCTTGTGCCCCCTCCCCCTCCACCGGCAACGACCGCTCCTTCCCTCGAGGATTCCCCGAGCCCCAGCTACCCGCCCGAGCCCCAGCATAACCCGAGATTATAAGATCGGCTGTTCTATACAAAATCGCGTGTAGAAGCGATAATCGCGTCGCTGCAGGCCCCTCCGACCGGGCAACTACTATACTGCTGCTAGCAGCTATAAAGCTAAAGTTTATTAGCAAATTAGTAGTATAGCAAAATTCAAGGTATTGTTGCTTGCTATCTACTTAGGTCTAAGCGGATTACGATCTATAGCCTTGTAACTACGTAATGCTATATATGCTAGCTTATATTAGTCCCTTATTTGCTAACTAGCCTACTACTATATATAATACTGCTACTAAGTAAACTAATAGTACTGTTATTATAGCACCTAGTAATAAAGTAGCCGCTCTATTAGCTATATAAGCGACTATTGTTGTTGTTGCTAGTGCTAGTAGTATTACTAAGCAGCCTATCGTTGTTGTTGCTTATATAATACCGCCTACTAGCGGCTATAGTAAGCTTGTTATCTCGCTCGCTCTTCTTCCGCTTATAGTCGTTATTATTTATAAGTACGTAGGTGTTTAACCTCTCGGCGGAGCGTATCTAGCTTAGAAGGTAGCTCCGGAGCTGCTAGAAGTAAAGACTCGATACGTAGATTATAGCACTCGAAGCTACTTAGATAGCAAGTAGAGCTATAAGCACGATTAGCCTTCTAGCAAGGGTACTATTAAGTACGGTATTAGCTCTTTACGTACTTATAGTGCTCGGCAACTATCGTACGAAGCTATATAAGAGATACGCCTAGCTCTAAGGTAAAGTCTACGGTCCTTACTATCGCTGTCTTTTGCTTCTTAGCTACTATAGTATAGTTTAAATCGTCGAGTTCTCGAGCCGTTGCTATACGCTTAGTTAAATATAACGTTGCTCCGCTAGTAAGAGGTTTACGGTTACTATATACTACTTATAGCTCTTAGAGCCGTACTAGCAGTCGATTAACCTCCTGCTTCCGTACTAGTAAGAAGTCGATAAACTAGTAGACGTAGAAGTAATATAGTAATAGTAGAGCGCGCTTTCTACCTGTTTCTATTAGCTTTATTATCTCGTAAAGGTACGGATAGCTATAGGTCTTCGTTAGGTAATCGTTATAGCGGCACTATAGATAGGAGCAAGAATAAGCCGAGTGCTTTATCTTATTGCTGTTGTCGTCCGTTATAGTGTTTAGAAGGATAATAGCGCGCTCGTAGACCTTATAAACCTCGAGAAGGCAGTAGTCGCTAATAATACGAGAGACACTTGCAAAGAAGGGCCCTACTAATAGCTTATAGTAGCGCTTTAGGTTGTTAGCTAACTAGACTCTACGGCGGTCGTGTCCTTAGTGCTACTAGTTAAGAAGCGACTTAAAGAGTAAGTAGATATCGTATCGGCTACTATAGTTAAGCTACTGTTTAATCCGACTGTAGTATGCTTCTATACGAGACGTAACCTTCTCGCCGAAGTAAAGGACTTAGTTAGTCTAGTAGTAGACGATCTTCTCCTTATGTTTCTACTAGTTGTTATATAGATATTGCTTAAATTAGGGATATACGTTGTCTAGTTTGCTAACGTTGCTATTAAACTCCTCTTCTAACTAACTTCTTATAGTATATATAAACAACTATAAGAACTTATTAGTACTTAGACTGTTAGTCTATAAGCTATTCGCCTTAATCTATACAAAGTCGCCTCGTTCTTTCTAGATACGAGTAAGAATGTCCTATTATAGGTGCTAGTTATATATAATAACAAGCGCTTTAGGAATAACCTCCTTAACGGCGTAAATAAGCGCTTCTTCTCGATCCGTGCTTATAATGTAAGGCATTAGACAACCGGCTTCTTCGAGACCTTTCCGTAGTAACTATAATAGCCGGATAAAGTCCTTCTTGTTAGGCTTCGGTCTAATTAGACTAACGCCGAGCTTAATAGTGTTATTTATCGGTCTAGTAGCGACAATATCTAGCAGCTCGAGGTTGTATAGATTAGTAGAATATATAGTATCGAGAACGAGTATATAAGGCGTATCCTTAAAGGCCGAGAGCGATATAGGATAGAGGGCAACTATAGACTTAATTAAGCTATTACCGTTAGATTAAATGTCGTAGAAGATGCTATTCTTATCTAGCAAGTCGACAGTCCGCTAAGCCTAGTTATACTCCCTTCGAGTATTAATACTATGTCCCTAGGCGAGGTTCTTTATATCGTATAGCCGTAATAGAACGCTACGGCCGCGGAAGTATGCTATAATCTTAGACGTAGCTATTCGAGACTGCTAAAGCCGCTCTAACTCCTCGAGAAACTAAGTCGTACGAGAGCGTTATCGGTAAGTCGCTAGTACTATAATATTATTAGGTCCGTAGTTATAGCGAGGGTAATCTCGGTCGCTCGAGTAACGAATTTCCTACAAAGCTTCTAGTTATAGAGGGTCGATTACAATAGCGTAGAAGTAGAATTTATATCCTATCTTCTTTAAGTGCGACTACAACTTGCCCATATTCGAGGTCCATTTGTCTAGTTAAGTACAGTAGATATCTATATAGCTAGTGTCTATATTTACCGCCGTTCTTATTCCTCCTTAGTCTTCTACTCCTTACACTCGTATCCGTATTGCGCGCTAGATTCGTAGATATAGCGCTCGAGTGCCTATTTCGAAGGGAAGTTGTCTTCTCGTAGTATTAGACCTTGAGGTCGCTTTACTACTACTACTTTCGAGAATAGCGCTTTCTATAGCTATAGCGACACTAACGCGTGCGATAATAGATACTATAGCCTTATATACGGCGCGTCGACTAATTGACTATACGTACGACCTCTCGGCACTTCTACTACCTATTCTGTCTCTTCTATTACTAAATCTACTACCTCTACCTCCGATTCTACTACCTCCGCTACTACTACCTCTACGCCGCCGGTAGCGGCGGCGATACTATCGTTAGCGAGAAAGTTATCGATATAAGCCTCGTATAATAGAGATTTAGCTATTTTCGATAATTACTAGGCAATCTACTACAAAAGTAGGAAGAAATACGAATTATACGAATATAGACTCGGAGGCGCGACTTCCTAGGTAGCGCGCCTACGCGCCTATTAACAACACTAACTAGGAATAGAAACAGCCTATATTAGGCGGAAAGAGTACGTAATTTAATACAGAGGCGATTCTACAGTGGTGCTAGTATCGGGATATGCTGGGGCTCGGGCGGGTAGCTGGGGCTCGGGGAATCCTCGAGGCCGCTCCTTCTCGCTGCTGCTGCTCACTTGCCATGCGCACCAAAATTCGGAGGAGAAATGTCGGCAGGAGCGCGGCGCGGCATGTGAGTCCCGAGTGACGAGTCCCAATGACGGCACCCCAGCGCCGATCGCACCCATCTGGCATCTGCATCACACGGGCGCATGTCATGTGCATCATCATCATCAGGTGCCCACAGAACATCATGCCATGCCATGCCTGCCATGCCATGCCTTGGGAGCGTGTGCTGCTGCGGCATGCACCGTGAAGTTGGCCGCTCGCCACTCGCTGCGTGAGGCTGAAGGATGCCCCCGACTTTTGCTGCCATCTGCCATCTCCCCACGCCAGTAGTTCTACTCTCCCCTCAGCGCCCTCACACACCAACGCCATCGAATTCCACACCGCCCACTGCACCATGCGGCATGCCACATTGTTGACGCCAGGAGCTGCGAGGACATGTGCCATGCCGTGCAAGGAATACCCTCAGGCATTCCCGAGCATGTGGATTGTTAGATTGTCGACCTCCTTCTTGGCAACCACCCAACAGGCATGCCGCATTGCACGCCCCTCCACACCTCCTTGCATGCTCATGAGGAACATGTGACATGTCCATTGAAAGTCCATCTTCTGCCTGCCACACAGATCTTCTTTCTCGCTAACGCTGCCACCTCGCCAACTGCGTGTCTTCATCTACCTATCCCGACCAACCCTGCCTTAAACCTTTCACTCCGTCCATGGGTCGAAAAATCATTGTAGCCCTGCGTGAAGCCCCACACACGGACGGACCCCTCAATAGATCCATGGCGAGTATCAACACAATACCCTCCGTTACAAGGTGGAAGGAAATGCCCGAGGCAAGCTTGCTGCTGACATATTGACATGCGATTGGGCGCAAGAAGTACAGCACAGGAGCTGGAGTTTGCTGGCAGATGCACAGGAGACTCGCCAGTGCAAGTATACCACGTGCCACCAGATTTCCTCCTGAGACGGATTGTAAGAGGAAATTCACGCCAAAATCTTCAACCATCTCCAACTTTACATGGGCCAAAATGAAATCCAATTCAAAAAACGATGCACAGTCATGCGAAGGGATTCTACGTCACAAATCCCCATATAAGCCTGATGCAAGTTTTCGATTCCGACAACAAAGAACCATCGTCCGCTTCCGGTCTGCTCTGGAATGCATGATGCCCGACACGAATGCATCGAGAGCACATTGCAATGTGCGAAAGACATAACCTTCCCTTCATCCGACCTTGTTGAAAACACAAATTCCCCCCAATCGTCTTCAACCGCACGGTACCATGGCCATCTTCTCAGCACCAAAGCACTACACCGAAGCGCTGTGGCACACGTCGCTAGCAACATTCGGAATCGCCACCCAGCTCTTCTTCTCGATGATCTGGTATCTCGCCGCCAAGAACCTAACTCACGGCGTTGTGGGAATCTTCAGCGATCACCCACGCCACCGCCCGACTGTCGATCGCCTCATCACAGGTGTTATCTTGCTCGTCATCGCCACGTTGATCCATACTTCTCTCCACGACAAAGCTGCCTTGGATGGATTTGCTGTTTTCCTTGGAGTCTTTCTGGGGTTGGGGTTGGATAGGTGAATGGAGAGTGGATAGAAGATGAATAGAGGGTGTATTGATTGATATCTGGATAGGAATGGAAGAGATGAATGGTTCAGATCAGATGACGATTGAAATGAACGGCATGGATTCTGCGATGACTAGTGAACTCTATGCCCATGAGAAATGTTCCATATGCAAGTAAATATCTTTACTGCCATCTCTCATTGCAGCAAGTTGCTCCCTCGCGACTGCATTCTGTACGTCGTTTTGCATACTTAGAGGTCCACAGCAGAACACCCTCATACTACTCACGCTCTCTGCAGCGGCTTCTCTGATTATCGCAGGGAGATCCGGTCTTGACGCATGATCTGTTGGACTCAGCAGAGCTCCGACTTTCTCGGCACCAGAATCCGATGATTTCGACGAAGTCTTGGCAGCAATGTTGATCTCAGCATCAGGTGCCTTCTCAGGTTCATCTAGAGCTTGTAAGGACCGTGCAGTCTGTTTTGCTGCCATCTTGTTCTCTTCTTTGCCGGTGAAATATATCTCGACACTGAGTCCGCTCGGGCAGCAGCCAGTCAGGCTTGCATTGAGGACTCCGCAGATCGCTTCTTCGAACCAGTCACGTGTTGCAAGATCACGGGTCGCGAGGATGACTTTCATTTCTGGTCCTTCACCATCGCAAAGAGCCCCCATTCTCCCACTTTCTGGATCACAGCCAGCTGAGAGCCAATCTTTTCTTCGAAGGAACGCTTCGATTAGTGGTAAAAGCCAGCCTGCTCCGGAGCCTCCTGCCAACGCCAGAGTCTTCTGACTCGAGACGAGTTTGCGCATGTCGATACCACCGTAAGGCCCATCGAGAAGTACGCGCATGCTGGCGTTTGGGTGCTTCTCGGCAAACTTTGCTAGTCGGGCTGTGAAGCCTCCTTGTGGTCGAATGTAGAAGATTAGTTCGCTCTCCTTTGCCTCGTAGTAGTGAGCTTTACTTGGCAGACTACACGCCGTAAATGGATGTGCTGTGAGACCATGCGTGCCCAAGCCAATCAAGCGGATGAAGTAGTGCTGGCCAGCTCGCCAAGTCGTCTTGGTCGGGATGGAAACTTTGATGAAGCCATTTGAGGCTAGACTTATCTTGGCTTTCTTGAGTCCATGCTGGAAATAGATTCGAAGCTGGCTGTGTAGGAAAGTGAGCGAGAAGATGACTCCTGTCGCGATGAAGTAGTCCCATGATGAGAGCCGGAAGTCGCAGTGGAGGAACAAGAAGACGACGAACACCAGCGCGGCAAGGAAATGCGAGGCCTTGAAAAATTCGTAGCACAGGTTTCGCAAGGGAGAGAAGGAGGCGAAAGTCAACCACGCCTGTTCAGCACGTCAGTTCTGCCATACTCTGCGAAAAGAGAGATGGTGTGGCGTACCTGAGGCACCAGGGCCACGACACCTGTCCAGTAGAAGACATCCTCGTTCCATCTCTTGACCATATCGCCTTTCCAGATGTGGTATACGATGAAGGGAAAGGTATGTATCAATGCCAGTACAAAGCATGCATAGCTGATCCATCGGTGAAAGACCTGCAGTTTCTCATGACTGACTCCTGTGACCGTTGTGATCATGTTGCTCTTGCTGCTTGTGGCTATGATGAACGGCAGACAGGCCAGCGACATCCACCCCGACCTCGAAGCGATCGAAGGCGAGTTGCCGAAAGATAGCGTGACTTTTCCTGTCTCCGGATTCTTCTCGTTCGGCCAGTAGTACGGCTTGGGCCCCAGTGTCATGCTAAAAAAGAAAATCGTCCCTATAGCACCGAGTAGAAGCACGCCGATGGGTGCTGAGTTCCAATTCAAGAGTGGTAATCGGTAGGCCCGATAGCTGAGATAGCGATTAAGCGCAAGGATCCTGCGCACTTGCTTTGAATGCGCTGTTGCAGAAACGAATGGGGACAGAAGGAACGGAACTGCGAACAAGATTATTGCCGTCATGAAGAAGGCTACGGTCGGCAGCGCGTATCGATGGTCGAGCTCGTACCAGAATCGCCAGTATCCCTGTTGATATTCGCATTGCTCTGTGTGGTTCAGGGAGCATTTGTACGCTCGGGAAGAATGGAGCATCACTGGTTGATCGAGCCATCGCGGAGGGGGGTCCATGCTCATGGCCATGTGGGACTGAGCCATGGCGAGCGGCGTTGATATACACGCGGAAGACGTTCGAAGGGGTCGCCCACGAGACGAGCTTCAGTGAGGGGCACAGCCTGATGCGAATGTGACGGAGGTGATCAGGGCAGAAGAGAAGGTGTAGGTCGTGGAAAGGTCAGCAGTTCCAGAAGAGTGTCCGGCAAGGTATCATCTCGAGATGCAGGAATCCTTGACGTTTCCTCAAACGCACTCCGACGTATCTTGCTCATTCGGAGCTCCTTCGTCAGGGTCGGAATAAGCGAGAATTGAATGCACCACGGGAGGCCGCAACAATAATGCCTGGAACAATGCCTTCATCCCACGCGGTGGACACGCTCGAACACGCCACTGAATGCACCCGCATCCCAGCGATAACACGTCAGGATTGATTCAAGGCTCGCACCGAACCTTTTCCTGCTCAAAGAGCTTTTGATTGACGGTGCCCGAAAATGGGCTAACCGGAAAAGGCTGGTCGGCAGCGCCAAGGATCATCAATGAGCAAGTTTGCGGGAGTTCTGCCGGCTTTACGGCACTCTTTCTTCAGGACCGCGCGACCCTGCTGTGGTGAAGATACGTAGGGATTGCAAATCGGAATTGCGATGGGTGGCATGCCGGCGTCCGGGGTTGGGGGGCTGCAGAGCACGTTTGAGCGTGGATTGAGGCTGTTGATTCTTCGTCCTGCATTTCGTCTTGTGCTTTGAGCAGCTTCTTTGGTGCTGAAGAACCCCCCCTCTCCCGTACCTCATCAGCGCCGATTCTTATCACCAGTTTACGGTCTTGCACCTCCTTGCGAGTTTTTCAATACCTGGAGCAGGCCACCTAGGCATTTCGAAAATCCAGAGTTCCACCCGCCTGGCAATCTACCAACGACCACAACTGGAATATGGACATGAACTCGATGTCAATGTCCATGACCGCGACTTCCAGCGGAGCCATGGCGTCCTCGACATCCGACATGTCGGGACACGGATCGATGGATAGCTCAATGATGTCCATGGCTGACATGGTGATGACCTTCTTCACCTCAACATCGACCCCTCTGTACTCCGAGGGCTGGACTCCGGACACCACTGGCCAATACGTGGGAACATGCATCTTCCTCATCGTCCTTGCAGTGCTATTTCGAGGAATAATCGCAATTCGCCAGAACTTCGCAGCCTTGCTGGTGTGGTATAGCTATCGCAAGGATACGCCTATACTGCGATCAGATCTGGATGATAAGGTTCGACGGCAGCTGGTCGCCGGTTCAGGACGGCCCTGGAACATCAATGAGGCTCTAGCGCGAGCATGCCTAGACACCGTGCTTGCGGGCGTGAGCTATCTGCTGTAGGCTCTTTCCAATGAGTTTCCACCGAGCGAAGCCCGTTTGCTGACCTTCGCTACAGGATGTTGGCGGTGATGACCATGAACGTCGGATACTTTATGTCGATATTGGGAGGAACGTTCCTCGGGAGCTTCGTGATCGGGGACTGGACACCTAGGGCGGATCATTGCGACGGCCATTGAAGGCTTTGAAGCATTTGCCGGCCATCGCTGCGACTTTCATGTCGGCGTCACACTGTAGGAGGCTTAATGAATCAACGAGCTTTGCATGCGCGTCCGCTGCCTCGAAACTACGTTCTCCTGTCTTGTTGCCTGTATGCTGATGTCAGTAATTACCGCCGTGCAAGAAATGCCGGCGGAGGAGGCCCAGCAGATGGTTGTCATAATCATTTCGAGTCATGTTATATGTAGCGATTCGCAGACTTGGAGGTGGAAATGTAGATATTCTAGGTTCCCGGATGGCATGGCAGCTCCCGATAAGGCTGATTATGCAGGTGCAGGGAGCGGAGCGGAGTGCGAAAGGTGCGTCTCGCGGGGAAACGCGCGAGGCCAGCATCATGAAAAGATAAATTTCCAAGGTTGGGTTGTGTCAGAGATGACTGTTCTTCAAAGAGCAGCCAAGCCAAGCCAAACCTTCTCTAACCAGGTCTGTCATACCCTGAATCGACTGTACTCATAAAGTATCGACACCACTGTCTTTCAAAGATTGCCTTCCGCACCTGTAATTCCGAACACAACTAGCGCACGCGACATGGCTACGAACGGCGTGAAGCAGGAGATCCTCCCCGAGGAGGGCAAGAAGAACGTACTCATCACCTCTGCTCTGCCATATGTCAACAACGTGCCTCATCTGGGCAACATCATCGGCTCAGTGCTGAGCGCAGATGTCTTCTCGCGCTATAGCAAGGCACGAGGCAATCCCACCCTATACATATGCGGTACAGACGAGTACGGCACGGCGACAGAGACCAAGGCGATCGAAGAAGGGGTCACGCCAGAGCAACTATGCGACAAGTACAACAAGCTGCACAAGGAGGTCTACGACTGGTTCGAGATCGCATTCGACCACTTCGGCAGAACACCGACTCAACAGCAGACCGACATAGCACAAGATATCTTCACAAAGCTGCACAAGAATGGATACTTGGAAGAGCGGACTACAACTCAGCCATACTGCACAAAGCACGACGGCTTCTTGGCGGACAGATTCGTGGAGGGTGAGTGTCCATTGTGTGGCTACAACGATGCAAGAGGAGATCAATGTGACAAGTGCGGGCATCTACTCGACCCGCTCGACCTCAAGAACCCACGATGTAAGCTAGATGGCGCCACACCAGAAGCACGCGAGACGAAGCATGCCTTCCTTCTGCTCAACAAGCTGCAAGATCAAGTCAATGCCTGGTCCGCCGAGAGCCACAAGAATGGTGTCTGGAGTGACAACGGCATTAACATCACCAACGCTTGGCTCAAGGAAGGTCTCAAGCCCCGAGGTATCACTCGTGATCTCAAATGGGGTACTCCAGTACCACTCCCTGGCTACGACGACAAGGTCATGTACGTGTGGTTTGATGCTTGCATCGGCTATGTCAGTATCACTGCGACATACACTGAGCACTGGGAGAAATGGTGGCGCAACCCAGAGAACGTCCAGCTTTATCAGTTCATGGGCAAAGACAACGTTCCCTTTCACACCGTCGTCTTTCCATGCTCGCAGCTCGGCACTGGCGACAAATGGACCATGCTGAACACCCTCTCGACTACAGAATATCTCAACTACGAGCATGGCAAGTTCAGCAAATCGCGTAACATTGGTGTATTTGGCAATAGCGCCAAGGCTACCGGTGTATCTGCCGACATCTGGCGATACTTCCTACTTTTGCGCAGACCAGAAACTTCGGACACCGAATTTGAATGGGACAGCTTTGTAGCAGCCAACAACAACGAGTTGCTAAACAACTTCGGAAACTTGGTGAATCGCGTGTTGAAGTTCGTCAACAACCCTGCTACCTACGACAGCAACGTCCCAGCCTGGCCAAAGGACTCATTACCCTCTGAGATCAATGACCAGCTCAAGCAGCATATTGCTGATACTAATGCGAAATTGAAGGAGTATGTGAAGGAGATGGACGCCGTGCATCTCAAGGGTGGTCTTGTGACCGCACGCGAATTCTCCTCGCTAGGGAACGGTCTCCTGCAAGCCAACAAGATCGACAACAACCTCTTCAAGAACGAGCGCGCTCGCTGCGACGCAGTCGTCAATCTTGCTGTACAGCACATTCATCTTCTCGCCTCCATCATCGCGCCATACATGCCAGCTACCGCACGCTCCATTCTCAGCCAATTGCAGGCAGAGCTCCTCATCATCCCTGATGAGTGGACTGCCGAGTCAATTCCAGCTGGACACAAGATTGGCAAAGCGGAGCACTTGTTCAAGATGATCAAGCCGGAAAAGGCGCAGGAGTGGAAGGAGATGTTTGGTGGCGACGAACTAAAGAAGGCCAAGGAGGAAGAAACCAAGAAGAAGGCAGCCCGCAAGGCAGAAAAAGACGCCAAAAAGGCGAAGAAAGCCGCAGAGCGTGCCAAGGCCACTGGCGACCTTGAAGGCAAGAGCGTTGAGGCCGTGGAGAAGGACGGCGCGGAGACGAATCCTAAGGCTGGTGATGCTGTGGAGGAAGTCACGGAAGGTGTGAGACAAGCTGCACTGCAGACTTCTTAGATTGGAGGTGCTTGGAGTTGGTGTTGTGGGTGGTCAAGATCAGCGTTGAGCAGACATGTTATCTAGCTCCGCAGACGTAAAGCGTTGCATGCATGAGTGGTGTCGGGCGAACGAATGATGTTATGGTGGTTACGAGCTTGGGCACGCGCCATTTTGCGCAGTCCCAATGGATGAAAAGTCTTCGCTGTTTTCTTAGGTCCTCCTACATCACAAACACTTCCGATGGACGGTCCAGGAATAATGACCCCCAGAGAGCTCTCGGGAGCGACCCTTACCCGCCCTCTCAGCATCGCAATGACATAAAGGCGAACGCGAACGCGAACGCGAACAGAGACCCGCTTCTTCGGCCGGCCCAGCATCACAACACACATCGCTCGCAAACTCAGTAAGCTGACTCGCACCGGTCGAGGGTCCTACGCAGATGCAGCCTGCTCATTGTACACACATCGATGGTCACTAGCTGCTATGGGAATGTACCACGACGAACGTTTTCCTTATAGGCGCCTACGCTGTGTCAGGAGTCAGATACCGTCCTGGTCTGCACGCCAAGTTTGATTGGAAAGCTTGATGTTCGTTGCGCGAGGTACGACACATACAATGCTGCAAGGGTGATGATAACTCGGGAGACGATTCAAGATCCCAAAATGGAGACAAGTGGAGATTTCTCCATATCCTGATGCCCAGCCAGAGGCTTTTTCCTTTGCCAGGATTGCTTTTCATGCGAACAGCAATTTTCCGGACGAACGACCAGTCTTTCCCGTCGCTAGAACGACTATCATAGCCAACGCAATGTCGGGTACTTTCTTGCCATCAACCTTCTCCTCCTCATGCGGCTGAGTATCAATGAGCACTTTCCATGATTCTTCAGTTGGCTCGATGGATGCTGCCTCAATGCCATCGACGTAGATCGTGAGAGATTCCAAGCCTCCAGTAGCAGCTCCCGTGAGCTCAATCTTTTCCATTGTGACCTTCTTGGCCGTCACATCGAGCACCGGGGGCCTGCTACCAGAACAAATCTCGGCACCAGGTCCTAGCTTATCAGTCGGCAGAGCTGAAGTCCGAGGGGGCACAACCCGGCCCTGATGAGCAGTTTCAAAAGCGTAACCATATCTCAGGATCTGAGGATCATGGTATGATTTCGTCGCAAAGGTGAGATTGACTGGCATGCCGATATCGCTCATATTCCCCATCGGAACGCTGAAAGTAGGGATGCCGAATTGCCGTATAGCGCAGTTGCCATTAGAATACAAGACACCATTTCTCCAAGCGTCCCGCGCGGATTCTTCATTCTTATCGGCGTCGGCTTTTCCAACATCACCTTGGCATGGGAACACCACTGCGTCTAGCTTATTTGCATCGAGCCAAGCTTCGAAGTCGACCTTGCGGGTTTCCTCGATTCTTTGAAGTTTGGGACCGAGCTCCGGGATATCGAATGTCTTCACTCGGCCGCCCTTAACTGCATCCACTAGAGCAGAGCATTTGACGAGCGGGTCATCTGGGCCATAGCGATCTGGTAGCGCTCCTGGAGGAGGCGGGAAGATCTCAGCAGGATCAACATCGGCAAGAGTCGTGACGCAGGACTTGTCATTGTTGGCCACCAAGAAATCGTCCCAAGTGTAGGCCATCATTTGGACCATGTCGATCTCATTCTTGTGTGCAGGTGTGAAGTATGGCGTCGTGGGCTTCTCGCCACTCGAGGGCTTCTCCAGATTGGTGACAATTGGGAAGTCCGTTTCTACCACTGTGGCACCGAGCGATTCCAGCGTCTTCCGAGCCTTCTCCCACAACTCTTTCACGCTCGGTCGCAGAGCCACTGGAAGTGCTGCAGGATCATCGCCACCAATGTACATTTTTGGCACACCTGAGAGAAGAAAGCCACGGTTAGCAGACGTTTCAACTTCCCACCCATGCCTTCCACTCTACACAGTACTCACCAAGCACCTTTCCCCTCAAGGCCTCCTTATCACAAAGCTCAAGAAAACTCGTCGGCCTCACATCCTCAGGATCCGGCAGCGGTACGAACGGCTGTTCTCTCCAAAAATCACAATGCTTCTGATCATCATGAGCAACAAGCACATCCAACAAGGAGAACATATCCTTGACAGTCCTCGTGTGCGGCACCACAGTATCACAATTTGGGAACAGTGGCCAATTTCCACGAATCGAAATCATACCACGAGACCCAGTATATGCCACGAGACCGTTGTAAGAAGCTGGAGATCGACCCGAAGATATGGTCTCCTCGCCCATGCCGAAGAGGCCGAAGCTCGCTGCGGTGGCTGTAGCTGAGCCGTTTGATGATCCTGAAGCGAAGGCGGCTGTTAAATAGTCCGCATTATAAGGACTTTCGGCTCTTCCGTAAACACCTCTTTGCATGCCTCCTGCGGCCATAGGCGGCATATTGGTTTTTCCAAGGATGACTCCCCCGCTACTCTTGATTCGTGAGACCACGAAGGAGTCATCGGTGGCGATCAAGTTTTGAAACGCAGGAGATCCGGAAGCTACGGTCATGCCTTTGATTTTGTAGCTGTCTTTGATCGTACATGGTATGCCCTCGAGGTCTGATCGGATTTGTCCCCCAGCGCGAAGGTCATCGCTGGCTTGTGCTTCCTCGAAAGCATTGAGATTGATGATTGGAGTAGAATTGAGGTAGAGGTTTCGTCTGTCATATTTTGCTATGCGGAGGAGGTGCTTCGCTGTTAGTTCGACAGAATTGGTTTGACCGGACTTGAGAGCTTGTTGGAGCTCTTCAATCGTGGCCTCGACAATGCTCTTTTCACTTGTTAGTCCATGGCTGTGGAGGATATGAAACGCTTACTGTTGCCATTATGGAATCTGGGTCTAAGAGGTGATGTGAGATCAAGTAAAGTCAAGTGCAGCACGTTTGAGGCCTCTTATGCCTACCGGATGACAAGCATTAATCGCTTATTGCTGCTCGAGCAGATACTTCTCCTCACCGACAACATGTGGTCACCACAGAGTGTACGCAAGTTCTAGTTCGCATTGTCGAATGGACCTATCCTCAAGCAGCAAGATCACCTATCGCAAGGTGCTTGACTGAGCTCGAAGCTCTTATCGTCGCGGAACTCGTAGGGTGAACTGGTCTCGTCTGCCTAGCTCTCACCTAGTAGATGCGTGCCATCAGAGTCCACCAAGGCTTCCGATATTCATCCAGAAGGCTGGGATCGGCCAGAGCTCGATCCTAGTCGCTGATAGCGCGCAACACCCACCAATCACGCCAAATCTCAACCACAAGCCATCTGAGCCGGCGGCAAGGCGTAGGTAATTCGTAGTCGGCGTGCGTTGGTGTCTTTCTTGCATGCCCATCAGGCTGACTCTAACCGCATGAGCGGCAGGCATTTGAAGCGTTGAAATATCTTGTCGAATGATGTTGCTTCAACCCTCGTAAGCCTCGCAGTCTGGTCACCTGCTTCATGCTTTGCACTCTGTGGCGAAGACTTTCCGCTTCCTTCCCCGTGAGTCCCGTGAGTGTATGATTGAGTGTAGGTTTCCGTGACACTGTCCGGGTATCATATCGTATGCATAATTTCCTCCTCTCTCCATCTCACCTCCAGCGCGCAAAGTCCTGCATAGTGTTGCCAAAACTCTGGGCATACACTCCCGTCGTACCGCAGTTGCCATCCTCCAACTTCTGCTGAGCCTTCGGCAACCAACCCCGAATCTTCTCAAGCCTGGCATGCGAGCTTGGATGCGTACTCAAGAACTGCGGCGGCGCTCCACCCATGCTCTTCTCGTATATTTCCATACGTTGCCATATGCCCATCGCAGCTTCCGGATTATAACAGCTCTCAGCCATCATGAGCAAGCCGATGTAATCCGCCTCTTCTTCTTCTTTTCTGCTTCCAGGCAAGTCGAAGACAAGGTTGTTGACAAGTCTCGCCAATCCGAAGTCTACACCAACGAAGAAATGCGTGAACGTAGCAAGCGCCGTCAAAATCGACATTCGGCTCATCCTCTCCGCGGCATGATGTGCAACGTTATGCGCAATTTCGTGTCCCAGAACGGCAGCAAGGCCCTCATCGCCCTGGCATATATCCAGAATCCCGCGAAACACGAAGACCTTCCCGCCAGGTATTACGAAAGCATTCTTCATATCATCGTCAATGACATGTACTTCCCACTGCTCTCCCTCTAGTCCAGAATGCGGTAGTAGTCTCTGAAGGACCCTTTGTACTTGCCTATGCTCTTTACTGCGTTCACTCATGATCTTCGGCCCAAATTCTCGCAGGACCTGCTCATATTGCCCTTCCGCCATAAATTTCTCCAATTCAGGTGATATGATGTTGAATCTGCGTCTTCCACTGACGTCGACAGTCTCAAGATTGTAGACGTAGACAGTCGCCGCCACGCCTGAGAGTGCGGTGACTTGGTAGTAAAAGGTCGGTGAGGAGGCCCATCGTAAGAAGAGGCGTTCCGAAGTTTCGTAGCGCTGGTAGTTGAAGGCTTGTCGTCTGTATTTGCGCTGTTGGCTCTTTCGCCAGATCCCTTGCCATGATTCTCGTGAAGTATGCCGTGATCTTGTGGCGTTGGAGAAGGCGCGAGTGGAGAGACTGTGATGGGTATTGCTTCGGAAGTTGAGCGGAGAGCTACGTGATGTGACGAAGCTTCGTGTGGTCGTGGATTGCAGGACAGACCCGAGAGGCTTTAGAGCCAGCATTATTCGATTCGCTATCATCTTGCGACTGATTAATTGTGCAACGTCCTGTTGAAGGATCATAATGTTGCAACGCTATATGGCAGGAGTACATCTGTAGTGGCTACGTGCGGATGGAGACAGAGGCAACGTCGGGTGACGTCGGATCGAAGCTGGGAGAACTGCTGCGCATGGCGAAGGACACATTTCGTCGCATTGTAGTCATCACATATCAAGTAACTCGGTCAAGCAACATCGCAAAAAAGCGACTCGCTCACGCTCAATCACTCTGTCTTGGAACACCTCCCTTATAGCCTGTAGCCCTTTGCTAATCAAGGATACCGGAACGCCTCGCTGATGCATGCCATTCTCCTCTTCCTGTAAAGTACATGTAATAGCACGACCCATCCTACTCGTCAGACATGATGGCGTCCTCTCTGTCCATATCGGCTTGGCTTTGAAGTCCCTCTGCTGCAAGCGACGCCGCGATTGCTGCCGCCATGGCGGCTTCTCCACTCATGCCTGCTCCATTGACCAAGGAGAAGTCGTCACCAGAGTCTCCTGGAGACAGTGGCGACAGAGCGGCCATTGGGGGAACTTTCGCAGTCCCTTCGTTCTCGGAGCTCGCAGTCTTTACTTGGGCTCGGCATTTCGGGCAGCTGTCATACTGCTTGAGCCACCTAGTGATGCACTCTTCGTCGAAAGCCGCGTGGCCGCATGGGAGCTCAATGACAGGTGAACTGTCTTTCATTTCCGTGGCACAGAACATGCAGTCGCTGTCATCATGCTCCAGCTTCACTTCGCCAAAAGTCTTTCGTGGCAATTCAGCAATGGTTGTGTCGGACGCGGGACGCTGTGGTACGTTGTTGCTTGGATCCATGGCTTCATCCCAGTGCTCGAACTGGCCTTGGTCATCCTCTTCATCGCTCTCTGAAAGCATATCGTCAAAAGCGCCGAAACCCCACTTGCGCTCGTCAAATTGCTCGAATCGGTAGCCGAGCTCGTGGGTGCGCCGTGGATTGAGACGTCCCATGAACTCAACAATAGCACCCATCAGATCCTGAGCGTTTGCGGGACCGATGTTGAGCAACATAAGTTGCGTGTCTTGCTGCTCCTTTGTGAGATCAGCACCCACGCAGACTGGACAGATTGGCTTCATGAAATAGCCCGGAAGCGCTCCCTCCCACGAGAGGAGAGGTACATCGTAATCCTTGATCATGCCATCCAGCTCCTGTACATCGTTGAGCCAGCCGTCGCGGCAGTTGGCAATGCATCGTCTGGAAGGATTTGTGGCGATGAATCGACGGACATAATCACCGTTTGGTGTAGCCCAGAACACGAAATGATCGTCGACGGCGATTTCCCGGATGCTCTTGGCACCTTGACATGCGCACGAATTGCTGTGATGCGTCAAAACCTCCTTTCCGTAGATGTGGAAGACGTGCTCGCCGTCCGCTCCGTCCGCCTTCTCGGCAAAGGTGACTGGCGCCATACGCAGGTCCTCGATCGTGCCATCAGACGTCTTCGTGACAGCAGAGACAATGTACATGGTTGGTAAGAAGGCCTGCACAATGCTCGTGCTGCTGGTGTTGCCCGTGTCTACGGAGGAGTCCTCACTCTCGCTGCTCTCTTCTGACTCGAACTCAGGTTGGTCATCTTCGCTCCGGATCTCATCGTCAGCGTCGCCTTCGGTAGCGTTGTCGTCCTCTTCATTTTGCTCCTCGCCCTCGGAGTCGTGGTCGTCATAGTCATCATCTTGGTCGAACTCATCGTCGTACTGAGGCTGAACGACCTTTTGTACGAAGACTAGATCGCCGACTTGCACATTCGCGAGCGCAGCATTCTGGCGCTCGGTGAAGGCTTGAATGTTCGCCATCTTGCGTCTTCTCCAACGTCTTGTCAAGAAATTCCAATTTCGTAAGATATAACGTCTTGCTGGGAGCATGTATCTGAGCGTCACAGACACATGAGTGGTGCGCTGGCGCGCAAGTTGTCGGTGTATGAGTTCAAATGATTTTGTGCGATGCGAGTCTAAAGCTTGAAAGCTAACTGCGTGCGGCAGCGGCTGCAGGGATCTTAGCGTCGGCGCATGTGAAAGTGGTAGCTTCGCGGATGCAGCGCCGTTACCCGCTGGCAACTACTCCGCGCACTGCTAGATCGTATTAGCAGTACAGATGTGATGCTTTCAAGCGAGAAGACTTACCCAGGCCGCCTGCTCCTGTAAGGCTGAAGGGAGTGGCGTGGCGTGACTTCCTGTTCGGTTCGGTCTGTGGCTTTGCGGCGACAAGGTTGGTTGCTTGTCGCCAGTCAGTATTGGAACACGCAAAGCAATAAAATGAGGGTCTGTCAGCGGCTGCGGCTGCGATTCTGCAAGTGAGGAGAAAGATGAGTGAGTCAAGAGTTGAGGTCGACGAGCCTCAGGCGCTGCTGGTTGCCTTCTGCTAGGCACTGCACCCTCAGGCAAGCTCGACCCACTTTGATCACGAGTGGCTTCGAAGGCGCATTCTGTGCGCAACTCTTCTGGTATATACAAACCTTCCCTTCACATGCTCTATGGCTCGCATTCCGCGTCTAGAGGGCGCCCAATTCCTTGAGCTTTGAGATCATGCCGTCCACATCCTCGACCTTTCCACCACCCTGCCTCGCCGGTGGCTCCGCAACCTTAATCGTCTTCAGCCTCTTCGCAGTATCAACTCCATAGTCTGCCAAGCTCTTCTTCTCTAGCGGTTTCTTCTTGGCCTTCATTATGTTAGGCAAACTTGCGTATCTCGGCTCGTTCAATCTCAGATCTGTTGTGATGATCATCGGCAGCTTGGCCTTGACTGTTTCCACACCACCATCCACCTCTTTTGTGACTGTGACACTTTCGCCTTCGATCTCAATCTTGCTCGCCTGTGTCGCCTGAGGCCAGTTCAGTAGGCCGGCAAGCATTTGCCCCGTCTGGTTGGCATCGTCGTCAATGCTCTGTTTGCCTAAGATGACAAGATTCCTCTTCTCATCCTCAACGACCTTTTTCAATAGCTTCGCGACACCCAACGGCTCAAGCTCAGTCTTCTCTTCTACCACGTGTATGCCCCGGTCGGCGCCCATTGCCATGGCAGTACGAAGGATGTCTTGACTCTTTGCGGGTCCTGCGGAGAAGACCAGAATGTCTTCAACATCCTTCTTTTTCTCTCTCAATCGCACAGCCTCTTCCACTGACAATTCATCAAATGGGTTCATGCTGTGCTTGACGTTCGTCTCCACGCCCGTCTGCGCTTTGTTGACGCGCGGTTTGACCTGAATTGTCCCATTCTCAGTCCATTGTCCAAGCTGCAACGCCAGTAATGAGAAGGCTTACCGCATAGTCAATGACCCTTTTCACGGGCACCAATATCCTGAGCTTCGACGACATCCTGAGCAATTGAAGAATAAGATGTCCAATGCTTGTCAAGCGAACAGAGGTGGGCAGAAGCACCTCTATTGCAGACATTGGTGCGTTTGCGATTTCGGATCGCGGCTCAAGCGCTCACTGAGCCGAGGAAGCCAGGCCGTGATGGAACCAAGGCACAAGACACAACGCTGACACTGACACTGCTTGAGAAGGAATTCAAGTCTGAAATTGCCCGATTCTCATCAATTCTTTTGGATCTACGTAAACTACATCGAATACAGTTTGTTGAATGGTAACGCACAATGCAACTCGAGATATATGTTCTCATTGGTTTGTACTTGCCTACCACTCAGTACCGCAACGCAACCCGATCATTCTGAATGCTGCACGCCTTTGCCCATGCCAGATAAGCCAATTGGCTGCCTTTGTAATCGGAGAGTAGAGTGAAGAGCCGGATGGCATGGGGGTAATGTCGAGGACAGATTACTTATGCGGTGGCAGTGTTCACGTTGGCAGAGCCCTCGGCGGTCGAAGGGTGAGCATCGGTTTCGGCCTCACCCTCGATTGGGGCATTTGGATCCTCGTCCTCCTTTCCTGGACTATCAATCGCGACCTTAACGGCGATCTCGCGACCCTCGATCTCCTTGCCGTTCATGTCGCTGCACGCCTTCTGTTGCAGCTCTTCACTAGCGAGTGTAACGAAGCCGAAGCCGCGGCCCTTGCGTGGCTCGTTGCGGGCTTGGAGCTTGCGGACCATGAACTTAGGAATCGGTCGAAGCGCAATCTTGGCGGAAGTCGGCGAGTAGTCGGCGAAGATCTCGAGCAGCTGGAGCATGTATTAGCAGGTCATCACAATTACGAGTAATAGTCGAAACGCACCTTCTCCTCACGAAGATCGTATGGCAAATTGGCGACCATGATCTTCGTCTTGCTCGGGACACCGTCCTCTGGTGGACCTCGCTGCTTGCGTGGGCGGGTTGCATTGTTCTTTCCGTCCTTGCTTGGGTCTAATGTGATGCTTCCAGCCTCACCTGGCTGAGCGCTGAGAGCCTCGTTGGTGGTGGATGTGAGAGGATTGACCTGGCCTGGGACGTTGGTTGGAGCCCCATTGATGGTAGCCTCCTCAGCACCAGCCTCTCCGTTGGTCTCACGCTTGCCACCGCGGCCACCGCGAGCGGCGCGACCAGCACGTCCACGTCCGCGGCCACGGCCTCGGGTAGAATTGCGGCGGCGCTGCTGACCATCGCCGCCCTCTGCGTTCTCTGCAGCTGGAGAAGCCTTCTCGGCGGCTGGTTCAGGCTTGCGGGCGAGCTGAACGGAGACCTTGCGGTCGAGGATGGTCTTCCCGTTCAAGTCGTTAATAGCACGCTCGGCCTCGGAAGGCGTGGATACGTCAACGAAGGCGTAGCCAACTGGGCGAGTAGTGCGTGGGTTGGTTGGGATAGATGTGGTTTCGCTACCATCTCATGTCAGCTGCATATCCTCTTACTGGTGTTCTTGATGGCAGGCGTAAACGTACACAAGGTAGTCCTTGAAGAACTCCTTCAACTCTCCCTCGGTGGTCGCATACGCGAGGTTTCCAATGTAAAGTCTCCGACCCTCAGCGGCGCTGGCGATGACGGCCTCGTTCTGCGAAGCGTTGATGGGCTTGTCGCCGCCTTGGCCGACGTTGGCGCCTTCAGCACTGGCGCTTGGCTCGTTGAGGGTGGTGTTTGCCATTTGGGTAGTGGCAGCGTCGACAGACATTGTATTGGCGGTGTTTGATTTGCACGAAGTGTATTAGATGTGGCGTTGAATGAGGACTGTACTTCGGTGACTGAAGTACTTCGTGAACACTCGTCGAGCTGTGGAAAACAGATTGTCGAGCTGCAGCCAAAGCACATGTCAGCCATTTCACCAAACGCAGCGTCACACGACCCAGCAGCGCAGCAGATGCGCGTGTGGCTGTCGCATCGGCGTTGCAAGCAGAGGGCGGACTTCACTTACGGAGAGTTGGTTGCCTAGCTTAGAGGGCAAGATCCGGGAGTTTTTGGTGGTGAGTAGTGTTGATGGGTTGTTGACTTGACGATGGAAAAGAGCAAGAAGCGAAGCTGGCGAGAAAGGAGAGATCACAATTCTGGCAGCCAGGGTCTGACGGAGCTTGGCAAGGAAATCGCGTCCAGCCAGAGGCATGCGCAGCCAATCACGAATGAGCACTCCATCTCTCGCAGGAGAGTGAACAGCTCCGAGATTAATAAATTTCGTGCGTACATGATTCAGCACTGTCACATGCAGTGCAGTGCTGTCAGGCTGGGAGGCGAAGACCTGCGGACTACGCTGCGCGGTGTCTTCTGTGCTGTTGATGTGCACCTGCCAGGCGTACATCATCTCTGGAAAGGGCGTGTGAGGCGATGGCAGGCTCCAAGCTGCCAAATGGAAGGCAGAGTCACCAGCTTCAAGATCGGTATGCCGAAGCCTCCGTGCTGTGCTTGCGTAGCCGAGTTCGCACGCCTTCACGACAATGCATCTTGGTCGACGCTGACCTGCACGACAGACTCCCACGCCGCAACGCTTTGGTCTTGTACGGCTCAGAGACCGGCAATGCTCAAGACGTGGCGGAGGAAATTGGCCGCATGACTGAACGCCTCCGCTTCGATACTACCGTGCTTGACCTCGATTCTGTGCAGCTTAGAGATCTCGTGAAGCCGACGGTGGTACTTTTCGCCATCTCCACCACTGGCCAAGGTGAGCTCCCGCAGAATGCTCGCGCCTTTTGGAGGAAACTGCTCAGCAGTGCCTTGAAGCCCGGAGTCTTGCGCAAGCTGCGCTTCTCGTCATTTGGCCTGGGCGACAGCTCGTATGCTCAATACAACGTTGCGCACCGCTTGTTGCATGGCCGGCTTGTGCAACTTGGAGCCCAGAGTGTCTGCGAGCGCGGCGAGGGCAACGAACAGCATCCTGAAGGTCATAGTGCCGGCTTTCGAGAGTGGATCGTCCAGCTCAAGAAGCAGCTATTGGACATCTTCCCCTTGCCAGACGGTCTGCACCCCATCCCGGAGCACGAGTTCGTCGAGCCGAAATGGAAGCTGGAGCTGAAGGATGCTTTCCATGCTTCTGCTTCGAATGACGGGGCTTGGCCTGCCGGTGAGCTCTCGGACGAGAAGACTCCCTCCGTCGACCCATTGCCAGTCAAGGGATCCACTCTTGCTACCATAGAGCACAATGATCGTGTCACTGCCACGAACCATTTTCAAGATGTAAGGCTACTGGACCTTCGAATCAAAGAAAGGGTTGCATATGGCCCTGGAGCCGTCGCGGTAATATATCCCAAGAACTTTCCTGAGGACGTTCAATCTTTCATCGAGCTCATGAAATGGCGAGATGTTGCAGATCAGCCTCTCTCACTGACTACAGATCAAGTGGTATCAGCTTCTGAGCTGTCAACGCCATCACCATTACGGCACCTCGATTTGACCCGTGTCCATCTCACATTGCGCTGGCTTCTAGAAAACGTCCTCGATATCATGTCCATCCCGCGGAGGTCCTTCTTCGCCGCACTGGCACACTTTGCTGGCAGCAGCAACGAAGACGAAGAGTACCAGAAAGAACGACTTCTCGAGCTGGCAAACCCCGAACTGATCGACGAACTATGGGACTACACCACGCGACCGAAGCGGACCATTGTTGAGGTCATGATGGATTTTGCAACTATTAGAATACCATGGCAATACGCGTTGTCAACTTTGCCCTTGATGCGCGGCAGACAGTTCAGCATTGCTAGTGGTGGTAGATTGAAGATGGATGGAGAAGGAAACACCAGGGTTCAGCTTCTCATCGCCATTGTCAATCCGCCGAGTCCGATCATCAAATGGCGCAAGAGATATGGTGTCTGTACCAGGTACGTTTCGACGCTCCAGAACCAGCAGCAGATCAACGTTCAGATCCAGGAGGGCTATCTGGATGTCCAGCCTAACGAGCTTGCACATCCGGTCGTACTAATCGGACCTGGAACGGGGCTTGCTCCAATGCGATCAATGATTCACGAGCGATGCATGTGGGCAGACAAGAATCCCATTAAGTCCTCAGAGCATGCACTCGATGGCGACATCCTTTTCTTCGGCTGTCGAAATGAGAAAGCCGACTACTTCTTCCGCGAAGAGTGGGAACAATTCGCGAGCATGGCGAAGCTACGCCATTACACGGCATTCTCGAGGGACAGTGACAAGCCAAGACAGTACGTCCAGGACCAAATTCGTGCACGCGGATCAGAAGTATGTGAGGCACTGGCTACGCGCAATGGCAAAGTGTATGTCTGTGGATCCTCGGGAAATATGCCCAAAGGCGTAAGACAGGCACTATTGGATGCCTTCGTAGAACATCAAAAGCTCGACTTGGCAGAGGCCGAGAAACTTCTTGAGACAATGGAGAAGAGCGGAAGATACAAACAAGAGACATGGTAATGATGCCCGAGAAGTTTTTTATAACTGGTGTAGCCAACAACAACGGCAACGAATCGGGCAGGTGCATGTGACCTGCGGAGTTATCTGCAGAAAGCTTATGTCGAAGCTACAAGAGGACTAGACTCGGTGAATGTCACCTCGACCGCCATACCCTGGAATTGGTATTCTTTCGAGTTTATCAACAGGCTCCGGCACGCGCACGATGGTGACGAAGCGCACGATGGTGACGAAGCGCACGATGGTGACGAAGCGCACGATGGTGACGAAGCGCACGATGGACAAGACGTGCACGATCCACACTGATTGCCTGTTCGACTCCAAGAAGAAGACTTTTGTCACGGATATGTCACTCGTTGTAGATCCTGAGTCTTGCCTCATTACCAAGGTGTACAAAAGACGAGGTGCTTCTCTCAAAGATTTCGACGAACCGTATATCGACCTGAGAGGTCGATGTGTCCTTCCCGGGCTTGTCGATGCTCATACTCATATATTCTTGCATCCCTACGAAGAAACGCCATCATTGAATCAGATGCGGGATGAGAGCATTATAGAACGCACGATTCGAGCTACCAACCACTGCCGTGCCGCTCTTCTTGCTGCCTACACTACCTATCGCGATCTCGGAACAGAGTCTGCTGGTGACGCGGATGTACATGTTCGTAACGCGATCAATCGTGGCATCATTCCTGGGCCGCGTATCTTCTGTGCTACGGAAGCATTAGCAGGTAGTGGCGGATACGAGTTGCGCATCGAGTCTCGCATCAATGGCGTTGAAGTGCCAAGGATCTCCGACCCGTGCGACGGTGTTTCTGGTGTCCGAGCTGGAGTAAGACGAAGAATCGGTGCTGGAGCTGATGTGATCAAGTTCTATGCCGACTATCGAAAACGCGCTCTGAGGTTCCCCGAAAATGCTTGGCCAGGCTGTCCAGGTATCATACATCCTCCTCCACAGAAAGGCCTGATCAACGAGAGAAGCCCAAATCTGCCGCTCTTTAATCAAGAAGAAATGAACGAGATCGTACGCGAGGCGAAAAGCTCGAGAGCCCCAGTGGCTGCGCATGCTCAAGCTGCGGAGGCTGTTGCCATGGCTGCGAAAGCTGGTGTGACTAGCATCGAGCACGGATCCGAGTCTTGGGAAGGAACAGATGTGGCCGAGAGTATGCTCAAGAACGATGTGATCTTTGTCCCAACACTTTCCGTCTTCGAATTGTACTTTCCAATGAAGGAAATTCTGGCGCAGACTAAGCATGCTTTCGACGCAGGCATCAAGCTTGCCGCCGGTGGTGACACTGGCGCATTCGCACATGGAGAAAACGTTAGAGAGCTGGAGTTGATGCTCCAAGCCGGAATACCACTAGAGGAGGTCTTGACTGCTGCGACTCTACATGGGTGGGAGGCATGCGGTGGGGATTGGTGTGGCAGGAGATTCGGCTGGATCGAGGAGGGCTGTGCGGCAGATATTGTAGCACTTGGTGGAGATGTCAGAGTCGATGCTGAAGCCCTCAGAAATGTCGAGTTTGTGATGAAGGACGGCAAAGTCTACAAGCAAGATGGTCTGCCTGTGGGCATGATCTAGACTCATGGCGGACGGACGTTCGATACGCTTGCCGACTTGTCCCCTTCATCTGTAGCTGGTACCTGCGGAAATGCCAGAGACGGAGTGAGGCCCTTCGAATGCCATCCAGATCTGGAACACTATCCGAGAAGTCGAGTCCATGCTGAGCTTAACCGGCCGAACAATGCATGAGAAGCATGAGCTGCATTGCATGTAAGGATTGCTCAGCTTGAGGTGGACGCTGTGCAGAAAGACAGGGAGCTCGCGTTGCATCGCAAGAACTTTTCAGAATGAGCAGGACGCTGCCCAAAAGCCCAGTCCGATGCCTGCAGAATGAAGAAGCAAAGGTCTGGTTGTAGGACATGCTGGGGGAAATTAGTGGCATTAACTGCTCCGGGGAGTTCCAGAAGGAAGCAGCTGCCTGGTATCGAAGCGGTAGCACTATAAAGAGTCCTGGGCGGGCACGAGAAGACAGACTTTGGCGTAGGAGCGGCCGAGAGATGAATCCACAAGGCTGTTTGCTGAACAGACATAGGGCTACCATGTGTGCGTTCGTCCGTCGCGCAAACCCTGTTCGTGGACGGTGATGGAGAATACAAGCGAACGATCGAGAGTCCGGCAGTCCATCGAATGCGTACTTCCTGGTGGAGAAGCTGCCGTGAGTGTTGCCGGCTGGCAGAGAACGTGGATGACGAGGAAAGGAATTTTACGAGTCTGAGGCCAGCAGTAGAGACATGGTCAATTTGCATCAAAAAGAAATGGCAGTCTCACTCTTATGTGCGAAGATGCCGTGTCTTGTTGTGGTTTTGTATAGTGTCGGGATTTGATATCTTGGAAGCTTTGACCGTTGTGCTTAGAGAACGACAGCGGTAGTCTCAAAGACTCCGGGAAATTTCGCTCCGTGTTGCCCTCGCGACCTGCCATCTTACGAAGATCAGAATGATTTCCCGAGTGTATTAGACTCTTCTTTGGCTGCGATGCTTGTGCCTGCGTTTTTCGAATCTGCAAGGTTACACAGCAAGAACACGTTCCGCCACCACCACGATGGCGACGCCGTCAAGTCCAGAAACACCAAAGAACCATTGCGAATCCATCAGCAGCTTTGAATGCCCTCGGGTTCCGCCGTTCAGAGCTTATCGAATACGGCCGCACCAAGTCCCTCTCATACACAAGCGACTGCAGACCGTCATTCCAGAACTAGGGTATAAAGACAACGATGCGGCGAGATATGTGCAGAAGTCATTGCAGCGTGACACACAGGCGTTGTTCGTAGCCCAGGACGGCCACGACACTCCGCTACCACACGAAGCTATCATGCTGTCGATGGGTAAAGGTTCAAGGGTCCGGGTGTATCATGCAAGTCGGCCTGTGACTGGTGGAGTAGATTGGTTCCAGTGGGTCGAAGCTACAGCAGAGGGAGTAGGTCTGCAGAAGATTGAGCTGCCATACACAATATTTCTGGAAGATATCGGATGGATGTTGAGGGCACAATCTGCAAGTAAGTGGCGCTTGACACAAATTCCGCAGCGCAACCCGAGCTGACAGCAAAGCAGGCGCGAGAGGGCAAGAGCACGTCGGCGACACACACCTAATACACCGGGTGGAGAGATTCTTTGCAGATGTCGTTTTCGTTGTTCGTGGGAAATTCTGGGCCGAAAGCAACCTCATGTCTTGGAAGCGCTCCGCGATGACATGTTAGGCTGTGATTTGATGAGTTAGATATTGAGCAAAAGCGTACAACGCATTTGTTACTATACCGTAGAACTCAGGAATGGTAATCTCGTGTCGTCCGACGTAGAAGCTCTGCCGCTTCGGCGCGGCGGCGCTGCTGGTGGTTTTGCAAGCAGTGCCTTATTCTCCGCCCTTCCTCAACGATTCCTCCAAGCTTCACTACTTCCCGCCAAATATGTGACGAAGACCGCGTATCTGCGGCACTTTGTGACGCGCTTGCCATTTCGCCGCTCGCTGTTTCTTCCTCCCATGCGCATGCGCTGCAGCAGTGCGGCCACTTGGTCACGCACGTAACGTCTGCGATCCCATGTCTTCCCGCCTCTCTCAGTGATTCCTGAAATTCTTCTTCTGGTAGAACAGATCCGTCCTCGAACTGCCCAGATTGATGATCTTGGGACATCCGTCGCGGTCCTTCTCTAGTCGCGTGCACTCAAAGCAGTAGAAGGCGTCCGATATACCCTCGCCACCGCACACAACGCACTTGTTCTGGTAGTTGCCGAAAGCGCATTCGTCGCAGATTCGGACAAGGGTGGTTGGTCGGACGTAGGAGTCGCAGACGGGACATTTGCCGTCGCATTTGTCGCAGAGACGGCCGATGGAGATGCCTGCCGTCTTGCGGCACATGACCAGATCGCTGGACGCGGTGTTAGCGGTTGAACATCAGAATCCTCAAACGCAAGGATGGACGTACGGATGATGGCGAGACATGTCGACCGGCGGGCTTGGGTGTGGTGTTTGCGGATCAGAAACGGGTTCGGTTCAGTGCGCGGCTCTGTGGTCGTGGTAGGATTGCGCACAGCTGGTCAAGATGTCGAAGGGCAGAAGTGATTGCAACCACAGACGAGTCTCAAAACTCAGAAGCTCAGGAACCTAGCAGCATTTAGCCTCATGAACGCCTCGCGGGCTCAGCCACAATTTTACGGGATGACTATGACCACGACTGCAGATCGGCATGTTCACTTACGTTTCGTCCTGAATCTTCCTCCGTCTTCCTCAGGCCAAACTTTCTTTGGAGCCTGTGGCCTCGGAATCTGAAGCCTGAGATGTAGCCCATGCCGATTGCGCGATTGCTTTCTCCTCTTCGCCGCTGTCTGTCTGTTCGTGTTGTGCTGACCACAGGCACAGGGCGGGCAGCTGAGGAACACTCCACTTTCCCTGCCAAGTCGAGACTGACGACAGCTTCGGACCGGACGGCATGCGCGGCGTGTTACCAAGAACTACATGTACATGGACATCCAGAGGTGGCACGCGGGGCTACACGTATCATCAAGACGAGGCTTGTCGAGAGTCTGGAGCTGTTTCAAGGCATAGACTTGCTTTGATATGCCTCGAACTCTGCTTTCTATCTCGTCCAAGACTCCTTGCAATTCGAACCGCAGCATTGCGCGCTTGAACGCTGTACACCCATCTATGCTTCTCATCCACTTCATCTATAACTTCGCGCCTTGCTGTTTCTTCTCCTTGGCCATTTCTTCCTTGGCCTGTTCTCTCAGCAGCCGCTTCAGGATCTTGCCAGACGCGTTCTTCGGTATGCTGTCGACGAATACGATGCCGCCTTCGAGCTTCTTGTAGTATGTAAGCTTCTCCTGCATGTAATCCTGCACTTCTTTGACTGTGGGCTTGCCGTCCTTCGTTCTTCGCACGATATACCCGCGCGGTAATTCGTCTCCTTCTCGTTTCGGGTCCGGCACTCCAATCACTGCCGCATCGATGATCTCGGGGTGCATGAGCAGGGTACCTTCCAGCTCGGGTGGTGTCACTTGGAAACCTCGGACTTTGATGAGTTCCTGCAATACGTTAGCACATGGTACCGCATTCATTCGATGCACGAACGACCCACTTTTTTGCGGTCGACGATGTAGTATAGCTTGCTCTTGCCATCGATGTAAGCAATGTCTCCCGTATGGAAGAAATTATCCTTGTCCCAGTCTCGTGCGTTCGCCTCAGGATTCTCGAAGTAGCCTTTAATGACCGTGGGGCCTCGCACACAAATCTCGCCTCTTACATCGTAATCAGTAATGTCCTTTCCATCGTCATCCACGAGTTTGACATCCAGGTTTGGAATAGGCCAGCCAACGCTGCCAGTCGTGTCGTGAGCTGGATAAGCATGTCTCGTGGCTATGCAGGACGTTTCGGTCATGCCCTATGAGTAGACTGGTCAGCATACCGCCCGAGCAGTTCTGCGAACCGTTTCATGATTGGGGTTTCATACCCAAACTTGCGTAAAAGGGGCCCCTTCGCCCATCATAGCCTGCATCCTTGACTGGGGCCCTTTGTCTAGCGGTGCTGCTCCACACTGCCCAACCCTTGCCGACTTGAGGCTGTACTTCTTGTTCAAGGGACTATTGATCGCCATGACAACGATTGGAGGCACAGCCCCAAGATCAGTAATCTGATATTCCTGATGTGCCCAGAACCATTTTTCAAGATCGAAGCGTGGCATCACGTAGGCTCGATCACCATTTCGTAAAGGTGTGCAGAAAGCGCCCGGCGCAGTCGCGGCATGGAACATGGGCAAAGCGAGTAGCCGTCTGACTTTCCATTCTCGAGGGTTCGTCTCGAATACCAACGTATGCTGAGCTGTGAGGTTCAGATGCGAGAGTTCTGCTGCTTTGGGCAAACCCGTGGTTCCGGAGGAATATAATCTCGCTGCACCTGTCATATATGCGGTGTTGTAGTCGTCGAAGCGGACCCAATCTGTCTCTCCATGTTTCAGGAGATCGATCCACTGTAAGTACCCTTCGGGTGCCTGTTCCTTGCAATCAGTCTCGCACGCGCTGATGGAATCTTTCAAATCGTACCTTCTCGCCATAAGGATTGAACATCAAAATGTTCTTCTTGGGTATCCCATTATCCGCTGCTGCTTTCGCTATGCCTGACAGGAGCTCTGGCTGTGTCATAATAAACTTGACTTTGGCGATCTTGGTCGTGTGGGTAAGCTCATGCTGGGTGTAAGCAGGATTTGTTCCTGCATAGACACCACCCGCCGCAATCACACCTAGGAAGAATATAGGATAATAGATATGGTTCAGGCTGTGTATCGATACACAGTCACCTTTTTGTACCCCAATGGCTTTGAAGCCTGCCGCTAATTGCCGGACGAGCTTGTGTGCCTGTCGAGCAGAAATCGAGTGCTTGGGATTGAGGGCATCGATGTAGATGGGCTCATCCCAGTCGTACTTTATGTGGTCAAAGGTCCAGGAATTTATGTCTTTGTTCGACAAAGGGAAGTGCTCTTTCGCAAGGAATGGCATTATGGCTGTTGCTGGTTCCTGTTACTGTCGCTGTTGGTGTCGCTTGAGCGTTGGTGAGCTGAGAGCTTGGGAGTGGGTCGAGAGGAAGACAGAGGTAGGGGGAAAAGATGACTTTGCTCTGTATGTGAAATAGTTCACGAAGCTCACAGAAGCGAAACAGCCTCCGATGCAAGTAGGCTCGGGGGAGTCAGCGGGCGCGCTCACGCGGCGAGCTCCTCAAGTAGTATAGAAGTATGAGAGCAGGGCTCCCCAGATTGGCTTAATTATCTACGCCGCGGTTGTATGCAGGATCGACGACTCGATGGTGCTATGTAGTCACCGGCATACCGCTGTACCGAGCCGCATGTACCGCCCGACTTGCCCGAATTGAAGCGGCTGTGTCGTGTGTCCAGGTCGGCATGGGCCTCTCGTTCATTGTGCTCAATCGGCATGCTTCTGCTTGGTGAATGCGTAGATGGTTGCTATGAAAGATGCAACAACGAGAAAGAGGACAAGGCAAGGGTGAGACCCTCGTCCCGAAGCACAACCGAACTTACCGAAGCTGTCGAAGGCAGACAAATTGCCGAAGCCAATCGCGCCCTCGATTTCCCGGATGCTTGATTTCCTGAGTCAGCTTCCCTTCCATCCATGAGCTGCCCAGCTGTCGACTTCACTTGAATCCACAATAGTCGGATCGAGGATGTCGTTGAAGATTCGCCGCTCCAGGAGGGAATAAAACAACATCTAGCGCTGTCCTTTTCAGGTTGACTCGTCCTTCCTCATCGCCATCGCCGTTCTACGCACTCCTCTCCAGGTCCTGCCCTGTTGCCCAATCGCCGTATCTGCTCGCTGTCCGGTGTCAGATCAGTGTTCGGTCAGATGAGCAGCGGAACTCCACACACACCTCCGAATAGAGAGCTCGGCATTCCACACATCTGCGCATGAGCTGCTCGAATCTGCTAGCACAAAAAAAAAGCCTTGCAATACTGGACTCAATAGCAGAATAGAAAGAGCAGGGACAGGGTGTAAGAATATGTCAGGCGTTTCGCATATGGCTTGTGGACGGCTTTGGCTTTGCAAGCTTGACTCAGAAATGCTGTGACCAGCCTGAGTTGAGACACCAGCTTGCTGTAGATGGGAATAAGAGATATCAGAATCGGCCATGTCGATTTACCTAAGTATCTGGATTGGAGAAGCAGCGCACGATTCGCCAGCGCCACGTATCCATCTGCGAATGAACACGGGCCCTAATTACTAGTCCTCGAGAGATTTCGTGGCGCGGACTTGGTACATGGCGTCAAGCCTTGCGTATGAGTTGACAAAGCCATGCGACTGATACGTGGCTTAGTCTGTGGATGAGACGTAGAGAAAGTGTTGAATTCGCAGCTGATATATACATTGATTGTGACCATCGACCCATGATAAGGACAATTCATCGATTCTTTCCGAGTTCACTTTCGAACCAAAGACGACAAGAATAATAGACACCCGTAACACGTAGGCTCCTAACAATACAGGCAATCGATCTGTCGGACCCTTGGCACAGTGGGTAAGGCGACTGATTTCTTCATTTGTCTTCCGCACACACTTACGTCCTTTCTAGTAGCGCGTCGGATTCCAGTCTGTACTGGAGATTCCCGAAGGTCGTGCGTTCAACTCGCACAGGGTTCAAGGAATCCCTTTTTGTTGTTTTCGTCGTGGTGTCGTAGAACACGGGAATGACCAATTAATCATGTCCTGGCCCTCCTGATGACGCACCAGAATCTAGATACACAATGACCGGCGGATGGCCTGGTCTACCTGTCGGAGGTTCTGAGCCCCTTGTGAAGAGGCCTGGTGCTTTTATGCCATGGCCCTCTGCAGGCGCCGAACCTGAGTCTTGAGCGACATTCGGGCAGAAGTCGGAGCTGTCACTCTTTTGAAGATCCAGTACTGCTACATCTCTTCTGACGAGACGCCGTACAGCCAGGACATTGCTGAAGAGAGTCACAGAGAAGATCAGTGTAAGAAGATGATTGGAATGCATGGTGGACGTAGGCTTGGGTGTCGTTTCATTGATCGTAGTCGACGAGATGGAATTGACGGTAAAGCCTGTTCCTGGTAGCGTGGTATTTCGGAAAAATATGTACGACAATGGTACGGGTGATGGACGAATGTTGCATCACAATCATGTTCTCTTCAATCATGAATTGACCCAGCTCATGTATCAGATGTCACCATTTCCCTGTCTATGGACTTCCCAAAGGTTCTGAAGAGTATTCTCGACTTCGCGCAGGCTTGAGAGATTGAAGATCCGGTATGAAAGTGTGACTGAAGTTCTTTCCAGGCGTCCAGATACAGGAATACCTAGTGTCGACGATTCATCTCGATGCTATGAAAATGTTCAGGCAGGCAGCAGGTGGTGGAGGCCCGCACACCACTCGTCGCGATATCCGATGTATTACGACCAAGGTACAGTCTGGTGTTTCGGGACTCGTGAACCTGTTGTTTTCTCTGAATTCAAATAGTGCGTTAAGCGCCATGACTGCTGACTCGAATCCGAAGAACTTGTCGTTTCCAACTTAGTCGTGTCGTCGAACCGGCCTGCGTTGTTGATTCGAAGCTTGGCTACATGGATCAGACCAGTCCACCGGCTGGTGGTTCCACATCTTGTAGCAATGGCAAGGTACGTGAAGGAGCTGACACCAAACCCTGTGTATTAGGAGGATCCAAGTAATGTGAGTCCTTGATGGAGGCATGATCTTTTGAAGTGGAGCATAGTACCTCTTCTTGCCGCTTGTACCTCGTCAATTGGGCGAGGATTAAAGGAAAGACTGCACCTGGGAGCGCAAATGCTTCAAAGCAGCCTCGTCCCGCCCGGCACTCACCAGATCGTGATTTCTCCAGAGACCGCAGCATCTTCCTCGGGTTATGTCCCAAGGTTTAGCAACTTACCAAAGTCAGTAATCTCGTATGCTCCAGTAGAACAGTGATGGCTATTTGCCGCACCTGGTAAATCTGCTGGCCTCTTGACCTTGAACATTGCTTCGTCCGCGAGCAGTCTGCCTTCGTCGTCCTTGTACACATAGCACAGTCTTCCCATGCCGCCTTTGTAGAAGCTGTGTCGGTATTCTGTGTGATTCGCAGGGGAGAGTTCGATTTCAACAAAGCGGGCTGCTTCTGGTACATCGCTGGCCTCCAAATCCACTCCTTCGGGCTTGCCAGTGATTTCACGAGCTCGTTTCTCCTCAAGGTCAGCCACTAGCTGCGCAAAGGAGGCGAGGTACCAGCTATCAAAGACACCCTGCATATTAATGGTCCGGAGGAGTTCGATGCATCTTCGACGGATTGAACTCTTGCGTGACTTGAACGCAATCATGCTAATGCAAGGCACAAGGTCGGTTCCTGCGAATGCAGAAAAAGCGGTCAGCAAGCTGGTCACATCATCACTTGATACTTCTCGTCGGAAGCGCCACACAGTAACATAACATACCAACGGTGAAGGCCTGTCTCGTTGCATGATACGGCTGCCCAGGCTCGGTCTTCGCATCGCATGTTACATCGCTGTGCATTTCCACGTAGGCCTCCGCCAGAGTAACGATGTGAGCGAATTGCGCTTCGAAACGATCAATCTGCATCTCGTTTTCATCACGCCAGCTCGTTATGATGAACCAGATGTAGAAGAAGTGTATCTGAATGAGAAACTGCGCGGACTGCTTCTGTCCTGACTCTGGCATATGCGCAAGGGCAGTCATCCATGCATTGAGAGATTCCATGTCATTCTCAATGCGCTCTTCAAATTCTGTAGTCAACTTGATCGTGCGCGAGTATGCACATGATAGGCAGTTCCTCATGTCTTCGTCCATGCTTTCCAGATCTGGTCTCTGGGAAGAAAGCTCACGGTCGGCCATAATGACGATGTCTCGGCAATTGGAATGAGCTGCGCCAGCAATGGCATCGAGATGCACCAAAGCTTCCTCGAGCGAGGAGAAAGACGTCGGGAGATGCTCGTGGCACATCGGCATAAGATATGGTTCCTCATCGCCAATGATTGTTAGGTCTCCATCGAGTCTCACGAAGGTCTGTAGGAGCAGATCCATATTATTTCGAGGTCTGCTTTGCAGTCTCACGACCCGCTTTTCCTCTCCATCTATGTCAATCATCCTCTGAGGGGCTTTGTAAGCGTCCATCCTTCGCAGTCGTTCGTACAAAATCCTCAGGCCTGTGCGTAGGTGCATTGTGGCTCTTGCATCTTCGCTGTGCATGATCTCGAAGCAGAAGAAGAGTAATGAAACCAAAAGTACAACCTCGACATCCCAGTCTGTGCACTTGTCGCTGATGCCTTCTATGTATCTGCGAATGTAGCTCATTGCTTTGTTATATTGATTGAGCGCGAATAAGTGCTGATCGGGGTCGACACTCACCGCGCCAGTCGTTGAGGAATATGTAATTGCTCGGTGTATAGATCCTAGGGCTACTGTCGCGTGTGTTATAGCGGGTTCATGATGCCCGACTTGCAGAGCGAGTCGGTCCCAGCTCAGAGTCCAGGAGCTGCCAGGCAGCTGATGCACCGTGTGCGAGCGGAAGAAGTCGAAGGCGTGGACTTCATATGAGCTCATCTGAAACGCTATCGTGGCTGGCTTGTCCATAGGATATAGCATCGGCAAGTCCTCCGCTCCCTTCGGTAACAGGATGCATTGCGGCTTGCCGATTCTCGGAGGGGGCACATCATAGCCAGCACACTCCCGATTTGACGACACACATCTCTGGCAGGCTACAATGAAGGATCAGCTGCATTCTGCATTCGTAGCTGCTCTGCGCGTGGGTACAAGTCTCACCAGGCCGTTCCTCCGTACACTTAATGTGCCGTGCGCGACATGTTCTGCAGCCTGTGCGTGTTTTCGGCCTCTTGGCTCGTTTACGAACGACTGGGATCGTCATGTGTGAATGGCGCTGGCAGCGGTTGGTGTGTGTAGCAGCAGACGGAGCGATACATGCACGAGATGGGTGGCCTCGTTCAGAAGGCCGCTGACATTCCTCGAGATGGCCGAGACTGAGACGAGGGCCTCGCGGGGATCAAATACGGTACGGTGTCGGTCGATTCTTCGACGGTCCATGATAGAGGTCGCCGGCCTGGGTGGTGATCTTGCTGTGCATTGTTATTATTGTCGTGCAGACACCAAGGGCATGTCTTCGGCGCGATAAGGCCGCCAGGCTGCATGCCCTGGCGCCTTCCAAGACTTTTCGTATAGCGGCCAATGAGAAGGGTCGGCAGCAGACTCTGCGCCAATTAGATGGCCTGAGCCGTGAAGAGCAAAAGCTTGTCTCACGTATCAAACGCGCAGTGACCGCATCGTGTCCCGCAGCGAGCCTCCAGTCGACTCAATCAGACAGAAGCATACCCTTGTGTGAGGCGCGCGCTGTGGGTATTGGGTATTGAGCCATTTCTGTGGCGCCCTTGACTGCCATACCTTGTTCTGCTTGGTCCGCAGTACTTTAGACGCGCAAGCAGACACAAGAGCTTGAACTTCCTCGTATCATAGGCCGTGCAACACCCGCCAGGATTTGAGTCCCGCTCTCGCCGATACCATCGGGATCCTCTCATACAAGACTCAAGTTCCAGAACAAACCTGCCCCAGGATCCTCACAGGGACGGGGGAGAAACCAATATAGTGTATCTCTGGCATAGTATACATAACATGGGAGGAGACATCTTGCCAGCTGCCCTTTGCAGCCTTCCTCCAGCATTCTCAGGTGCAAGTGCTATTGTTCCCAACGCCTGACTGACTCTGTTCGTTTCAGACCCTCCTCCAAGGCTCGCAATAATGACATCTACTTTCAATGGCCGAAAACGCCCGAAACAAGCTCCCCAATATCGCCAGCATCCTCGGGATACACCCAAAAGGCAATGGCTATTATTATGTATGTGCCAATGCACATGCAGCCTTCCAGGTAATTGCTCTTGCCGTCTTGGATTAGGTAATTTACGACAAGGACGGAGAGGAAGAAGACCACGGTCTCGAATCCCTGGAAGTGGAGGGACATTGGTTGACCGATGATCCAGCCGAGCATGACCAGAAATGGAGTAACGAATAGCGCAATCTGCATCGAGCTGCCGATGGCGACGCCGACCGCCAGATCCATCTTGTCCTTCCAGGCAACGACGACCGCCGTAACGTGCTCAGCGGCATTGCCGACGATCGGTAACAGGATCAGACCGATAAAGGTCTTGCTGATGCCGGAAGATGCCACGATAGAATCGATGCTGTCCACGAGGTACTCGGCGCACACAGCGACCAGGACAGTTACGAGGATGAGGCAGATGGTGGCAGGGATTGGTCCTAAAATCTCGGGCTCCTTTTGACCCTCACCCTCCTCGCCTTCCTGTGCTTCGGCATCAAAGAGCTTCGCATGGGTCTTGAGCTGAAAGACAAGGTAAAGAACATAAAGAATGAGCATGATGATAGAAGTTCCGCGAGAGAGAACGAGGATGTTGGTGTTCGAGTCCTCAGTGCTCCGGACGAGGGCTGCGTACATGGTGGCCGGAATAATAAGCGACGTTGCAGCAACCGCCATCAGAGAAGACATGGTGGAGGCCACGGTCTCGTTGAATCTGCTCTCGCCTCGTCTTAGTCCAGATGCAATGAAACAGCAGCCAAGGACAAGTAAGAGGTTAGACAAGATCGAGCCAAGCATGCTAGCTTGCACGATTCTGATCTCGCCTTTGGTGAGTGCAACGATGGAAACCTGTTCGCTGTCAGCCATGAAGTGTGGGGGTAGACTGTGCTGAAACTCACAATCAGTTCGACAGCATTGCCGAAGGTCGCGTTCATGAGTCCGCCGAGCGTCTGGCCCAGCTTGACCGATATCTCTTCCGTCGCGAAACTCAACAGTCCGGCCAGCGGCACGATTGCGAGGAAATTGACGATGAAGACCGCAGTTGGGTTCATTTCCAAAGCTCCAAGGACAATGCCTACCGGCACGGTGACCAGGAGCACGTTCACATAGTTGCTCGCCAACGTGGCCCAAGTCAGGCGCAAGAAGTTGGACGGCGTCCGCACCCACCATCGCTCATCTTCAGAATATGGCTTTCCATTTGAATTACGTGTTATTGATGATAGTCCGTTGGGCGCTGAGATGAGAGGGGTGCTTTCGTTTGCGTCTGCGCTCGGTCGGCCATTGGGTCGCGAATCGTCGCTGGGAGGCATGGTATCGGATTGCTGGTTGCTGTAGCTCAGGCTACTGCCGGTGCGGCCGTGCTTGGAGAAGGCGCGTTTGAGCTAGTCTATAGGATAATATCGCGCATCAGTCGGAGGTGTTCACGGTCGCACAAAGGAGTGCCGGCTGGCAATAAAGCGACTCGGCTCCTTGTAGCTTCTGCTGTCCCGGTAGCCAAGAAAGTACTTGGCTGGTGGCGTGACGACCAAGTAAGCAGGCGGTGCTCTCAGCAGAGATGAAGTGCTCACCGTCTGCCAAGAGAAATGCGGCGGAGGGCAGGGGGGTGACGACGATGGAGATGGAGGGCATGGTGACTCACTCATGGTAGATAAAGCAATGGGGTGCCCTGAGGTAGGTCGAGGAGTCCCCCAGGTCGCGGAGAGCTCGACGGTCTTTGCCTACCCTGTCCGTCTGCTGGTTGCTTCACACAATACTGTATGACAAGCGCTCGAATCTCGATGCCCGGTCAAGTCTCGATGAGATTGGCCCGTGTGCTTGGCGATGCTTGACCTTGCTACTGTAACTACCACTGTTGCAGCAACGGTCTAGCCATGCCACTTGGAGAGGAGCAATGATCGAGGCGCAGCGTGCACGACTCTTCTTGCACACGAGAGCTTTGGAGAGTGATGCAGCTTGTGTGCACTAGACCTCGTCAGCCTGTGACATAATTGGGCCAACCTTCGCTCGCGCGTCCGCCCATTGGGGCAGTGCTCTTGGCACGTCTCACACTGCACATCGTCACCAGAGGCGCGAGCCAGGAAGCACCATCTGCCGCATCGTCTACCACGTGTAGCCTAGAGACAGGACAATAATTGATATGTCGCATGTCACGTCACCTTCATCTTATCACGCGAGCCTCGGCGACAGGCACTCCGAGTACTGCCAAGCAAAAATCTTCTTTCAACCATTTTCAAGGTGCCTGTCGACACGGCAGAGGCCGGAATGGAGTTGACCAAGTCAGCGTCCGGCCTCCATGGTATCTTCCGGCCGCAGCTTATAGCCTCATCGACTTGAATCATCTGAAACGAGCCTCGGACATTGACGGAGCTGGTAGATGGAGGCGATTGTCCAAAGATTTTAGTGTACCACTCTTCTGGGCTGCAGCTACCAAAGTTTGCTAACAGAGTCCCGATATGGTAGTATAACCTATTCCGGATTAGAATGGCCTTAGCTAAGGTGACGATTGGGGTTAAGAAGGAGGGTATTCTTAGCACGACGGCTTGCCTAATTAGTCGACTAGTAGTCGACTAGATAGATAGGGGTTAATAGGGGTTAACTCTAATATTAATATATATTGCTAGCACTATAGGCCTATATATAGTCGCTATTTTAACGTTGCTATTACCGTTACTATCGCTATATTAACTCTACCTCTTATTGCTATCGCTATATTAACTCTATTACCGTTACTATCGCTATATTAACTCTATTACTATTACTATCGCTATATTAACTCTGCCTCTTATTACTATCGCTATATTGTCTCTGCCTCTTAGTACTGTTACTATATCGATTAGAAGTCCTTCTTTTACCCTTTATCTTGCGTATTACGTCGTCGTTATCTATCTAGTCGTATTTAGAAGCTACTATTCGCTCTAATCTAAGGTCTATAACTCTAGAAGGTCTTTAAGGCGTTATAAGGTTAATAAAATTAAAGGACGTATTCGACGCTTAAGGCATATCGCTAGTTAAATCTACCTCTTTAACTAAGTCGATATCTATAGGCTATACTAACTATATACCTAGTAACGACTTGCGACGTAGCGGCGGCTCGAGGTAAGGGCGCGTAGGTAACGATAACAGAGCCTAATTAGTACGCTATTATCGCTATCGCGGCGGCCGCGCTATAGCTAGCGCTCGGAAGGTTGTTACTAGCGATCGGGTTAGTATCGTCGGCTACGCTAGAAGATATAAAGTCTATTACTATAACCGCTTACCTATAAAGGTAACCTTAGGGGCGCCGCTCTCGTAGTAATTAGTAATCGAGTAGTTAGTAAGGCTATATAGCGTATCCTTAACCTTGTAAAGGAAGCCGCGTACACGGCTGTCGTATACTACTAGATTAACGGTCTTATCGTCGCGAATACGATAGAAGTGTTAGAATAGGCCCTCGGCGGCCTCGTTATAGTACGACCTTAAATTACGAAGATATAGGTCTCCTATAGTCTGTAGCTTCCGCGTGTCTTCGTAGCCTTCTAGCTATAACTAATCGCTATCTCGCTACTTCTAATATAGGCTTATTTTTATAGAATTGAAGCTAGTATACTAATTAACGTATACCTATTGTTACTAGAGTATTAGTAGCGTAATAAACAGGTAGAACCTAAGGATATAGTAACAAGGTAAGTAGGTCTAAAACTACGGAAGGCAGTTATAGTAAGCCGGAGCCGGCTCCCATCTACTATACAGCATAAGGCTATAGTAAGTCGGTAGGCCCTTTGCCTTACACTCTTCTACAATTAATAGCTGCTTTCTAACAAGGTCCTAAGCCGCTAGAGGTTAAAGCCGCTCGAAGAATAGTATCTCTTTAACCTTCTAGAAGTTAGTAGATTTTCTAACCTAGTATAGTTAAAGGTCTACCTTCTATAACAATCGAGCGTTAATTGTTATTAGCTCGACTATAGTACTATATATAGATAGCTAGACTATCTCTTTCCTCTTATTATATTTAATAGCGTTATAATAGCCTTCGAGAGGCGATATTATTTAGACCTACATTAAAAGAGGGCTTCCTAGCTATACCTGAGTCGCCTGTAGATACGACTTCTTACACTAGTTATTAAGGAGATATTGTACCTGTTTATCCGAGGCGTATTTGTCTCTTAATTCCTATACGATTCTATCGATAGTATCGATAACTTCTACGTCGCTACGAGCGTAGTAAATCGTATAGGAAAACAGCCGCTAAACCTATAGATACTACTTCTCGGGGAAGTGTCGTAGGAAGGTCTCTTTAGCGTATCGTTAATAGAGATATATAGTTATTTCCTCCTCTTTAAATACTAGTCGAATAGCGCGTTGTTCTTAAGCCGAGTCGTTAGTTATAGCTACTATAGGCTTCTAGCCGGAGGCCTATTTCTTTAATACTTAAAGCCTAGCCTTAATAAGCTTTGCTCGCTAGCTCTACAGTAATATATGCCCCCCTAGTATCTAGGAGCCGAAGGCATTGCGGATATAGACTATAAATAGGTAGAAGTTATTATCGGACGTTTTATAGGTCGCATCGAAGAGAAATAGCTATATATAGACAGTTAGTCGTTGCTATCTAAATTTGTATATTAGGAAGAAAGCCGGAAAGCTAATACCTAAGGCACTAACAGCCCCGAAGAAATAGGAACCTATATTACTAGCAACACTACTATTTAGTAACTTACGCTACTAGTCGGCCTGCTATATAACACCCTTATACTAGAATGCCTCTATACGGACAAAGAGAGCCTTATAGGAAAGTCCTACGCCTATTATATCGTCTATAAGAAAGCCGAAATAACGATTAAGATTGTCTAGCTATAATCGAATATTGCCCTTCTTAGTTAGGGACACCCTCTTTATATTCTTCTTTATAGACTACTTTACAATACCTTTCTTTATACGGTACGCTCTAATAATAGCAAGACGACCTGTATTAGTACCCTCCTTTAGCAGGCAGAATATATAAGCTGTTTTATAGTTATACTAATCTATTAGGTATTCGATAACAACCCGGAGGCTATTACTAGAAGCCCTTATATCCTATAGCTAGTTAGCTTCGTAATACGACTTAATCTACTATATTAACCTTACTATATAGTCTATCGTATAACTATAGATATTATTATTACTATACGCCGAATCGCGGCCTCCTCGAGCGATCTTATAGCTATAAGGCTCCTTATCCGCCTTCCGATCGAACACTACGATTATAGCTATCGACGCGTCGTATAGGTTCTTATAAAACTCTACCTTATAGATACTAATACCTAGCTCTCGATTGCGATTAAAGTTACGCCGATAACGATAGTAGTATATCGTCTGCTATAATAACCTATCCCTATAACGAGCGCCCTCGTATTTCTCCTAGAAGTTAGTTATAAAGGGCTATACCTATTTAAACTATTCCTTCGGTATAAAGGAGCCTTAAGTTAATAGACTAAATAGCGAATAGCGTAGTTAATAGGTTATAGAAATAAGGATAAGATAAGCTATATTAAAGAGCTAGATTAAAGAGCTAGATTAAATAAGTTAATAAGTATTATAGTAATAATAGACAGCTATAGCGACTTTAGCAATACCTCCTATATAGAAAATAGGCCCTATATTATTAGGTTTCGACGATATAAAGTTAGAGACCCTAGCATCCGCGGAATGCCTGTTTTAGCTAGCAATATTAAGTATTATTAACACTTCTTAGATCCGGTTATCTACGAAGGAATGCCTCGGAAATTATATATAGGGCTAATCGGCCGGGCACTAAAATCTTCTGACAACTGCTTATAATTGGCGTTTCAGCCAAGAGGCTCTCCGTAGTATTAAGATCAATGGAGGTAATGCTTAAACTTATTTCAGCCTTGTTGGCTCGGACATCTGTCGCTTTGCTATGGTATCCAAACAGAAAAAAGGAAACTCCTTATCCAACCCGGATTCTGTATCCAGATCACCTCCATAGCCTCAAAACGCCAAGTAATCCCAACTGCTGCACAAGAGGAACCGCAGCAATGTTGCTCAATTCCGAGCCCGGACGCCGTCACTTGCGGGAATCAATAACTGTCGCCACTCTCTATCTCCCTTGCACCTCCCGGTAATGACACTCGCCGATTGCCAGCAGCATACACTAGCTCCAACACTTTCTTCTTCTGGCTCTCTCGGCTTCCTTTGAGTTGTTGATACGTCGTCTCGAGACCTTTGATTTGTGCCTCTACACTGATTGTGCTTGAATTGCTGCTCCGCACGAGCGGTGATACCATCTTGCGTCGCAGGATCTCGAGGTTGGACTGCAACTGTCGTAGCCGTTGGTTGTGATCGATCAAAACATGCTTGTTTTGCACCGTCCGATCACGAACAGATCGCAGTAGGTTGCGATTCTTCTCGTATTTTCGGAGCTTTGATGCGTTTACGCCGATGACTCTGGTCCAAAGACTGCCGAGGAAATCGCTTTCAAGCCGCTCTTGTGAATCCTGCTCGCGAATGACTGTTCGTTGAAGGTTGAGAAATTGCTTGTCTATTGCTTCGAAGAGCTGGAAGAGCTGTAGAGAGTAAGTGAGCTCGTTCGTAATGCTTTCTTCCAGCACGCCCAGAAATTCGTGAAAGGTCCTTTCTAACGTCGCCTTCGATCGTTGAAGGTATGTTTGACCGAGCAGTTGCTGGATGAGCTGGCTATTTTCGCTCATGAGACCGACCTTAGTGAGCATGTTGTGTGCATTGGACCACAGCATGCCCAGTCTGCCAGGAGGCTCTTTCGACACGTTTGAGAGTTCTCGTTGTGCCCAGTCCATGACCAGGAGAATGGAATCCACATCAGCATCTACAGCAGCAAAGAATCTGGTGAGCTCCATTGCCAGTGTCTTGAGGCTATCAGAGAGATCATCCAGTTGGTTGACAATCTGTGGCGCAGAAGTCATGTTGGTGCTCCTTACACTCTCGCCTAAGTCCCAAACAGCAACACCGGTGTCTTGTAATTGCTCAATCTGCGCGTGGCCATGTTCCGAGTAGTATATTGAGGGTTCGAAGGATTTTGCGAGTCCGGCGACCTTAATAAGATCTGGCGATGGGCCGTGTGTCGGATCCGAGAACAGGTGAGAAAGGAGTACAGAGAGGACCAGTGCTCCTATCGAGTAGAAGAATGTGGTGTACTTTGATTTCGTGACATGATGAATAGCTTTCCGCACGCCCTGCACAACAGCTTCTATTGGCTCCGTCCGCTGCACTACATCGAGCGAAGTCGAGAAGCGGATATCTACGAACGAGGTTAGCACCAGACGCTGCTTCATATTACTATACAACTTTGCGCACTTACAATTGCCCTGTGTGGGTGTCTGCACACCTTGCGACTCAACCTCAGGCTCTGGTCTCTGTGTCTCTTCGCTCACATGCCGCCGAACGATACTTGCGATCTCGCCACCACCCTTATCTGCTTCTTGTGCCGCGCCTGCACACACAGGCTCTGGACTATTGCTCGGACTCCGACCTTTGATAGGTGACTCTGGTAGCGGAATGTGCCTAGCAGTCCGATATTCGGTGTTCTCCCCGTCGTCGCCGTCATCCCCCCCGCTCTGGTACTGTGGACTCGTATCTTTACTGCGATAACCATTCCGCCTCGGCGACAGCGCACGGCTGTGCTTGAACCAACCGCTTCCATTTTTGCGCCAGGGAGGAGGGGAATAGCTCCGCCGCGAGCTGGTCTCGCTGTACTCTGAATTGTTATTGCTTCTGAAGCCGGAGTGCTGGGACGGCATTTCGGGCATCGTGGGGGAAAACTCGCGCGCCTCGAAGTCGTCCATGCTGGCGTTCAGACTGGGATGGGAGTCGAGGTAATGCTGCCGCGAGGTCATATTTCTCTGTGGAGAAGTGTGTAGGATGATTCAAGCGCGCGCATTCACCAGCGGGGTTGGCACTGGCGCATAAAAGAGGGACAAGTGAAGGAGGCTAGGAAGGGAGTTGGGATGGTAAAGGACGATGCGTCGCAATCGTCAACGTATCGTGATCTGGCAGCAGTTTCGCTGGTGGCAGATTGTCGCATCGCCTTCACGCGTGTCTCGGTCAGGTGTCTCGCGTGTCGGCGTCTACTGGATTCGATGTGAGAGGAGTGTCTGAGATGCTGGTGCCTACAAGCACAAGGTGAATGCGAACAGAATGCAGAACGCAGGTACGGCAAACGCTTCGCTGCGTCGAGCCCCTCGCACCGCTTCGACAATGTCGATAGCAGACAAAGTGGCTGGTCGATGTATGCACGCGTTGTCGCAGCCGTCCAACGCAGTCCAATCAAGCTCGGAAGCTTTGTCCCGCCTTGCATTAGCCGGCACTCTTCAGTCTGACAGTCAGTCTGTTGCTGCTGCTCTATAATTTCACCACCGACCGACGTCTCCGGTTCGCACCACACTCAAACACGCATCTGGAAGCAAGATCTCACCTGTCCAATGCCAACTCAAGTGCCGGGCTGCCTTTGCTTCGATTCGTCCGGCTTGGGATGCAACGCCCGGTTCTGTGAGCACGCCAGGTCGGCTTGCAACAACCCGCCAGACCGGCCAAGGAGGGTTTCCAACTTGGCCAGGCTCGAGCCGGGGAATCGAACGTGTGCGACCGATGATGCTGATGGCCGTCGCGTGCCAATGGAATCGTTTGAACAATGCTCGTGGCTGGGCTGAGAGGAGAACTCATCTTGTGCCATCCGACAATAATGTTTCTGATGCGGAGCAGCGGCTCTAACAGTCGGCACCTATGTCAACCTCCTTCTCTGAGAGATCAGTTCTAGCACCTCGAGAGCAACAGCGGCCAGAGTCCTTCAAATACTGGTAGAGACTTGATGACCTTGTATGGGACCTCGGAGCTGAGCTAAGCACACTGCACGCGGCATGTCGCCAATCCTTCATCGGCACTGGGCTCTTAGCCTTGTGGTTTTGATATCCGCCATCACAGCAGCTGATGACCGGACAAGCTAACTAACAACAAGGTTTCCACCGGTCTCTGATCAATCAGCTCTCTTGTTAATCATGCAGCTTCTTTCTACATCTTCGGCCCTCCCACATCATTACTCAACGTCCTTCTAGCATCCAGAGTCCTCGCGTGATGGAGATCTACCAGATCGCCTGCTCAGATAGCACACGGTCAAGCAGGAACCATTCCGACGGCACATAGCGTCAGCGAAAAGCGCTTCTCCAGCAATGGAAAGACCCGACAATTGCTGGGAACTCATCTCCCGAGGAACTCAAGCGAAAGGAGATCTCAATATCTCGGGGTTAGGAGCCATAATCGCGTTCGTATTGAGCGCCTGCTTGACCCTGTTGGCCGTTCTCATAGCATACTTTGGCGGGTTAGTCGACGATGGTCTTCTCCGAACAGTCGATCGATTTGTCCTGCGGATTCCATCTCGAGCGGAGAAGCACACTTCGATACACATAGCGCTGAGAAAAGCTATCCTCACTCTCAGCGATCAGCAGATTGTTACGGGCATCGCTTTCCTGGGCGCGGGTTGTGTTGGTCTCCGCTCAGGATCATCGGGCCTTCACATACTCCACTTCTACAGTGTATGGCATCGTACAAGACGCCTCCACGGACTGAACAAGCTGCACAGCGCATCGAGTTGAAAGCTTTTCTGTATAGTTCGAAGCTATTCCACATGATGGTTTGGCTTGTCCACCTCGCTACTGCTCAAGTAAGTATAGTAATCTTCGTTGTCAATTACTTTACGATCGGCCGTGCAACGAATGGGAACTGGTCTTTGATCACGATTGTCACGAATGATCAATTCTACACGTACTGGTTCGTTTTCATGATGTTAGTCCATTCCTGCCCGACTGTGTCATCCCTCGCTAATTATCTTGCGTTACGATCGCGCCGATTTTCACGAATGGCTACGCGTACATGGTTCAAGGACGGATGGTGTACAGTTTTACCACTTCGGCACGGTCATTCAGGATCCCTGCGTGGCGCTTCTGTCTCATCTTCGTGCTGCTCGACATTATTGCATTCCTGGTGCAGGCCACTGGTGCAGGGATCGCTTCAGGTCAGAAGGAGACAAAGACAATCATGCTTGGACTTCACATCTACATGGGCGACATCGCTTTTCAACAGATCTGTATATCCGTCTGCCTGGCAATGGTCATTCAATTCCGTCTTCAAGTTCCAAGACAAGCTCAAAGCCAGCAGCGTGCTAGAGCTCTCGCACTGGTATACGTGCAGTACGCCGTCATGCTGCTGATCACAACCCGAATCGTATTCCGCCTCATCGAATATTCCGCCGGAACGGTTCCGAACCATGAGGCCTACCAATATGTTTTCGACTCGGTCCCGATGATGATCGCTGGCATTCTGGCGGAAAGACTCCTGGCAAAGAGGCGAGATTTCCAAGTAGAAAGACTAGAAAGACACTGAAGAAAGCAGGGACGCATGTACGAGCCAAAACCTTCGTTCAACCGAAGATGGCAGTCCACTGACTCGCTCGATGGAGTGGAGGATCAAGGTGTGGTGCAACAGAGACCTTTGGCTGCAATGCAAGGTTGAAAAGCTTCGCCAAACCACTTTGTGTAGTCAATAGCAGCCCATATCAATCCGAATCCTCCGTAGTAAAGTTGTATAAGCAAAATGTGTGGGCGGTCGGTGCAACATCCGACGAGGCCGCGTAAACCATCATCCGACGCAATCCCTCTGCCGAAGTCTTTTCCGATCCCCACTCCGCCCGCCCCAGCCGCCCCTGCTCGTCACTCCTATAAGCGCTGGACGTCGCCGATATCGTTGCAGTCTCGCTGCTAGGAGATATTTGCTGAGCTGTGCTGGAGACTGAGGCTGTTTGGGGACGATCTTGAATTGCATTGGGATGACTTGAGCTGCAATTGGCATTATGGAGTTTGTACGACCCTTCGCATCGAGGCTTGCAGCGTCACCGCGGGTGCAGGTCACTTTGGTGAGAGCATCGCGGACGCCATGGCAAGTGAAGCAATCTGCATGCCGGAGTAGAAACTTCAGATCAAGCGCTATAAGCCTGCGAGCCGTCGAGCTGACACCACCGGTCAAAGTTCGAGGGCAGTCGAAACTCTTCAACTCCGCAGACGAGGCAGTAGCAGACATCAAATCCGGATCCACGGTTCTGAGTGCAGGTTTTGGACTATGTGGAACACCCGAAACCATAATCGCTGCATTGGCTCGAAGAAAGGACTTGAACGATCTCACAGCCGTCTCCAACAATGCTGGCACAGCCGTCGGTGGTGGTCTCTCGCCTCTGATCCAATCCGGTCAAGTAAGCAAAGCGATTTGCAGTTTTCTTGGAAACAACAAAGTTCTAGAAAAGAAGTATCTGAATGGCGAAGTCTCGATTGAGCTTACACCTCAAGGAACATTGGCGGAGAAGATTCGATGTGGTGGTGCTGGGATTCCCGCTTTCTTCACACCCACAGGAGTCAACACGCACATTCAAACTGGTCAGATTCCCGTAAAGCTGAAGGGCGGAGAAGTCCTGGAAAATGGCAGACCTCGCGAGACTCGGATCTTCGATGGACGAATCTATAACATGGAAACTGCTATCAAGGGCGATGTTGCTATCCTGCGAGCTCACAAGGTTGACAAGGCCGGTAACGTGCAATTCCGCTACACCACGAAATCTTTTGCACCGCTTATGGCCAAAGCTGCTGCTATCTCCATTGTCGAAGCTGAGAATATCGTTGAGATTGGCGAGCTGAAGCCGGACGAGATCGATCTTCCAGGCATTTTCATCGATCGCATCGTCCAAGCTACTGAGGACAAGATCATCGAGATGAAGACCCTCAAGCAGGATACCGATATCGAAGCTGAAGGTCGGAAATCTGACGCTCTTGCTCGAAGGAATCGTATTGCGAAGCGTGCCGCGAAAGAACTCAAGCCAGGATTCTACGTCAATCTCGGTATCGGCATGCCAACCCTGGCTCCTTCCTACTTGCCTCCGAACAGCAATGTGTGGATCCAGTCCGAGAATGGCATTCTTGGTATGGGTCCATACCCAACTGAAGAAGAATTGGATGCCGATATCATCAATGCCGGAAAGGAAACCGTGACTCTGGTCCCAGGTGCCAGCTGCTTCGATTCCAGCGAGTCTTTCGGTATGATTCGAGGTGGTCACGTTGATGTCAGTATGCTGGGTGCACTGCAAGTTGGCGCGAATGGAGACTTGGCCAACTACATGATTCCTGGCAAGGTCTTCAAGGGAATGGGTGGAGCCATGGATTTGGTGTCGAACCCAGATGCAACCAAGATTGTCGTGCTCACTGATCATGTCGACAAGTACGGCACACCTAAGATTGTGGAACACTGCACGCTGCCTTTGACGGGAGCTAAGGTGGTTAGCACCATTATTACTGATCTGGTAAGCACTTTGTTCTCCTGAAGATTTGACTCTCTCACTGACTTCATACAGTGTGTTTTCGAAGTCGACCGAAAGAAGGGTGGCTTGACGCTCACCGAAACCGCGCCAGGTGTAGGGGTTGACGAGATCAAGCAAAAGACTGGCGCCAAGTTCGCAGTTAAGGAGCCTCTCGGCAAGATGGAGTAGAAGCCGTTGACGAAGCCTGTATCATTTCTAGCTAGATATTTCCGAAATTCTGTATAGATTCCTTTACAATTTGGCTTTCGGAGCTTTGTCAAAGCCAGGCGCAAACGTCGTTCCTTGACCACCTCCCAATGCATGAACAATACGGTCGACTTGCTCCAGCAGCCAAAGACTTCCCTCATTACTGGCAAGCCACTTGCCACCAGGAATTTCTTCATCCGACTCTGCGCTTCCATCATCGAACGCTTTCCTCAGACCAAATACGTGGCTGACGACTTGTGGTCCTACACCACTCTGTGCTCGTAAACACGCCACAGCAATGATCGAAGTCAGCACACGGCCGACATCAGGTCGATTTGCGTCCTTTGGCGTCGGTGGGTCTGAAAATAGTGCACCATATTCTCCATTGATGATGAATACTGGAAGGTCGGGATGAGATTGTGCTAATTTGGCTGTAAGCTTGTCCGAAAAAGGGTGATAGACGCTATCCCAGAGGCTATTGCCTCGAGCGACGGTGTCTTCGATGTTGTTCTTGTCGAGACCTCTGCGTGCCTTGCGTTCCTTGAGGGCTGACTGTACTTCTGAAGGGAGGCCGCCGTAGAAAGCTCCGAGACAATTGATCGTTCGTGGAACCTGTAGAACTCAATTCGTGTTGTGCATCACACTCACGCGATCTGCACTTACACCATTGAAACCAATACACTTCAGACCAACTTCACGCATCAACTCAGCTGCGTAGACATCGGCTTTCTTCGTCGATGAAGCTGTTGCCAAGCGATAGAGCTGCAGCAATGAGTCTGGCGAGTTCATCGTAAACGTTGCTGCCGTCTATCCTGATATCAGTATCGCCTTGCAAAGCTGCCTCGTCCAGCACATACTGAGGCACACAGCCATGCTGGCAAGCCGACCTTGTTGGTAGCGGCATCGGAGGCAATTCGTTCGTAAATGGACACTACATTCTTTGGAGCTGGAATTGTATGTGGTTTAGCATGAGCCGCATTGATGAACTGTTTCAGAGGTTCCGAAAGCTTAGACATGACGAGAATGTGGTTGATGTTGTGGTTAACGGAAAGTGTCTTGCTCGTCCCATCGACATGCACAATGCCGGCTAAACATTGAGAGCGGGCCGCTCTTGCCGATGATGCCGATGCCCACTGCCGAGATCTGGTTCAGTGTGTCTCTACCAGCGACGTGGTCCAGCCGTTCACCTTCAACCCACTGGCGAGCAGTATGTCCTCCGACGAAACCAAGCCCGACCTGAGACAGCACCTTCGGCTGGACTTTTTGCATGCCTGCGACGCCGTATTGCTTCCCGCAGAGAGAAGAGTTCTTCAACGCGAATGACAGAGCAGCGTCTCAAGAGATGGTCGAGCAGAAAGAGCAGGCAGACAACAGCAGAGCGAGTGCAAAGGGTGCTATGAGATCCCACAGAATGAGCTGTGCCGAGCTATGTGCAACCATTCACTCTTGGGTGGACCTTTAATCATCCTTATGAGAGTGGTCAATATTGCGGTATTCACGGACAGCCTCAGCTGGCTTGCTGCCTCTATTATTACCCAGAGATTCTTGTGAAGTACAGCCTCAGCGCAGCCAGCGTCGGAAGAAGGGCGACTATCCGTTCAATCAGCGCGAAGTACAGAGGAAGACTGATCCGCTCACACTCCGCTGGCGAGCAAGCCGCACCCTTAGCTGCTGCTGCTACATGCCAAGTCGGAATTGCGCACTTCTCACAGCCTCATGGACGAGGCTATATCTATCGTAGAAATGTCTTTGGTCTCAGCGCCGCAGGTGGCATGACCGATTCAAGGCCAAGGCACGAAAGGCAAGCGATGTCGAGCTCATCATAGAGTACGAAAGATTCTGGATTTCTGCCAACGAGCTTCTCCGAGGGCTTCATGGGTTCATTCACCCCTTGGAAACGCTGTGGAGAGAGCGCGATGTGTGCTGCGGCGCTCGCATAGACATGGTGCCATCTGCAGTCCCACGGCCGCCGATTCTAATCAGCGTGTCCGTGAAGGGGCAGGTACAAACGCAAATACAGTACATGTAGTCACGGTCAAGCTGGCGACGCTTTTCGCAAAATGCCAGTCTCGGCAATCAGGAACGAGGATGCCGCCCTTAATCTCAGCCGACTATCCGTGGCCTGTGTATGAGAGCACTGTGAACGCCTGGTTGTCAGCAAGGTAAGCGATTTCTGCCGTAGGACTTCAAAGGGCCAAATGGCCACCGGTACAAGTTGTACTGTACCGTACAACGGTTCAAAGGCACCCGAGCACGAACAGCCGGCCGCGTTTCACCGATGATTAAGCCTATATATTTGACCAGGTGAGCTTGTGACAAAGGGGCACAAACCATCCAAATTGTATGCCAACAAGGATCGCTGATTCAATCAAATTTACTGGCTACCAGTCAGATCGCTTCCATGGAAAGCAGAGTTTCCACAGCACACCTTAATACTTTTTACCTTGGCGTACAGGGCTCGACACGCTGGCTCCTTTTATGTCTGGCGCAAGAACCGCCCTTGCGGATATACCGGCTCACCTGTTGGTGAGTGGTGACGAAGAAATCTTGTAACTGTACCTTGAAAGCAAGCATGCAGGAGTTACCTCGAGTTGGGGTCTGTGGGCAATGCAACTGGAGAACGTTCCTGAACAGGTACCACGCGTCTTGAACAGGATACATGCTGACCATTCTCACTGCACTAAGTGCACTTCAGGAGGAATAACGTTAGCTGCGGTCTTGCCAACATACGTTCCATGGACTGCCGCTGTACCAAGCACATGGAGCGATGTGTGGCTCTGGAAAAAGCCCGAGAACTTTGTAACACCACGCTCCCTCCCGGCCATGTCTTCCTTCTCTTTTGCGTTTGCATCTCTGCCAACAGTACACGGTTTCCATAATTCGAAGATCACCTTGACCACCATGTATCCCAAGCAGAACGACAACACGCTAGAGAAGAAGTTGGAATCGAAGAATGTCTATGCAACAGAGGTCGACGCTGGCAGCAGCTCTTCCAGCAATTCTCTACCCACAAGTTTATTCAACGAGAAGGAGCAAAGGCGTATCATATGGCACATCGACCGCAGAGTGGTGGCTGTTCTCGGAGCCATGTACGCGGTCTCAATGCTCGATCGATTCAACACAGGAGTCGCTTTGATCACAGGCATGGGCGTCGATTTGGAATTGAAGGGTTCACGATACAACATGATCAACGCAATGTTCTTCGTACCGTATTTGCTGTTTCAGCTGCCTGCGACGGTGCTTCTACGACACATCGGAGCACGCCACTTCCTGAGCATAGCGACATTTTTGTGGGGCGTCACGACGATAGGTTGCGGATTCGTGAGCTCTTGGACAGACTTGATGGCTTTGAGAATGTGTCTCGGGCTTTGGGAGGCTGGATTCTTCCCTTCTTGTCTCTACCTGTTAAGCAGCTGGTACCCGCGATATGACCTGCAGAAGCGCAACGCCGGTTTCTTCCTCCTCGGACTCGTGCCCTCTGCTTTCTGCGGTATTATGTCGTATGGTATTTCGCACATGAATGGTCTCGGGAGCGGGCCAGAGTGGTTGGGCAAGCACAACATTGAGATGAGTCCTACTGGGATGCCTATTGGCATGAGCTATGGTGGTGGTATCGCTGGTTGGAGATGGATCTTCATAATCTTCGGCACCGTTACCTGCGCTCTTGCCATCTGGGGATACTTTCTGGTCGTTGATTTCCCTGAGAAGCTCCTGGCCGATGGATCCAAGGGGTGCTACGTTAAGTTTCTCACTAAGGAGGAAGCATCTTGGGTTGTTGAGCGTATCGAGAAGGATCGAAACGATGTCATGCCTACCCAGTAAGAAATGCTTACATGTGCGCCAACTTTTTGTCAAGCTGACAAGCCCCAGGTTCAACGTGCTAGAATATATCAAGTGCGCTGGCGACTTCAAAGTTTGGGCGTTCGCATTCATGTATGGATTGGTCGGTCTCATCGGATACGGCATCGGGTTTGCGCTTCCCATGCTGCTAATGGACAGCATGGGCTTCAGTGTTGCGAAGGCTCAGTGCTTGGTACGATATTCAAAGAACTCATGCGTGCCTATGATCTGACTCTTTCTCTACAGGCGACACCTCCATACATAATGGCCGCGATTGCCACTTGGTTTGTGGCAGTCTACTCCGACAAGTGGCGACTCAGATCTCCATTCATTCTTCTCTGCTTAGTTCTGGTCTTCATTGGTGAGTACACCTTTCTGCACTTGGGCCCGTCTTTGCTGACCTGTTCAGGCCTATGCCTCATTGGCTTCGCCTCGAATCATGGTGCGCAGTACTTCGGAGTGTTCTTCGCCGCTCTTCCGCAATGTGCTATGATTCCAGCGCTGCTCACATGGCAAGCAAACAATGTCCGAGGACAATGGAAGCGAGCGCTCATCTCAGCGTTCTCCGTAGGAGCAGGAGCTGCGGGAGGATTAGGCGGCAGCTTCATTTTCAAAACAGAAGATAAGCCACATTTTTACCCTGGAATTGCGACTTGTCTTGCAGCAACTTTTACATGTTTTGTGGTGGTGCTTTTGTTGTTACTGATGTTTATCAGGGCGAATAAAAGAGCAGCAGCTGGAGGGAAGGCCATAGAGGGTCTCGAGGGCTTCAGGTACACGCTTTGAAGCCATAACTGTGACGTCGTTTTGGTCTATAGTCAGCACGATACAGCACCTAATGCGACAGAAGTAGTCATCCGTGTGTATCTCAATCCTGACTGGTCTTGCATGCACCCAATCGGCTATCGGCTATGGCTCCTGGACTCGGTGCCTTCCCATGAGTCTCTGTCCTGCATTTTCTCGAAGGACTACACTTGATGAGCTTGCGCTGACAACAGGGCGTCATTCCAGGTCTTTTCGGCCATCTTGCAACGGAAAAGAGCTCCAATCATTTCTCCAATCACTTTCGAGACTTTTCTTTGGCCAAATCTTTCTGAAAACCTGCATCTCAGACGAGTACTCAATTTTGGCATCATTGTTGGAGCGCTTCTCGTCTTCTTGCCATGTCTTCTCAGTCACCACTTCATCACTGTCGTCTCGAACGCTTTTACGAGCAACCCAGTCAGAGCAAAAGTGGGTGAAGACACGTGCAATCGGTGACGCTACCATCCCAAGAGGCATGTCGTTGCGTTGGCTTCGAATTTCGAGCTTTTTAAGTGGATGGTCTTTTCGAGATGATGTGATGGCGTTCCAGATCGATTTGACTAAAGCAGCATCCACGGCAGTATTGATGAAGGCATCGCGTACGTAGCCGTATTCAATGGAATTGGCACGATTCACTTCTATCCGTTGACTATGGAAATCGTCGAAGACATCGTCGAATCCGAGGGTGCCGTCAAATCCAGCGCAGGAACGAAGGGGCCGCAATGTTAGGCATGTGAAATGTAACTTTTTCAAAGTGGCCAGAGCCTGATAAATCCTTATCTCCTCGAAGGCCGGTCCGTAATCTCGCTGGATCGTGCAGACAAGGTGCTGCAACTGTGGGCATCGCCCTACCAAATCTTCAATCTGTGATGGCTTCAGTGCTCTCACGCGATCTCTTCTCGACCTCGGCATTGTAGACCAAAGCGTCAGTGAAGTCAAATTAGGACCATGATGTGCGAGGGAATTGTATAGAGTATCATAGCTGAAACGACCTCGAAGATCAAGCTTCTTGAGCGCGGGCAAGCTTTGAAAGAAGTATCCAGCGGCGAATGCATATTCCCAATCAGTTCCCAGCTCATCGGCGCTCTCGTCAAGCAAAATGGTGAGGTCTTCCAAGGATGGAAACTTAGCAAGACCAGACATTCGCTCAAGAATGCGGCTGGTCGTGATTCTCAGGATCTCGACCTTTCGTGCATCAAGTTTGATCCTATCCCCGAACAGGATCTCTAAATCATCGTCGCGCATTTGATCTCCCTCTAATTTTAGATGTTCTAGTAATATATGTTTTTCCGGCTCCGCCTGGTGCTTGGAAGCATACTGCCTCGCGACTTCCAATTCTGGCTTGCTGAGCTCGGCATTGTAACTTCAAGGTTTCGACTGACGATACATGAACAACCGCTTGAGGTATGGCAGTTGAGTGAGCATTTCCATGAACGCGTCCATTCTTTCGTCAAGCACATTTCTGTGATTGACCCAGCAGTGAATGGCACTCATGCCTACCAAATACGGTAATGTGATCTCAGCCATCTGGAGAGGAAATATTCCAGCCGATGGTAGCTGACATGGCGTCCAGTTCCAATTACGAATGCTGAGCTTGGTACGCGATTCTCGAGCACGCAAGATGTCTAAAAGGCAGGCTGGTATTGTGGGGTAATTCGCGTTCCAGATGATGACCTCTAAGCCGATGAGGTTTTCGATCGTGTCTGCTATCGGACGAAAGAACTTTTCCAGCTCTGCTGAAGACAATTTCCTGGGCTGGACAGCATGAATTTCCAGCCTGCGAACTTGGCCGACACTCTGACGCTCCTGCAAGACTCGCCCTAATCGTGCGACACTCCATTTCTCTTTCCCATTGTCATCGAGGCTGATCCTGATGGTGGCGAAGATGAATCCGGATGCTGCTGCAGAGCATTTCTTGCTAACCAGAGCAAACTTCAACAGAGATGGTCGATGTTCTCTGCTCAGCACTTGTGCAACGCTGGCAACCAATTCGAGGGGCAGTGCGCCAAGATTGGCCATTATCGTGGACAGATCACAAAGGTGCGAGGACGGGATGAGACTTCGAGGTCAAAGACAAGCTGAAGGCAGCAATGACTACTGAGTAGCTCATCCTTCGTTCAATGCAGTGCTGCCTTAGGCAATGCCACCGCCCAGAACTTTCGCAGTGATCATATACTCAACAAAATGTTTGCCAGAATCATAGATACTTCTTTGCCGCGGCTTGGACTCTGCTGCGAAATACTGGGCTGGTGACAGGCTGATTCACAGCGTAGAAGGGATTCATGATGCATTTCATCCAGGCCTCATAGATCTATGAAACGTCAGCACGTTGAAAACCACCCAAATTCAATATCGACATACCTCAGACATGAACTGTCTCACAGCTTCCTCGGTCTGCTGGCTGGAAGGGTTGCTAGCAATCAACGTGCTTTGCCTCGCGGTGTTTGGTCTGGAAGGTGGGGAAGTCTGGTAGCTTGAATAAGGAGTTGAGCTTGGGTCGGGATTCATGAGAAGCATGAACTTGATGTTTCCGCCGGTCAAGAAGCAGTGAATGTGATTGTTTTGAAATGTGTCCACTTTCTTGAGGTATCTGAAGATGCGTTAGGGACACTGCTCGGAGCAAGTCGTCTATGTTGATATGTTGGCGCGGCATACAGGTCCTTTGAGCTCCACTGAGCTTCCTCGACCAAATCTATGGCAGCGTGAACAATAAACTGGTTCATGTGTTTTGCTTCTTCACGGAAGCGAGCAATGCCATCGCCGCCGACCTTCGAAGTGCCAAATTCGATCTCGAACAGCGGATTGTCGCGAGTGCCGATGATGGTGAAGTAGTACGACATCTTGGACAGATAATGGCACTTGTCGACAGCAGGATCGGGTGAGACTTGGTCAATGCATTGCTGATACGGATTACGGAGGTGTTCGTTGGAACTCCCTCACTTAGAGGCTGATCTCAAGGCTTGGCACCCCCGAGCGCTCCGCTGCTTAAGCACTCCCTCAACGCCATCTCGACATCTGCTTCGCACATTCCATCTCAACAATGTTTGGCGCCTTCAGACCTACAGCGCCCTTGTCTGGCGGCCTTCTATGGTACGCCGTTATTCAAACAAATGCTATCGTACCTAGCACTGACTCCGCACCAGGAAAATCCCATGGCGACTCTCCCGGCATCAGAAGGCACGACAACGACAGCGATTGCGCCGCGTCGACAATATTGTAGCAGTGCTCGATAATGCACTACAAAGACACGCGGGAATGAGCGCATTGCAAGCACAGCAATCAACGCGAACACAACAGCCTGCAGAGGTGCCTCACAACGAAGATGCAGAAGGCCAAGCAACACCTGAAGAACTTTCACTCCCAGCGGAAGGACATCGAATGCTAGCACGAGGCACCTACAAAGATGTCGCCGAGAGACGACATGGCAAGGGTCCAAAAAAGGGGGACTATGTGCCTGAGCAAAATCCCGCGGGAATTGAGGTGCCTGGGAAGAGGTTGCTAAGAGATGTTGCAGCGGAGCACGGTACCACAAAGCTCATTGAGCGATGGAAGGCTGAGATGCCTACAGAGGGAGAGATGCTGGCTAAAGACAAGTATACGATGTTTGACAAGAAGGTGCGAGGATACAGGAAAGGAGTGCACAAACTGCCCAAATGGACGAGGGTCAGCCAAAGGCTAAACCCGCCTGGTTTCTAGATGGACGACATCGGCTCAAAAATGCGATGCTGAGTCCTACAACATGGACATGTTCCAGCATGACCATTCCGTACTAGTCGTTGGGACGCAACCATGTTGGAAATGAGCCTCGAATCGAGGACCGGACAAGCTCAAGTGAGGACACGCTGTTCGGTGCACCCGCTCAGTACTCTTGGTAGCGACCAAGCGACACGGCTTCTCCTCAGATGCGTGTCCTCTATGGCCGTCATAACGCGGTGTGGCCCACGCGCAGGTCAGAGAAGCCTGAAACAATGCAAAGGCGATTTACTGCCAGTATCCTATTCTAATCCTCTCAGACGGCAAGAACACGAATAACACGAGCAGGCGAGGGCAACCAGGAACTGTGTCCGGGTGTGGCAGTATGGCTTGGGCATTTTAGAGGCAGAGCCGGCTGCTTACACCTCTATAGCTGGAGGTTGGATTACCTCGACACTCGCTGGGGGTAATTACCGCCGCATACAACCGGTCTTCAAACCTTGAAAGTGCGGCTCTGCTCGCGAAGCTGCATGGAAACAGTACCGTGCTTCGGCTATTAGAGGATCAATGATGTGATGAATGCACAATGCACAACCGACACGCATGTGAAAGCGCAAAGCGACCAGGGTCGAGCGACCACACCTCTCAATCAACTCAATCAAGCATCAAGCTCGACGACCCGAGCTTCCATTATATCCCCGCCAAGCCAGAACATGCGACCCATGGTACGCTCTCCTGCACAATCACGTATGATGTCGATGATCAAACTTGGACCCGAAATTCAAGCGAGGTAGAAAAAACCAACCACATCATCATTTGTACACTGCATTTGGCATTTGAATGCTTCATCAAGCCAGCTGGATGACGGTATGTATGTATGTATGTCGTAGCTCCGTACTCATCATCAAAGTCGGTGTGGTGATGCCGGCCAATCACGATGCATTCGGAGCTTTGCTTTGCTCTGTTGTCTCGGCTGAAGCTCTCCAAAGCCGAGCTACAACATGTATCTTATGCGGGGCTACACCGACCACAAGGTTCCTTCATCCATGTGGGAATGGCATTTCTAGGTTCCAGATGGAACCGCTGTTGCAGACCGCAAGTATGATATAATTCCTTCCTGGCCTTTGTGAAGGTTTGCTAGTACAGTAGTGTAATCGGGGAAATTTTGCACCAGTAGGATTTGGGAGAAATCACATCTTGAGGCTGGTCTCGAAGAAGAAAAGTCATCTGACAATACAATCTCGCAGCTGTCAAAATTTGGATTCAACCTATGAGTGCTTGCCGCGGTTGCAGTGCAGTATACATACTGATGATGATGATGATGATGAAGCGAGTGTGCAAAAGACAGTGCTGTCGGTACCAAGAAACAAATCCGAATTTCCATATGCCCATCCATTCATCCATCCATCGATCGTGACCCCGTGACCCGTCAATCAAATTGGTATCCTTAAAAAAATGCATTCATGCCCAAGCCCAAGCCCAAAGAAACTGGGAATTCTTCCGTGCCGAATGCAACCAAAGCCACACGCAATAATTCGCTCGTGAAAGCTGCAGCGTTCTGTTCCATCGCATATGCCTGCCTGCCTGCCGGCCTAATGCCAAAAGCACACCCAAGCAATCGTGTCATCATGTGCGTGCATTCCCATTCGAAGAACCAAAGAAATGAAAAACTGCCCATCACAATGCAATGCAATGCAATGCTCCGTAAATGACCAATGCATCCGTCCTATCCTTTCCAAAGCGCATTCTGTAGCGCAATCTGATTGGGAAGAAATTGCTGGTCACAGATGTGCCAGCCCCTCGTCATGTGCAGGATTTCATCGCCGACGTCCACGTTGCTGTTGTTGCTCATGGTCGTTTCTGCGCTCCTGGACATTCGCGAGTTCGGCTTTACGCTCCGCTTCTACGTCTTCGCCCACGTCGTAGATGTGCCAGCTTGGTCTTCTCCAGGCATGGGTCCTCCCAGACATGGTTCGATTGAAGCGCATGCCAGGTCGCTCCATTTTTCGAGCTTGACGTCGTCGCTCACGTGCACGCTCGACCAAGAAAGCTACTGGTAGCTCGTCGTCGTCGTCGTCGTCGTCCGAATCTGTGATTTCGTCATCGTCGTCGTCGTCGTCGGTTTCTTCCTCTGGCGGCGTGACTTCAAGGCTTAGATAGTTTGGTATTGAAGGACGACGAGCGTTTTGCCCACAGTAGGCTTCAATATCGAAATCGTCTCTGAGATTCGGTGAATTGTCCGGAGTGAGCTGAGGAACGTCTTCTATCAACGGCGTCCAATTTCGGCCGCGTGTTGGATCCGAGTCGGCGCGAGTGCGCTGTACGGCACGTTGTAGTGCGTGCTTTTGGCTAGACAGCAAGGAATGCCATCGATCGGATATTTGTTCGTGTCGTTGCTGAGCTTGACGTCGTTCATGCTGGAAAAGAGAGAAGTCGGTGATGCCAGCATCCCACTCTACCTCGTCGGCCTCGTCGTCTGAATCATCGGCCCAGTCGTCATATTCGCACATGGATACGGGTGACAAAAAGTGAGCGGCTGGGTCTCGATCGATTTCATCCTCGAATGGATCATGATATGACTTCTTCTGGATGCGTGGCATGGTGGCGGCGGGTGGTGATTGAGATATAGGTGATTTGTGTCGATCAGTGACTGCAAGGCGCACGGTTGTCGGTGGCCACGTTAGACTGCGTGGTGTTGGCTCCAAGTGCGGAGTTGACTTTCCAGACACGGACGGCGACGGCATGGTTAATAATAAAGACAGAAGGCGTATGGCGACCGAAGATGTGGTTGGAGGGCAGGCGAGTAATGGCTCCTTTCGACGTGGGATATCATGAGGCAGCCGGCTCCGGCGCGAAGTTTAGAATTCGGCCGCTGTTGCAGCGAAGAAAGTGCCGCAGCAAGAAGCAAGGCTGCTTGGAAGTGAAGGTGCAGTAGCGCGATCGATCAGCTGCTAAGCAGGTAGGCTCACGGGCCGGACAATGCTGCACTGCACTGCAGCTGCAGATGCAGATGCAGACGAGGAAGTGGTCGGGGTCGGGGTCGGGGTCGGGGTCGGGGTCGGGGTCCGGGGTGGTGGAAGAGAGTCGCGGCGACAAGCGAGTGTTGTAGCCACAGCGTGGGGTCCCAGGGTCCGGATCCGGGGTTCTGGTGGAAAGGACTTAGGAAAGCACGCTGCAACAATTGATCAAGCAAAGGCGATGATCTGGCGAGGAAGGAGTGACTGGGATGTACGTGGTATACAAGTAGTCCGGGAGGCAGAAGAGTCAAGAAAGGGCGGAGACCTGGTGAGTGAAAGGCGTCGTCTCCCTGGGGCGATGTGGCTGCGTAGATGGGAGCCTCGGAGTCACCTGGCTGCGGCGTCGAGATCAGTCATCACATGTTTGAGACATCATCATCATCAGACAACAGTACACACAGCGAAATGGAAATGGAATATTGTGAGAGGCAGACAGATCAAAAGCTTAACATTCCGCTGACGCGGGATGTCTACAAGTGATGGCTTTGTTGACTAAAGCATGCTTCGCACGAGGCATCACGAAATAATCCGAATCAGGATTCAGCAGTGCAGGCTGCAGGTACGTTGATTATAACACATTGCGCGCACCACCGCGGTTGCCGCCCGCGATGCTATCATAGTAAGACGATATCTAGATATAGGTAGCTGCTGTGGTTGATGCAGGCCAAAGCTTGTCGTGCGGTGGCGGAACAGTGATTATATTTGATCTTTGAGGTGGTGTGGAGGAAAGGGTCACGTCGCACCTTCCACGCCTGCTGCAGACTTGCCGCACATGCCGCCCTGCCCTTGCCTTGCCTTGCTGCCTCCGAGCCACTCTCACCTTCTCCTTCTTGCTCGGCTCGGCTCGGCTCATCCTCGCCGCCATCCCCCACGCAATCATATCTCCCTCTCACAACCTGATCGCATCCTGACATCCATTGATCCGCCACGCAGGTGCGCTCACGTCTGCGGCCGGCTGAGATGATCGAAGCTGGGCGTAGAGCACGTCTCCTTGATCCCTGTGTCAGATAGCAGACATGATGACTAGCTACAGTTACAGTACCGCACCTTCCCTCCCCGGCCACACCTCCTTCCCATTCCAATACTTCCAATCCCTCTCCCCCCGTATGCACTACCTAGACACGCCCAAGACATCAGCCCTATGCACCCCGAACTCAACTCCACCACGCCACTCCTGCAGCGCACCCTCCACGACTTCGCAAAATCATCCCATCCCTCCCCTTCCCTACTCAGCCAGCCACTCTGACCACCCTCCGCTGCTCTTCCTCATCCATCCGGTACAGACTACTGATCGACGCATCATGCGCCTCAACCCCATACTGAGGCCTCTCCTCGCGCTTCAAATGCTCCGGTAAAACCGTCCGACACGTGAGAGCAAATCTCAAACAGCCTTCCGGCGCAACCTTGTGTTCAAAGTATTGCTGGATCTCGTAACCCTCCATCAACACAATGTCTCCGTGATTGAGTGTGATGGTCACCAAGTCTCCCGCTTTCTTGCTGCGCTTCTCGTACAACCCCAGTTCCTTGGGCATCTCCTTGCGACGACGTTCGTACGTAGATTTGCCTTCCTTTGTCGAGAGGTCGAGCGCCTGCAGTTCTTGCCACGCTTGAAGACGCTTCCGGTACATGGCCTGCCCTTCTATGCTGCCTGGCACCGGTCGTTCGCTGTTGAGTATGCCTGATTTGGAGCAGCCGACGTAGTGTTTTTGCTTCATGCGGAGGTGCATTTTGGCCTTGCCACCCAAGGAAAGCGTCGAGATGCGAGGACCTAGACCTGACTCGCCATCGTCGTGATACTCGATCTTCTGACCCTGGAGGTAGGCGAAGATGAGCAGCTCGTTGAATTCTTGATGTCCTTGCGCAGCGAGAAAGTTCTTCGACGCCCAGTTCAGATCCGCTTGGCATGCTCGGACAGGCCATGGCGCGTTCGTGAACGGCAGACTGGCCCCCGTCGCCACGAATTTGTAAGGCATTCCATAATTGATCGAGAAAGCAGTCATCAGATCTCCATCCTCCACTGCCTCGGCCACTTCGTCCACCGTCTGATGAGCCATCTCCGAGCCACCCTCGGTCTCTGGCTGCGCCTCAGCCGCTTCTTGGAGCTGACGAGTAAAGTCCGACGAGACGTCTGCCTCTGCAATTGTGGCGCTGTTGCCTACGAGCTGTGACAGGAACGACTCGCGCCGAATTGTTTCAACGTCCGAAGCCTTTCGCTGATCACCTTCCTGGATGGCTTGGAAGAGTGACGAGTACGAGTTGTCTGCAGCTGCCACCCACTTGCCATTGAAGCGTCTTCGCTCGAGGTGTAGATCCATGCCGGCATCGTCCTGCTGCTGCATGGCTGCGAACATTTCATCGGGCCCGCGCGGCTGCTTGTTGATAGCACGGTTCGACACTGCGTGTACGAATTTGCCGTCGACGCCCTCGAAAGTATAGGTGTAGATCTTGAAGCCCAGACGATGACTTACACTGACCTTGACACCATGCTCTCTCTCATGCTTATTCTTAGCAAGTGCAGGTCCCTCGCCAATATTGTCGCCTACGCTATCCCAAGGATTGTGGAGCATTTCTGGCTTTACCGGAATGTGCTTTGGGAAGTTCTGATAGTTGCAAGACGCGTTGTCACACTTCCATCCTTTGAAGAGTCGTCTGGAACTGCAGCGGCCGCACTGAGGGCAGCAAATTCCACGAGTGTTGATGTATGTCAGATTGTCTCCAACAGTGGCCCCGATCTTGGGGATTGGAGGGCGCACACTGAACGGTTCTTGTTCGTTTGACCACCGTCTTCTCGTTAGGAGAAACGCGGGATGATAGTGGAGCCTTCCGTATGGAGCATCCTCGCCACTTGCAAGCTTCCAGAGTCGGCCACAATCTGCATTCAGGCACATCCAGCCATTCAAGTACATGACAGGATAGCGATTGTTGCACTGCCTGCAGGTTTGGAAAATGGGTGCGCCGATAGACTTGTATTCTTCCTCCCCCAGCACTCTCTGAGCTGGTGCATACCAAGGGCTTATTGTAGGATTCAGGCGTTCGAATCTGTACTTGATCGTTGTCCAGACCTTTGCACCTTTGCCCAAGGTCTTCTCTGCCCATACCGCAACAGGCTTGAACCAACCCAGGACATTATAGCGATGGGGAAATTGGCAGATGGCGCCCTCGTGACGATTACCAGCGATGATGACAACCGGATTCTGATGTTCGATGTCGTTCAAGACTGATTGCACCTGCGATTCCGTCATCAGATGATCCTTTCTTTGCAACATTTGTCCAGTGCCATCGCCTTCCATGCTGCCGCCCGCTCGAGCGATGACTACATCACTGTCCATGTACTCACGACAGTGTCCAGTAGCGTCGAAGAGAAAAGCATACACATGGCGGTCGTTCTGGTGGCATCCGCTCTGAGGCATGCGGAAGTAGGGCACAGTCTCGCATAAAGCTTGTCGACTGTCTGCCCAGACCTCTGGCTTTCCAGCAGTTTTCGGTTTGAGTCCCAAAGGCTCTCTATGGCTTAGCTTCTTGGAAAGGTCAAGTAGAGCAGGGTCAAGACCAGATTCATCGGTCTCAGCTGTAAAGTAAAGCTGTCCAGGCAGCGGCATAGAAGGCTTGACCGGCCTTTTCTGTTTGACAATCTTTGTATTGACAAGTCTCTTTTCCCCCGATGACTTCGAAGGCGGTCTGGATGTCTTTGGAGCAGCGCTCGCAGCATTGAACGTGATTGATGCCGATTCGGGTGAAACTTTCAACTTCACGAGGCCAGTCCCATCGGGTGTCCCTGGAGCATACGTGAACTCCTGTAGACGTTGGGCAGGAGCTGGAATTTCGCGCGTCTTCTCAACGACTTTGGTCTTCTTTGAGTTCACCATCGAATCAGGTTGCCCATGGAACGTCAATTCATCTTCCAGACCAACAACAACATCAGCCTCATCCATGTCGTAATCGTCGTGATCACCTTCCGTGTAACCTTGACGGTGAGAGCTCCCATCAGCATAGCTATCTTGCTCCTCTGTCGCGGCAGTGACAGCAGCTGCAGTTCCTACAAGCTGACCATACCTCATGACAGGCCTAGTCGAGCGTCTTGATCGACCTGTTCTCGTCATCTCCGGGGAGTCCAGAGACTGGCTATACCCATTTATGGCAGTGCCGTTCGAGAGGTTTTCAAAGCTGCCAGCTAATTCATCGGCTGTTTGGTGATCGTCAGACTTTTGCTGTGTGCTTGCAGCTCCAGGCCCAACCAAGGATCCAATCAATTCCTCAGACTCATAAGCCACTGGTCCCTCGACAACAGCCGCAGTTGAGCTTGTGGGTGCGGCGACAGGAAGCTCCATCTCATAATCGGCGAAAATGCTATCTGAAAGCTCGGACAGCGCATCAGATGATTGTGTTCCACGAACATCGTTCATTTCAGCCGCATGCTCAGGAGGATTCCAGCCAAAGTCTGTGGTTGGAGCAGGCGGTTCTCGATATGCTGGATTGACATGAGTCTGAGATGTCTCCGAAGGCAGTGATATGATATCAGGCTTGGCGTGATCTTCTGTTTCTTGAATATCCTGAGTCGACTCCGGCGTAGGAAGTTGCTCTTCTTTCGCGTCATTGCTTACCATGCTCTCCGCGGTTCTCTCACTGTCGGCGGCAGCGGTATCACGACTACTAATAGATCCCATGCTATTGCTTGCATCGAAAGTGGTAACGGGCCGTGCCTGATGGTGCATGTCTGGGCTGCGAGCAGTGGCCGACCTTGACTTTGGGCCGGCACGCTTGCGTGGCTGCTGAGAGATCGAGCCTCGCGTCGACTTTTTAGAATCCTGGGTGGGATCCCTTGTGACCATTTTCGCGCGATGACCATCGGGATCTCGCAGCAGATTTTGTGCCTCTAGACCGGAAGGTGGCTTGCCTGTCATGTCGACAATAAGAGATGCTCGAGGCCGAGCTTTTTCTGTCGTCTTTCTTTTGGATCTGTCATGCTGCGCTGCGAGTGGTTTGTTGGTGGCGCTGGTCTTTCTAGCGACTCGAGTTGGCCTTTGGGGCGTTTCCTTCTCAGATGCTGTCTTTATCCGCTTAGTTGATGTTTGGGATCCAATGTCCTGCGAGCTTGATGTCGACTTGCGCTTCTTACTGCTGCTGTCTGGCTCCATCTTGACACTGTCGTCGGAAGTCCGTCGTACCGAGCTTGACGTGGTGTAACCGCTGAGAGCCAGATAGTCAGGGCGCTGCTTGTGACGAGTTGAAGCTCGTTCGGGCGGAATAAACGGGCGCAGTGGATTTGCCATGATGGAAGATGCGCGATGCCCTTCGAGTCGAATTAAGCTCGCGATGTGCGGAGAATGTTCGAATTGATGTCGTTGCCCAATTCTTGTCTGGAAATGGCCGCGAGGACTTTTAGAAACTGCTCATGTAGCCTTGTGATCAAGATCAGTCGGCATCGATGCCTGTTGCTTCGCTGTCGGCGCCGCGCCGCCGCCGTGATATGGTGACCTTGGAAGTAGCGATGAGGGTCAAGTGTTGCATCACGTTGCAGAGACAGTCAGGTTATCATTCGATGTCAGCGGTCAGTCGCAAACAAGGGCTTCGGTACGTGGCGACGAGATGATCACCTCAGTCATAACTTCATAGGTTGGTTTGCGAGTGCGCCACAATGTGATGGTGAAGAGTCGGGGTCGCAGACTGGGGCAAAGTTCAGGACCGTTGTCAATGGCGGGGACAGCCGAAAGCTTGAAGTGAGGTTGTAACTGGTACGAATGGTATGCCAATGCCATGCAATGGCGGGCTTCGTCAAGCGATAGAAACTTAGTCACAAGGAAATAGAGAGGATGGCGCCGTGAGAGCGTTCGTAGTTCACTGGTCTGCGAGCATGTTGCGACCCCTTGGAACGGACGAATGAGTTTGAGGACGACGGAGAATCAGTCGTTTATTCCTCCAGCCTTGCCTATTAGGTATCTAATGGATTGCAGCGTTCTGTGCGCCACCAGCCTGTGCTCCATCGAGCTACCCATAATCTTGTATTGCATGCATCTCGAGAGTGACGAGAACTAGAAGTTACAATTATGCCGAGCACTCGAGCGACATCCATCGTCGCGCAGGCTGGTAATGTGAGAATCCCACCACGGGTATCTCATCCATGAGCAGCCTCGTGCCGCATGAGGACTGCAGTCCTGCCTGGTGGAGACCGAATCAAAGATTCGCCGCACCGGATTGTTGATCCTTGCTCTTCTCGTCTCCCAACTTCTTGCTACAGCAGATTCTTGAATCCGCAGGCGTTCGGACTGCCATTCGGGGCATAGGAAAGAACAAATCCAGACGGCGACAACGAGAAATCAAGCATGTGGACACATGACACTCAATCGTCAAGTCCTACGAGTACTCGCGTAGGATCTTCCCTAAAGGCACGGCGATACTCAGCGATCCGATGTGCGATGGCGGCGACGTCCTTGACATTGCTTGCGCGCAGCTGTTTGACCAGAAGAGCAAGACCATTCTTCCATCGTTTTTCCTCGGCTGGTGTACGGGCGGGTGTATGTTCTGTTCCAATCAGGCGAAGTAATTCATTATCTGCAAGTTAGCAATGTCGGTCAGTGGCTGAATGGTAAATCAAGTCGGCAGCGATGGTGATTGGACGAAACTGCGAATGAGGGCAAGCGAGGCACCGTTCATGATCCAAGTTGTGCTGAAACGTACCTGATAATGCGAGAGAACGGAAGTGCTGATGAGTGCAACTCTTGTCAATACAGCTTCCTCCGCTCAGTTCGAAAGGGCAAAGGGTGTTTTCTGAATCGATCTTGTGGCTATAAGTCAAAGACTTGAACCCACCAGGTACCGTATGCTCGAATTCGGGGTGGAAACGGTAGTCCTTGAATCGATGTAAAGGAGACTCGTATGGGGTGTAGTGAGTCTTAGGCTTCGTCGTCTTTATGGTCAGCCTTCCACACTGCTCAGCCCGGAGGAGCTTTCACGTACCTCCGTGGGCACATCCAGCTCCTCCATAGGCGGCTGGAGCCCTGGTGCTAGATCATCGTTGACACTTAGTTCAGTGTCGCCCATATCCTGCGCATCGTTAGTGTCCTCGGCTTCCTCATCGGACTCCTCATCGATCTGATCATCGTTAACCTCCTCTCCGGGAGAAAGCAGTGCCGCTGCGCTTAGAACGGTCTCACTATGCGGTGCTTGGATGATATCAGGTCGAGACTCGGGCTCATCATCGGAGTCATCCGACGAGCTGTCGCTGTCTGAAGAGGCATCGGATGTGTCCATAGCATCATCGCTGTCGTCTTCTTCGTTATCGTCGTTCGATGCCATAGCATCGGTCAACGTCTGCACTGCGGGCTCGGCGGTAGGTGCCGAGGCCACCTCGCCGTAGAGATTGTCCAAGTCCTCCTCGTCGTCCATCTCATCGTCATTGCCAACGAGAGGAGCAACAATCGTTTTGGCGCCAGGTATACTTGCCTCCATGGTGGATGGAACATCGCGTTCAGGACTATCTTGCGTCGTGGGATGCGCTGAAAATGGTTCTTGAGTCTCCATGCCATTCACTGAACCAGGTTCAAAGACGTCATCTCCCTCGCCTTCGAATTGATCGTCTTCAGATGACGACTCTGGACCATCACTTGTGGCTTGAATATGATCCGGCTGAAGTGCAGGCTGTGCGATCTGGTCGGCAGTGTATTCGCCATATAGATCCTCATCGTCTTCGTCATCAATCTCGTCAGAGTCGTTGGGATCGTTGACAGGGAACGCTGAAGGCGCTGCGACCGTATTGCTGTGCGCAGGTGCCGGCTCTGAGCTGTTCATCGCAATGCCAGGGGATGCGAGTTGAGGTTGAGCAGTAGCGTTGCCTGTTGGTGCTGAGCTCAACTGATTTCGCTGTACTTCAAGCTCTGCTAGTCGCCGACGAAGTGTATCTTTTTCTTGCTCTCGCGCTAGCCTTGCAGACGCAGAGCTGGTAGATGATGGCCGTTCTGGGTTGGCACCAGTAACTGGCTGATTTCCAGGCTGTAATGCCGTCTCCAGAGGCTGCTGTGGCTCACTAGGTGTTGCATTGCCGGAGGCCAAAGCATTGGACGATGCGATGACCTGATCAACAGCGTCAACAAGAGCCTCTTCTTGTGCGGCTTGAGCTTTTGCTTTGCCATTTCTCTGTCGCTTTCGCTCGGCTTCCGCTATTTGTCGCTTAAATTCCTCAATCTCTTCGAGTTTGCGTTTGAGGTCTGCATTTGGAGTGCTGACGCCAGGTGTTCCAGGTGTTGTTGAGATACCGCCGGATGGCATATGGAGCTTAGGCCTAGAAGTCTTGAGAGTCGAATTCGAAAAGTGCATCTTTTCCGCGCGGGGCTTTTCGGAAGCTTCGTCGACGTCCATGGAATCGTCGTCTTCTTCTTCATCACTACTGACTTCAATGACATAGCGATCATCATGATAGACGTCTCTGCTCTGGCCGAAATTCTGGTTGTGCGTGGCCGAGTCGTTGCGCGCGGCTTCAATGGCGCTAGCAGGCTGTTGTGTTGAGCCCGACGGTGCTGCAAACACGTTCTGAGCGGGCGTGGAGCTGGCAGGTCTACTACTGATAGGCTGTGGAGAGGCGTCATTCGATTGCGCTGATGCCAACATGGTCGTGAACAGTCCGGGTAGCCCAAAACCCCGGTTAAGAGTCGGAGACGCCGAAGGGACCAGAGCTTGAAATGCCATGTTTTGCGAAGCAACAAAGCCGTTTGGTCCAACATTCATGCTGGCTTCATCAGACGCGCGAGCGGCAGCTTCAACCAGACCAGCACCCAGACCCGGTCTGCTAGCTGGCATTGGCGAGGCCGCATTCTGATCTGACTTTACGGCCGGACTTGACGGCGCGGCAGCATCACTGGACTGCTTAGCCTGCCGTCTGGCTGCTTGCTCTGCTTTCAATTTGTCAAGCTTCTGTCGGAGCAACTCGTTCTTGTCCTTGGTAAGTCCACCCGTGCGGGGAGGAGCAGCGGCTACGGCGGCCGCAGGCTTTGCAGGCTGTAAGCGAGGGCCGACAGTGGTGGTTTCTGTAGTTGATGCTGCTGTAGGTGCAGCAGGTGGAGTAGCAGACTTGGCGGAAGCCTCTGCTTTCTTGTTTTTCGCTGCTTGGAGCTTGGCCAGATACTCGCTACGGTTCTGAGGCGTAGGAGCTTTCGTGGCTAGAGGCATCGATGTCTTGCGCGGTTGTTGGGCAACTGGCACGCCGCCTTGATTGGCAGGCGAGTCGCATGAGGATGGTAATGGCAGTCCCAACTGTTGGTACATGCGTCTCAGAGTTTTCGGATCGCCTACCTCTCGCGAGAGTTGATCGAAGTTATACCCATTTCTGTGCATCTCAAGAAGAAATGCCTTTGCAGCCGCGTCTTTGCCCACTGCTGGCTGAGGCGTATTACCACTTACAGCCTGACTGATGACGGGCGCTTGCCCATTGGATCGCGATGCCTGAGCAGACCCGGCGGACGATGACGTTCGCTGGGGTCCAGGCCTCGCGGGCGCAGGACCTTGCTGCGAACCGCGTCTATCTGCTGGCGCTGCGTTGCCTCTCGGAAGCGGACTTCTACTACGCTTCCGCGGGCCTTTGGGCGGTGTCCGCAGGAAATCGCGAGCTTTGGGTGCGTCTTCCATCTCTCCTTCCTCGAGCTCGCCTTCCTCTTTATCCATGTCCACATCGTGGCCATTCGCTTGAGCGGTAGAGGACGTGTTTTGAGGAGTCGGTGTATCTGCAGAATGCCGAGGCGGATTTTTTGACCACGTTGCGGCAGGCGCGGAAGGCGGTATAGCAGCAGCAGCAGCAGCAGGTGCCGCGCCTGGTGGCATAGGCACAAGTCCTTGCTGTATCATACGCGCGATCATCGCGAATTGCTCGGGAGTGACACCCGCCAACGCGCTCATATCAAAGTCCGCAGGGAGCCCTGCTTGAGGAGTTGCCATCTGCTGTTGACTGGTCGGCGTCGGCGCGCCGTTCGTGGGTGTTTGCGGTTGGGTATCGGTGGCGTTCTGTTGATGTTGAGTGTGGACAGGGGCTGGCGGCTGCCCGAAGAGAAATGGGATGTTCTGCGACATGCTTTGGTCACGAAGGCGACGTAGCTTTGCACACAATCTCGGTGCAGGCGCAGCGGCAGATGATCATGGCCGACGAGGAAAGAGATGACGATCACAGGCAAGCGCTGCAGAGGCGACGAATGCACCTTCTGGCAGCGCCGGCGCGTGTTGTAGGATGAGGAGGCAGCGCAGAGTGTGAAGGTGCACGGGCTCTACAGCAGTGCGATGCTCCAAGCGCGGTTGCCGGTCGCCGTGATGATACGCGAGTGTATGCGACTGATCACAAGATGGGCCTCCGTGCCTCAAGAGTGATGGAAAAGTTCTAGAGCAGGAGTCGTGGTGCAGTGACTGCAGTCGTCGATCTCGAGAAAGCTAAATTCGGAGGGGCGTCGGACGTCGGGACTCGGCTAGAAGAGAGCAGACGCACCACGCCCAAAGCGGAAGTAGTATCAAAACAAGCCGGGGAACGACCAGAGCAGCAGCAGCAGCAGCAGCAGCACAGCACAACCGTCGCCGCCGCATTTGCTGCGTTGCATTGTGCCTTTCTCCATCTTGTCGACACCCTGTACATAATTGGCCGAGGAGACTACGCTGGACGACTGGAGGAATGAATGCCCGATAGCTTGCCTGTATGACACTACGTTATCGTCGCCTGGATGCGCGTTTGGGAGACACGCGCTTGGAATGACAGAACGGGCAGGGCACGGCACGGCGCAGAGATGAGCTCACAGGCGCAGAATGGGCCTCGATGGCGCAACAGCCCATTTGGACGAGACAACGACACTCCTTCGCCAGGTCCTCCGCCAGGGCATGCGCGGTCCAAGTCGAGCATAATGCAGAACCCGCTCAGCTCTCCCACACCCAGTGGCCACGCGCGGCAGCCGTCGATCACGGACCTTGGCCTGGACGGTATGGGACGAGCAGATCAGCGGCGCCTTCGAGCAGGCTCGGTGCGAAATTCGACGCCGGCAGGCACCTTTGCACCCAAATTCATCAAGCATGAAGACCCAGCAGCGGCGGAGGAGCGAGTGCGCGGCATAGAAGGCGAGAACGACTTCTCCGGCAAGAGATATGTTTGGCTCAGAGATCCGAGCACAGCTTTCGTGCGCGGCTGCGTCGTGGAGGAGCTGCCCGATGATATGCTGAAGGTGCAGTGCGACGATGCCAGCCAGCGATGCGTGCCGGCCGACAGTGTGGATAAGGTCAACCCGGCCAAGTTCGACAAGGCAGACGACATGGCCGAGCTGACGCACCTGAATGAGCCGAGCGTGGTTCACAATCTTCAGCAGAGATACCAAGCGGATCTGATATATACATACTCGGGCCTGTTCTTGGTGACCGTGAATCCATATACGCCTTTGCCCATCTACGGCAGGGACTATGTCAACATGTACAAGGGCCGAAATCGCGAGGATACAAGACCGCACATATTCGCCATGGCCGATGAAGCCTTCCGAAACTTGGTCGATGAAGGCACAAATCAGTCCATTCTGGTCACGGGCGAATCGGGTGCTGGTAAGACTGAGAATACGAAGAAGGTCATCCAATATCTGGCTGCTGTGGCCACCTCAGACACACCACGAGTTAAATCTGGAGCACGCCAGCTATCGAACTTGTCGGAACAGATTCTTCGTGCGAATCCCATCCTGGAGGCTTTTGGTAATGCACAGACCCTTCGAAACAACAACTCTTCTCGATTCGGTAAATTTATCAGGATTCAATTCGGTAGAGCTGGTCAAATAGCTGGTGCCTACATCGATTGGTACCTCCTCGAGAAGAGTAGGGTGGTGCGGCTGAACTCCCACGAACGTAATTACCACGTCTTCTACCAGCTGCTGAGAGGCGCTAGCCAGTCGATGCGCCGAGACTTCATGATTGATGGGAAGGATGTTGAGGACTTTGAATACACAAGGCATGGCAACGACATCATCTCCGGCGTTTCGGACCAGGAGGAATGGAACTCGCTTCTTGAAGCATTTCACATCATGAACTTCTCCGATAAAGAGCAGAAGGAAATTCTGCAGACCATTGCTGCTGCCCTGCATCTTGGCAACATCACGCTCATCAAGGAAAGCCTACGAGCAGATCAAGCAGCGCTCTCACCTGAGGCTGCCAAGTCTGTAGCCTGTGCTTGTAAGCTGCTCGGTATCAGTCAGGAGCCATTTGTCAAAGCTCTACTACATCCACGTGTGAGAGCAGGCCACGAATGGGTGGAAAAGAGTCAGACTCCAGAGCAAGTGCGCCTCGCTGTTGATGCACTGGCAAAGGGTATCTATGAACGTGGCTTCGGCAACCTGGTCGACCGGATCAACAAGCAGCTGGATCGAACCTCTTCTGGTTCATACGATGATGATACCTCATTCATTGGCGTGCTCGATATTGCTGGGTTCGAGATTTTCGACGAGAACAGCTTCGAACAGCTGTGCATCAACTACACGAACGAAAAGCTCCAGCAATTCTTCAACCATCATATGTTCGTGCTTGAGCAAGAAGAATACGCCCGGGAACAAATCGAATGGAAGTTCATTGACTTCGGACGTGACCTACAGCCAACGATTGACCTGATCGAGGTGACCAACCCCATTGGTATTTTCTCTTGTCTCGACGAAGATTCAGTGATGCCCAAGGCTACCGACAAGTCCTTCACCGACAAATTACACTCTTTGTGGGATCGCAAGACTCCAAAATACAAGCGATCGTTGCTCAATCAAGGCTTCATGCTGACACACTACGCCGCTGAAGTCGAATACTCTACTGAAGGATGGCTCGAGAAGAACAAGGACCCACTGAATGACAACGTTACGCGATTGCTTGGACACTCCACCAATGGACACATCGCGCACCTATTTGCCGATTGTGCTGAATTCGATGAAGGAGACGGTGCAACGCGCTCACGCGTCAAGAAGGGCCTCTTCCGCACTGTTGCGCAGCGGCACAAGGAGCAGCTCTCCTCCCTGATGTCCCAGCTCCATTCAACGCATCCCCATTTCGTGCGCTGCATCTTGCCGAATCACAAGAAAAAGCCAAAGCAGTTCAACGCATCACTAGTTCTTGATCAGCTGCGATGCAATGGTGTCTTGGAAGGCATCAGGATTGCGCGAACTGGTTTCCCAAATCGCCTTCCGTTTGCTGAGTTTAGAGCACGGTACGAGGTGTTATGTCAGAACATGCCCAAGGGCTACATCGAAGGCCAGGCCTACTGCAAGATCATGCTGGAGAAGCTCAACATGGATCGCAGCTGGTACCGAGTCGGTCTTACCAAGGTCTTCTTCCGCGCCGGCGTACTCGCAGAACTTGAAGAAAAGCGTGATGCACTAATTCGCGACATTGTCGTGCGCTTCCAAGCTGTCGCTCGAATGTATGTGCAACGACGCATCTTCAAGAAGCAGCAGTATCGAGCTGAAGCCACTCGTGTCATTCAGCGAAACTTTCAGGTCTACCTCCAGCTGCAACAGAATCCATGGTGGCAACTGTTCGTTCGCATGCGGCCGCTGTTGGGCGCTACTCGTCAGTCCAATGAGGTCAAGAAGCGGGAAGAGGAGATCAAACTGCTGCATGCAAAGATGGCCGAGGAGGAAGCGCAGCGCGCCAGAGTGGAAGATGACCGTCGAAGAGCAGAGGCTGAGATTCAAAAAGTGCAGAAAACACTCGAGAGTGAGCGTGCGCTTGCTCTGGACAAGGAAGAAATTTTCCGCAGGCTGCAGAACCGTGAGACGGAATTGACCGAGAAACTGCAAGGTGCTCTCGAGGATCAAGATCACCTAGAAGAGCAGATTGATGAGCTCATGGCTTCGCGCAAGATAGCGGAAGAACAAGCCGAAGAGCGACGAAATCAGCTGGAGCAGGCAGGTCAGATCATTGACAAGCTTGAAACAGAAAAGAGTGATCTGGTCGACCGGATAGCCGAGCTGGACGCACACCTTGAGGAAGTCGAGAAGAGCAAGTCGATGAGAAGCGAACAAGAGGAGGCATTGCAGCAGGAAATTAGAATGCTGCAGAGTCAGCTGAGCTTGAGAGAGCGCAAACTCCACGACCTGGAGGCCAAGCTGCTCAAGAACGACCAAGACCTGGATCTCAAGCTATCTACGGCGACAAAGGACCTCCAGAATGCCAGGAAGCAAGTCAAGGATCTGGCCGAAGAGAACAGATCGATTCGTCAGCAGATGTCAGATTTGTCCTCTACATCTACTAGCTTCGAAGACCTGATCAAGCGGAAAGACAGCGAGCTTGCTATCCTGAAGACCGATCTGAAGCGATACCAGGATGACCGAAAGCGCTTTGAAGATGAGAAGCATGGCCTGACCACCAAGCATGACAGTATTCAGACTCGATTGAGGGACACGCTGGCCGAGATGGAAGTCTTGCGATCGCAACATGGCCAGCTTCAAAGAGAAGTTGCCGACGCCAAGCGAGCCCTGGAGGATCAGACATCAGCCAACGAGCAAGTGAAGATGCTCGAGGCTCAGCTGCACGACGTGAAGGGCGAGCTCTATCAGGCACAGGCTGATCTCAGCCGCGAACAGCAGTCTCGTGATGACGTGAAGCGTATTGCAACAGCAGAATATGAAGGACTGAAGCGGGAGTATGATTCACTCCACGAGTCCAAGGTCACTGTGGAGAAGGAAATGTACAGCCAGTCAGACCTCACTCGTCGCGCCACTGCTGCACGTGAGGCTGCCGAAAAAGAGCGTAAAGACTACCAGACCGAACTGCAAACTTTGCGAAAGAAGTTCATCCAGCTTCAAGAAGAGAAGCTGGAGGTCGAAGCAGCTGTTGAGCGCGACGTCTCACAGAAAGCCAATGAGCGCCATGCCATCGTACGGAAAGAGCTTGATGAGAAAACCGCGCACAACCAGGAGCTGGAGTCTGAGCGTGCCCGATTGTCTGGAGAAGTGCAACGTCTCAAACGCTTCATCGCTGACTCTGAGAACTTCAAACTTCATCATGACCAAGAAAAGCAGCGTCTTGAGCGCGAGCTGGTCACAACCAAAGGCCGCCTGGCAGCTTCAGAAAATGACAACAAAGCACTGATGAACAAGATCCAGATGAAGTCTCTTGACATTGCGCGGTCCAACAGCAAAGCTAGCGATAACCAGAGAGGCAAGATCGCGCAGCTGCAAATGGAGAAGACTAAAGTGGATGACGAGGTCAAGAAACTGCATCGCCAGCTCAATGATGCTCATTTGACGATCACTTCGCTCGAGAAGCAGAAAGAGAAGCTTGCTCTCAGCCTAGAAGATCTCAATCACGAAGTCGAGCGTGAGCACAAGAGTACTAGGAATGCCGAGCAGCAGTACTCTGCCGCCGGACTTCAACTTGCTGAGGCCAATCGCAAGCTCGAGACCGAAAGGACAATGCGAAGTCAGGCACAACAGAATAGTAAGACCTTGCAAAACTCGCTAGATGCAGCCCACAGAGAGATCACGGAAGCACATGAGCATCTCCGACTGCTGCAGAAGATTTTCGATCCTGAAAGTGGCAAGCTGCCACAAATTGATGGTGCGAAGCCGGACATGAAGCAGACCATCGACCTGGCACAAAAGCTCGAAGCCTCCGAACAAGCGCTTCGCCTTGCTGCTGAACGCTTCTCCCGAGCTGAGTCTCAATTGGAACAGCTCCGTGCGCAGCATTCAGACGATATGCAGGAGAATGAGAATCGCTACCAGAACTCCAAGCGTGCTTTGCTCGAAGAAATGAATCCTAGTCAGGTCAATGCTCGATCATCGCCCGGAGCAGGTCCGCTGCGGCGAGAATGGGACAATCGCAAGACTTGGTCGCCTGCGAACAACAGCGCCACTCACACTCCGACTAGTCAGCGTCATATCAGCAAGGCCAGCCAAGACTCTGCGCAATCTGAGCGTAGCACAGACACTCTGACTTTGAACAGCCATATGGATCTAGCTGCCGAGGTGGAAGAGTTACAGACACAACTGCAGATGTCTGAGATGCAGAATCGTCATCTTCAGGCACAGCTTGGCCGCGGCTCGATGAAGAATGACTGGTCCGAAGAAAGCCCATCCATACGCAGAGTACAGAAGCTCGAGCGCGAGAACTTCCGTCTTCACGACATGCTTGATGATTCTGCCAAGAAGGTCTCGTCACTAGAGCAAAGCATACGTGCCGGCCAGCTTTCATTGAAGGAGGTTCAGACCAAGAGCCACGAGGAGCTATACGATCTCATCAATTCGCAAGAACAGTCGCGACGCTCTCTGTTGACGTCCCACAACGCTGCGATCGCAGAGCTTGCAGATGCGAAGACGTCGTTTGACGAGATCAAGCACTACAAAGCCGGTGTTGAAGTTGAGCTTCGTGACGCTAAGTCTGAGCTCGCTGACTTGCAGTACGAGCGCGAGCAGGAGGCTGCGAATCACTCTCAGTTGCTGCAGGAGTTCTCCGACTTGCAGATCAGACTGGATGCCGAGACCTCCAGATCTGATGACCTCATGTCCAGCATGAACCTCTACAAGGCTAGAGCGGACGAGTACTTCGAGAAGCTAGAGCAGGCTGAGATTGCTGTGCTGAAAGCATCACGAGCAGAGCAATTTGCCAAATCGCAAGCCAAGGAGGTGGAGGAACAGTGCGCCACCATACTTTCAGAACGAAAGCAGATGGATGATCTTGTGGAAGACCTGCAACGCCAAGTACAACAGTACGAGGAAAAGGTCGAAGATGTTTGTTCAGATCTCGATAGTGCCATGCAGGCCAAGAAGCGTCTTCAGAACGAGCTCGAAGACTATCGCTCACAGCGCGCCAAGGATATCGAAGACAAAGAGTCATCCATGGAGCAGACTCGCCGAAAGTATCAGGCTGAGCTTGCCACTCTTAACAGCGAGCTGGAGTTGGAGCGTGACAATGTCATTCATGCTCGTGGTGAGAATGGACGTCTCCGCGATGAGCTAGAAGAGCTGCGCAATAAGTGGGATGACGAGGTTCTGAACAGCTCGACCTGGGCTAAAGAGAAGTCACGACTTGAAATTGCGCTTCAAGGACTGTCGGATTCGAGGGATGAGGCCGTAACTGCGCACAATGAAGCCCAGAGCAAGATCGTAGAACTTCTCGGGCAGGTTCGTGGCTTGCGAACCAACATTGACGATACGGCTGCCGAGCGTGACATGCTTGTCAAGGAGAAGAAGGGCCTCGAAGCAAGGCTCGCCGAAGCAGCAGAGCGACTCAACGATCTGGCCAACGATGGCTCGCCATCAAAGCGATCTGCGGCCTCGTCCGATCGGGAAGTTTTGGACCTGAAGGCCAAGCTTGCTCAGCAAGAGGACATTGCTGCTGCTGCAGTTGGCAAGATGCGCCGTGCCGAAGCGTTAGCTCAGGAGGTCTCTCGAGACATCGCGAACGAGCGTGAGAGCAGTGTACAGCTCCACCGTGAGAAGGCGGCTCTTGAGAAGAGCGCCAAAGAACTCCAACTCAAGTGCATCGAGCTCGAGACCAAGGGCTACTCCAGCGGGAGTCAAGATGTCCGATATCTGCACGGCAGGATCCAGGAGGTGAGACACGCTCCTACTGACATTACGAACGAATTTGAACAGCGACTGACATGTGTTGATGCAGCTTGAATCTCAGCTCGAAGATCTTGAGAAGACCCGCACGACAGAGGCACGCAGCGTGCGCAGCGTAGATCGTACCGTGAAGGATCTGCAATGCCAGATTGAACGTCGTGAGAAGTCCATGTCAATGCTTCAAGATGACCTCAATAGGTCCCGGGACAAGATCGGAAGTCTTCTCCAGACTATCGACGAGCTCCAACAATCCGACTCCACGGCCCAGCTCGCCTCCAAGCGCGCAGAACGCGAACTGCTCCAAGAGCGAGAAAAGAATCTCCGTCTCGAAAGAGAAATCGAGCGCATGGGTGCCGTGTCACGTGCTGACCGCGAAAGCGTCAGAAGAAGTGGCACACTCGCAGCACTCAGCGACTCTGGCATGATGGATCGGTCGAGAAGAGGTAGCAGCGTGGCTCCGAGCACGAATGGTGGCGAAGTCAAGATCGATGTCCCTCAGAGGAAGAGTTCTTTGATCAAGGGTTTTTTGTAGATGAAACCGGCGTAAATGGGGTTGAAGGCGTTAGCAGAGATGAATCGAAGAAATGGGTCAAGGGCCGTGTTACTTTGAAGAGTGAAGCTTTCTTGTAGGGCTGAATTTCCGAGCACTGGAATGTGGTTTGGTTCCGACGGTTGAGGCATGCAGGGTACAGGGATTGGGGGGAGGATGTTACGGGATGAGACATGACTTGTGGGCTTGTGGGAGTAGTGGGTCTGTATACATATGTACTTGACATATATTTTGCTGGAACTTTCGTGGTGGGATTCGGAGGCACAGATTGTGCTTGCTTGAGATTTTTCGTCTACCGTCATTTGATGGACATGGTAGGAGATAATGTCGTGCTGGTTGTGATATTTGCGATCGCATGCAAAGACTTAGTGGTTTAAAGACCATTCCGGTGCTATTCTCTGCCACCCGACTTGGCCACAACGTGCAGCCGTGGCAGAGGATTGTCTGTCGAGGCTTCATCGCGAGGAGGCTTGCCGTGCAAGCAGATTGACTGCATGTGGTTGGGTCTATCTTTGTCTGCACGTGATTGCAATCAAGTGAGTGCGTGTAAACATCAATCAAACGTTTGTGTCAAGCTCGAAGTCGCGCATAATGAAAGTGAAGCGGTGGTTGAAGTTTTCTATTCTAGGCGTCGAAGCCCTGAACCTTGTTGGCCCGGCCCGGCCCTGTCCAACTCGTGCACCTCCCGGGCCATCTTCCACGGCGTACTGCATTCTAGTACAGTCAGGCGCATTTGACGCAGTGCTGCACGAGCCACCGGCGCAACGTTCTCGAGGCATGTGCTGCCCTCCATACCACCCCCTCCCGCAATCCTCAAAGATCCCTCGAAAACCACCATCGTCGCCGCCAATCTGTCAGCATGCCTCGAGCAACGCGAAAGAGAGCAGCCGCGGAGCGCGTTGGGGACGTAGTGGGAGAACAGGCAGAAGAGATGGAAGTCGACAATAATAATGCGCGCGAAGAAGACACCGACGACGACGACGAAGGCGATGCGGATGCAGGTGCAGGTGCAGGTGCGCGCAACGGTCTGGACCTCGACGGACCGATCAACTGGAAGGCCGGCAGACCCATACCAGTCAACACTCTACTGCCTCGACTTCAAGCGCTTGCCGAGCAATTACGATCCATAGAGCAGGGCACTGTGGCTCCCGAACTGCTGCAGTCAAAAGCGGCGGAATTGGTCAACACACAATTGCTTGATCACAAGGACGATGGCATCAAGGTGTACACCTTGCTCTGTATTGTCGAGCTGTTCAGAATCATGGCCCCCAATGCTCCCTTCAAGCAGAGTCAATTGGTGAAGATCTTCGATCTCATCGTCAAGTCGGTCATTCCAGCGCTTGCCGACCCTGGCCATTCTTATAATGGAGAGCATTCGGCCATTGTTTCGTCTCTGGCAAATATAAAGAGTATTATCCTGCTCTGCGACCTTCCGGGGAGCGACACGAGGATCAGAGAACTTTTCACTCATGCTTTTGATGTCATGGCTGGAAATGTGCAGGGAGGCGACCGGGAGTTGCTTTCGAAGAATGTCGAGTTCAACTTCACGAGCATGCTCTGCGCTGTCGTCGACGAATGTCAGTCATTGCCAACTGAAGTGACCGATGTCATCTTGGCCCAGTTCCTCAGAGCCGACCCTAATGCTACTACGACGAAGAAAGGCGAGCAAGTCTGGTCTGACGTGCTTCGGGAAGTTTCGCCTGCATACAACATGGCCAGGTCAATATGTAACACCTGCGAAGAGACTATGATTCGACAGATTGGCTCATACTTCAACTCTGTCTTGATAGACGCGGCTTCGGTTTCCGCCACATCCAAACCCAGCAAGTCGCGGGGAAAGAAGCGAACTCACGATGAGAGCGAAGACGAGGAAGACTCAAGCGTGCTCGTACAGCCATCCGATGAGGACCTACAAGAAGTCTCCAAAGCACATCGATTACTACGCGAACTATGGAGAGCCTGCCCAGCAGTCATTCAGAATGTTATTCCTCAAATTGAGGCAGAGACAGCGGTCGAGAACGTGCCTTTGCGAGTCCTCGCGGTGCAGAGCATAGGTGACATGATTGCAGGCATCGGTGCAGCCGGTCCGCCTCCTCCGACACCTCTGGTCCCAGAAGCATACCCTTCGCAGAGCCTCGAAAGCTATGCCGCACCGGTGCATTCCAACTTACTCCTGGTGCCCGCAGCACCGCAAGCATTCTCTAATGCCTACCCAAGTGCATATCAAGCGTTCTTTGACCGCCATCGGGACAAGTCGGCACAAGTCCGAGCAGCTTGGGTCACTGAAGCCGGGCGAATTGTGCTTACATCTGCTGGTGGCAAAGGGTTAGACTCTGGTCAGGAGACAAGACTTCTCCGCTGCTTTGCAGATATGCTGCTGGATCAAGACGAAAAAGTCCGCTCTTCAGCTGTGCAAGCCTTGATCCATTTCGATTTCCATTCCATCGTGAGCAAGCTAGGTCGCGCGGGTGGGGTCAACAAAGAAGGGTCTGTTCTGTCTAATCTCGTAAAGGCCTGCGTGGTGGACCAGAAGCAGACTGTCTCCATCGCTGCGACCGAGCTTGCTGGGCGCATCTGGGGTGTAGCATCGGGCGCAATTGTGGAAGGCGATGAGAAGATCCGAGAGCTGTTGGGTGGCATTCCATCTGAAATCTTCCGAGGCAAGTACAAGAACAAGCCCTATCTCAATCAGCTGATCGACCAAGTGGTGGCCGAATCACTCCTTCCGCTCGGCTTCCCACCCATCAAATCAAAGAAAGAGGCCAAGAGTGACTCCCAACGAGTTCCCGACAGCCAGAGCACATCTGAGCGAGGGCCAAGTCCGGACAAAATCAGAGTCGCTCGAATCCTGGCGTTGGTCCGTGACCTGGATGGTGAAGGCGAAAGACATACAAAAGTCGTCTTCTTGGGTTCGCTGCAACGGCAAGTGCAGTTGGCAAAGTATGTCAAAGCAGCCTTGGACTCCAGCGAGAAGATGGGCGCCAACCCAAAGACCAAGGAAGCGAAAGCTGAGAAGCAGACCCTCCAAAAGCTCGTCAAGGTCCTCGCAAGTGCTTTTGCAGAACCCGATATCGCTGCGAACGAGCTCACTCGATTTTTCGAACATTACGAACGTCGGAACTATGCCCTGGTTAGGTTCTGCATCGACGCCAGCACCGATTACAAGAAAGTCATCAATGCGATCAGGGAATTGAAGACACGATTGGCTGCATCACCAAGTAACATTGCCGAGTGTAGTGATACTGTTATGCATTTGCTCCAGATCAGCTCAGTCCTCGTGTACAATCGAAGCCATGTTCCTGCAATTGTGGAGTTCTCACGAACGAACGAAGCAGGTCTCGGTTCGACTGCGCACGATATCTTGAAGGACATCTCTACAAAGGCGCCATCGATATTCGAGGTTCATGTCACTGAGTTGTGTAAGACGTTGATGGACCACCCTCCCTCTGCAACATCATCAAACAGTGCCCGCGCTGCCGATACTTTGAAAGCATGCGCCGGCTTCGCTCGCCAGTTCCCACAGAAGATGCCCAAGGACCGCAAATTTTATCAAGCGATGTCAAGTTACGCAAAATACGGTAGCTCGGCCATTGTGGTAAAGCATGCAATCACAGTCATTGTTTCTGCTGCAGACAAGAGGGAAATGTATGTCAAAGACATACTTCAGCACAGTTTGAAGGACTTCGCGGTCGGAGACGACACATATCTGACAAAGCTCGCTGCGCTGAGTCAATTGAGCCTGCTGGCGTACAAGCAGCTTGAAGACCAGCATGATCCTATACAGACCGTGCTTGCTAAAGTTCTGAAGAATAGGACCGCCGCACAAGACACTGATCCGTCATGGTCGGATGAGCTGGACGACGACGCTCAAGCAAAACTTCTAGCGCTCAAGACCATCACAAACAGAGTCCGAGGCCAAGTCTTGGAAAGCGACAACGATGAAGAGAGCGAACAGGTAGAACGCTCAGCCGAGCAGGTGTTCAACATTCTCAATTCCATCGTGAAGAAAGACGGCGAGCTGGCCGGAAAGAGTCATCCAACTCCTGCACACTATCGATCACGACTTCGATTGGACGCCGCGAAGCTGATTTTGAAGCTTTGTTGCAACAAGACCATCGACTCAGTGTTTCTCCCGATCGATCTTGTTGGCCTCACCAAGATCGTGCAAGACCCTCTACCCGAAGTGCGCGCAGGCTTCTGTGCAACATTGAAGAAGTATCTCGGGCAGGGCAAATTGAACCATCGCTTCTACGCGCTCATGTTCCTCTACGCGTTTGAGCCAATCAAGAGCACCAAGGAGGCCGCGTTTACCTTTCTGCGAGCTCGCGCTCTCAATTTTGCTAAGAACAACTCTCCAGTCATGGAGAGCGTGTTCGCCCACTTCCTCAGCTTGCTTTCTCATCACGAGGACTTCACACCTGCGGCAGAGGATATACCAGACTTCATAGATTACATCCTGTTCTTCTTGAAGGCTGTGGCATCAGAGCAGAACCTCGGCACCCTCTATGCGATTACGCGTCGCGTGAAGCAAGTTGAGGACGCTGTCACTCCAGACAAGAGAGAATATACATGGACCATTGCCGACTTGTCTGAAGGTGTCATCCGTATTTACGAGCAAGCCAAAGGCTGGACACTACAAGCGCCTCCCACACGACCTAACCTGCCTAAATATATCTACCAGCCCTTGGTAGACCGCGCACTTGCGGAGGAGGTAGCAGACAAGAATTTCTTGCCAGACATCATTGCCGAGGACCTCGAAGATTTGGTCAAGAGTCGATTGAAATCGAAGAAGCGGAAGGCCGTCGATGGCGAGCCGAAGAAAGCGGCCAAGAGAGCGCGGTCTTCTACGACTGATGACAAAGGTTTGCCTGCTCGCAAAGCTGCCAAGAAGGAAAAGAAGACCAAGACTATGAAGACACCGAAGCGAAGATTGAGCGATGAGCTTCCTGCCTCTGAACGGCGGAAGAGCTCTAGAGTGTCAAATGCGAAGTCGTACGCGATAGATTCTGACACCGATGAAGAAGAGGTGGAGAAATGGGATGCCGATGACAGTTCTGATGAGGATGATGAGGCGAACAAGGAGAACGTGTCTTCGACGTCGACACCGCCCACCAGTGATCCATTGCACTCCCAGTCCGCACTGAATGGCACAAAGGAAAAGACTCCAAGGCCGACGTCGAAAGCAACGCCTACATCAACGCCCCGACCAGCTGCGATGACCAAGACAGCGAAAGAGAAGGCGCCAGCTCAGAAGAAGGCTGCTGCTTCGAAGAATAAGCTGCCCACAAGGACAGGGCGACCAACAAGAAACGCGAAGAAAGAGAAGGACATCATGGACATTCCTAGTGACTCAGATGAGCAGCTCTCCGACGCACCGGATGAGATGGAGGTGTGAACAAGAGTATGCATCTTCTTGCTTCTCTGGATATGCCGCGTCATGCTCCGCGTTAGGCATCATTACTCGGCGTTAGTATTGCGACCAACGATATCACCGACAGCGTCATACATGTATCTAAAGTATCGTGTGTTCATATTGCAAGCGTTCTGTGGCTCCAGCGAGGTGTTCTGGGGTATGCATCTAGCGAAAAGGTGCAACGTGTGTAGCGTCGAACATGACTAAATTGCATGAAAGGTGGCCGAAACAAAGGAGCATTTCGCTATTCAGGCCTCTGGTGGTGATGCGCAGATTAGTGATCGATGGGAAAGAAGGTGTGCAGCCTCTCTCTGCGACTGGAAGCTTCAGATCAGTTTGTGACGTGGATCGATCGATGTAAAGTGTGCGCATATGAAAGCTCCTTGGTTAGTGGGCCGCTTGGGCCGTGTGCCAGCTAGAAGGGCGGTCATGTGCTCATCATGTTGCCTTGATCTTGGTCGAAGAATCCAGTGTTGTAGCGATCAGAGTGGTCAGTGATTGCCTTCAAAAGCTTGCAGCTTGCTCTTGCTGGCGAGCCGGGTCTGCCGGGCGTGGATCATGTGAATACTTTTGATTGATCAGAGAAGAAGTGCATGTGACGAAAAGGCTTTGATGAGGCCGGGAGGACAGGCTCGCAGAAGCGGTTCGCTGCGAAATTATTGTCAACGACCACTTGCTTTTGCGCCCTGAAGAGCTGGTTCTATTTCATTTCCTAATGCAGGCAAAGTAACGAAGGCGGTCAGGCTGCCTCGCAGGCTTCATTTAGACCCCCGTGTGACCCACTATGCTTGTCGAGTGAGGCCGCACAACTCGTGTGGGAGAGTGGCCTTTTCGAGCCTGGGGCGTAGGTTTCTGCGTCGATTCATGTGCATTGTGCATACCCAGTGTAGGGGGGTTTTTTTTGGTGCCGAGATACGGAGCACAGCACGATGTAGAATCAGGCAAGATGTATGCATCTGGGAGAGTAGTCGAGAGCTCTTGCAGCTTGAGATTTCAGAAGAACATTCTTATATGCTTTGTTTGAGAGCATTAGTCGTGCAGATGGGTGATCTTTATGACTCGCTGCAGTACTGACCGGAAGCTGTTAAATAAAGGCTGCTTGTATGGAGATTGCTCTGGAATTGTCGCAACTCGCAAGGCAAGACTTGCGAACCGTTAGTGAGTCTACGCGAGCCGAGGGGCTTTAGGGCGGTTATTTATCGTGTGGAGCATATGGTTCATTGATCAGGGTTGTGGGTTCGCATGAGGCCGCCCGCTCGAGCCTTAGCAAGAAGCCTTAATGTATATTTCGATGAGCATCCTGCGAGAGAGAGCTCAGAAGTAGTCTCATGTCATGTCAAAAATATCGCATGGCGCGGTTCGCGAACAGCCGCCGCTTCCTGGCTCGGTGTCAGCTACATGTATTCGGTAATTTCAGCCTCGTGCGAACTTCGAAGGAATGTCATCAGAAAGAATGTTTCACTTTCCGTAATAGAACCATAGCCTTTGGTCCCCCGGATTGGCTTACGGACCCTATAGCATAAACCGGGGAGCAAGATGGCACCTGGCTGGAGTCCAGTGCGCGAGCCAAGGCATCTAGGCAAAAAAAAAAGTCCATTCTCGCCCCCAAATATGCTGGTCTGGGCACGAGAAAGAGTGCATTCGACCTTGGACGCTATTGCACGGCTCAATCAAGATCCATGCAGTTGAGGAGCTTCCGATCGGGGATGGCTGAAATATCCCCTGATCGACACCATTACCGACGATAAACAAAATGGTCCGCAAAAAGGCAATGAAGGCAACCAATCCAGTGCCATCCTACTGGGCCGAAATTTGCTCAATGGCTAAGAAGAAATGCTCATCAAGACGCCATCTGGAAGGGCTGAACAATGGTATTGCTGGGTATCTCAATTGCAAAAACGTTCGCAAAAGCTCGGAGAGCTACTCTAGCTGTACAAGTCACGAATGTCGAATCTCTTTCTCGCCTAAAACAGCTGCGCGAATTTGTATCACGGCGAGGATTTCCAGCACGAATTCCTGTAGTATCACAACATTGGTCAATATGTGATTCAGGCTCGCCTTGCGTGCCATTGGCATCTGGTCCTCGGATGCCTCATCCGCTTCGCCGGTGTTACCTTCCAGTACGTTAACCTCCTTTGACTGATCGGTGAATGTGATGACCTGCATCAGAATGTCTGTCGTGGATGGCGTCTCAGGAGGCGGTGGTTTGTACATAGACTTTCCAGGCGCTGATGCGCTCGACTCGGCAACCCTGGCTTTCGAAGCTGTCCGAGAGGCCGTTGGAGAGGCTGTAGCACTTGCTGTGTCAATGCGTGGAGTAGGATATCCGGTGTTGCTTGGACTTAGTAGTTGATCACCGGCTCGTCCGCGTCCAGATCTGCTGGCGGCTCTTGAGTGGCGACCAACAGCTCTAGATACCTCCAGGGGTTGTGGTTGCCGATTAGGATCATCCATGATGGACGATGCTTCTCCAGTGTTTGAGTGATCGATCGGTGCAGCCTGAAGCATTACTTTCCTTCCAGCCATGAGCTGGTCAAAGTTGGGTATAACAGTCCTGACCGTATCCAATTCCGCCAAGAGAGTCGCAATCTCTTTATACAAAATCGGTGATGTGCTCGCGTTGAAGCTGGGTGTCTGTAAGGCTGTACTCATTGCGGCCCAAGTCTCCCTTTCAGGACCGTCCAGATGGGTCTGCCAAGCCTTTCCTGACAAAGAGGGTTCCACGGCAGTTGAGGGTGTCGATGGCGTTAAAGCGATCCAGCTGTCCAGCCGAATCTCAACACACTGTGCGATGGATATGATAGCTTGAGTTAAGCCGAGATTAACGTCAACGCTGTTTGTGAAGAATGTTCTCAGCAGAGCCAGCATAGAGCGCAGCAGCGGGTCATTGTCAAGAAGCGTCAATGTATAGACTTCCCCGATGTTATTGTCAGCAGCTGTAGGCAAGGCTGGAACTTGGCTTTCAATGACGTATCGTGTGTCTTCTGATAAACGGGTATAAGCAGTGTCGACGCTGTAATGTGGATGAATGGATGCCGCAAGATGGGAGTACTGATCAATCTCTTTTTCAAATGCTCCGATCGTCCGGCGATTCGGACGCGATGCCACCTTGTCGACCTTCAGAAGGGACCCGAATGCATACTTTCTGTGACGCGTTATCAAGGTCGATGCCAGCTTCAGTGCTGCAAATACAGACTGGCTATTGTTTGATTCGACGTTGGTGGTGATCAAGTCGACGAGATTGAACAAAATAGGCTCGACAGCATCGTCTGGGTTCTTAGGGGCACTCAGTAGCATCAAGCTTTGCCTCCGCCGAATGGTTGTCGGTGACCTCGGAGGCTGGTCAGCCTTGGCAGGAGTATATGGCGCCGATGTTCCATCTTCAATTGCTAAAAGATAGATCAAGATCATGTGCAGCAAGTCCGGGTACTCCAGAGCGTCCAAAACCGCATTCATGTATGTGAGAACGGCAACCGAGCTTCCTGCATCAGTAGCTGACGACTGCAATATTGATGGATAAAGCAGCTGCTGCAGGAATAATATCTGAAAGTGATCAAGCAGTGTCTGCTTCACGTCCGCGCTCCTGCAGTGGTCTAGCAAATCCTGCCAAAAGGCCAAGTACGAAAGGAAGGTGGTCATGTGTGATGTATGCCTCTGCGAGAAGGAAGACTCGGCAGTCGCTCGTGGGTGCGTGGTCGAGTAGTCGCTCATAGCGAGGACTGCAGGCAGCTCGGCGTCCGCGTGAAGAATGCTCAGTTCACGACTCAGCTGGCTGTATAGCGCTCCCAGACCAGAAGCCATCAATGTTGGCAGGTCACTGGAAAGGACCCACTCTTCTAAATCGAGAGACCGACCAGTGGCTTCGAAAATGTAGAGGAGTCCAGTGCGCGCGAAGTCCCCGATTCGACCTTCGTGGTGGACGCGCTCAATGAAGATATAGCAAAGCGGAAAATCGTCTTTCTGTGTGATGCCAACGAAGCTTTTCTTTTCGCGCACGAACACGTCTTCCAAGTCTGGGTTCGCGGTCGACTGAAACCATACCGGCAGAATGTCCGGCTGGAGGCGGATCTTTGCTGCTATGGTGAAGAGCAGTTCTAATATGGAGGTCTCGGTATCCGTATCGACAAGCACCTCTCCGCTCTCGATGACTTTCCGGACAAGTCTCATTAAGCACTTGGCGAAGTGCTCGCTTGCCAAGAAGTCCTCCTCTTCACTGTCTGCAAGCGAGACGAAGACGGCGATGCTCGATCGAATGACCGGCTCATACTGGCTGACAGTGGCGGCTCTTGCGATGGCAGCGTAGATTTGCTTGCTGGCGGCGAATCGAAAGCAGACATGTGGGACGGGTGCTCGCGTCTCATGTCGCAGCAGAGCAACAAGGCGTGCCAGGAGGACATTGAGCTCGTCCAGAAGAGGAGCTTCGGTCGCGAGGTTTCTTGGTCGGTCGCATAGCTCGAGAATAGTGTTGTATACACGTTTGAATGTATTGAGTCGGGCGGTTGGATCGTTTGCGGGTTTGGGAGGTTTCTTTGGTGTGATGGTGGTGCCTAGCAATCGATTCCAAAAGTCCATCGTTTGGCAGTCATTGTAAGGACACGTAGTCTTCCTCACCTCGCCCAACCACACAGAATCTCATGATTGTTAAGGATTTTAGCGTACCACTGTTTCGAACAGTGGTTTACTTCCGGAGGGCGTTATCCACTGACTCAGTATGGTTTGCCTAGTAATCGACGGTTCTTTTCCTCTTCTGGTACCGTATTAACCTTCTCGGTTATACCGTTAGTTCTAACCTTATCTCTACGGCTCTTATAAGTATATTATAGGCATATAAACTAGGCTCTTTACTATAGCTTATTCTTATCGCTATAGTCGTTATTATTAATAATAATGCCTCCTATTCTATCTAAACTAGTACTAGACTTTAAGCTAGACCGTATACCGTATAATATTATCGATATTCGAGAGTAGCTATTTAACGTACTAGAGTATAGATTAACGTACGACGTAGAGCGGTTTAAGGTATTAAAGCATTATATAAGTAACGTATATAAGGAGATTCGTAGTAATAGGTATAAGGACGGTCTCGAGTAGCGAATATACTAGTATTGTCGTTATCGGCGAGATTAGTAGCGTAACCGAGTACTACTAGCTAGTATTCGGAAAGTTAAATATAATAAAGAGCCGTATAATACTATAGTAGTTATTATATATCGCTTTCGTAAGGGAGCTTCTATACTGTACGAAGTTAGCGTTCGTCGTTACCGAGATAATCCTTCTATAGTAGATAGGGAGATACATTGCTACGACCTAAGGTATATAGATATCCGCTTAGTAAATAACGCCCTAAAGGTGTTTATTAAGGAGTTAATAAACGTCCGGAATATAGAGGTTGCTACGGTGCTAGATTTTATTAAGAATAGACTATTAAAGGATAAATTTAGCAAGATTAGTGCTTAATAGGTTAAAGCTAGAATAGTCGCTTAGTCTAAGATTAAACCTAATATAAGGAAGGCCGATAAGAGTAAGAAGGGCAATATTAACCTCTAAGTCGATAACCTTAAGTTAAGCCTAGCTAAGCTTTTAAAGAACCTCTAGGATAAAGTTAATAGTAAACAGCTACGTTATTAGGTAGTGCGGAAGCGTCTAAAGGGCAAAGAAGAGCGCGGCATTGTCTTTTAGACTATATAGCAGTAGAAGTTATTAGATAGTTAGGCTAGCGATATAAGTAGAGTTATTGTTATTATTGCCGTTATTGCTAGGCATACGGTTATAGTACGAAGGTATCGTAACGGTTGTGCGGTGCAAAAGTTAATACATTCTCTAAGGTGCCGCGAGGCAAGCTATCTATATAATAGTCCTACTATTAGTAGCAATAGCGACCGCAGCGGTCGATAGTAACCGCTGCCTGCTATCGTATATGCAATAGTGTTATATCGTAACAGCCTCCCCCTCTACAAAAAAGGTCGGCACTGTCTATAGTATCCTAAAACAAAGGTCCTTAGTAGGCCGTACTGTAGGAAGGTTTGAGGCAAAAGAGCGTAATAGCGTCGCACAAAGGCTAAGCCTAAACAGTATACTAGAACGGTAATGCTAGGTACAGAATCGTGTCTCTCTAGTAATAACTGCGTCGGTTTTATGCTTGCTTGTTACGACGGTTACGAAGGGCGTCGCGTAAGCTAGTTAGTATAGTCTGAACCGCCTTTAGCTACGGCTAAGGCGCGACGGTCTTTATAGTCTTATTATCGGACAGCGAGGTATTAACTGCGTCCGCTATAGTAGTAGCGCGATCTAACTAATCGATAGGGATATTAGGGAAGTCGGCATCTAGCAATAGTAGCGTATCGGCATCGCGTATAGCACCGTATAGCTTAAAGTAGTCGGCTATCTATACGTTAAGCTTCGCGATCTCATCTTTAGTAGCATTGCCTTATACGCCGCCGAGCAGCTTAAAAGCGTCCTCGTTAATTAGGTATAGTATAGGGATTGCCTATTGCGGCGCGACGCGCAAGAAATCGTAGTAGAGATAGGTTAGCGATAGCGTAAGGGACTCCTTTAAGACTGTAGCGGAAAGACGATACTACTAGGCTATCTAGCGCTTAGTAGCTTCGCGGATCTGTGCCTTAGCTAGCATCTGCTAAAGCTAGTATACCTCGGTTGCTACTAACTCGGACTAGCGTATATAGTAGAGCGCTTGTAAGTTAAGCGTACGTATACTAATTGCCGTCGCATTATATTAGTACTATCTATACGCGCCTATAGTGTTTTCTTATAGGGCGGGCAGAGGTAGTAAGCGTATCGGAAGCGATAGGAGCTTGTACTATAGCTACGCAACTGTATTATTAGGCGGTAGTAGCTAAGCCGCAACTAGAGCCTTCGTAGGCGTAGAGAATAGATTAGATAGCGGCGGCATCTTCGACGGTAGGCGAGGCGCTAAGAAAGGGCTAGCGGTTAGCTTCTAGCGAGTGTTTAACTTAGTCGATAGTAATGCGCGTAAGGAACTTAGCTAGATCGCCTTAGTTAGCGGGGCAACCGGCTTAGCCCGAGTCGCAAGCTCTAGAGGGATGATTTTACCGAATAGGTACGCGTCGGTAAGGTCGGTCTCGTCTAGCGAGTAGTTAGGTAACGGCACTAGGAATGCGCCTATAGGATCCTAAGTATAGTCGATATTATACTACTAGTAATTCTTATTCGTTACTATCTTATCGTACTTAAAAATAGTATTGCCCTATATAATACGCTCCTAGACGCCTAAAGGATCGAAGACTAGATCGGTAGTAGCCGTACGCGGCAAATTATAGAACTGCAGCGTTAGTACGGGCTGCAATCTATTAGGGATAGCGCCGTCCTTAAGTGTCTAAATATAGGCGATAAAGGTAGATAAGGCGTATATCGGATTGATCTACATTAGCTAGTAGACTAGGCTAAAGTCTACTAGGCACTAATAGTTAAGGAGTAGCAGAGGCATACCTTTGCCCTTATTAGCTACATAGGTACCGTTCTAGTAGCGACCGCTACTAGTAAGCTAAGCGTACTGTTCCGTACGCGACGCATTAGTAGCCTTAGTGTCCGCAAGCGCCTTATTAGTACAGAGGGCGGAGGTGTAGCCCTCGCCGCGAAGTATATATACGTTGCGGACCGTAACATACTACTAGGTATAAGCGACGACGTCCTAGGTAATAGCTAGGCGACCTAGGTTGCGACGGTATAGGTAGGGCAGACTACTAGAGTTTAGGGAGGACTTATACTACTTATAGAGCTATATAGCCGACTAGGCGCTAAGCTCTATGCCGATTAGTAGCAGCTAAACGGTATAGTCCTTAAGCTAGGAGTCTAGTAGAGGTAGGCGCACTATTAAGAGTCGTCCGGTAGCTACTATTTATAAGAATTAGACTTCGCCGTAGGTAGTTAGGTCGATCTTATAATACTTAGTCGCTCCGACGTATTTACTAATAGGTCGCTTGCCCGTCTTTTAGTATTCCTTACTGTAATCGCGGTAGGAGATATCCTTACCGTTCTCGCTACGCTTATATAGGACTAGGTAACCGCCTACTATAATACTATTGCGATATTCTTCTAAGACGTAGCGGTCGAACTACTCTCGTACGAGGTTAACCGTCTATAGGAAGTATAGGATAGCGCGTACTACTAGACCGACTGCTCTATTACGGATTAGAAACAGTGCTAGCTAGAATCGCGCGTCGCCGGTATAAGTGCTTAAGCTAAGGAAATTCTTACGTAAGCGGATAATATTTGCTAGGAGTCGATGCTGCAACTTCGCGTAGTAGAAAGTAATAGTTAGCAGAAAGTTCGCGTTAAGGTTAGCTAATTTAGGGAGCTCCTTTAATTCGCCCGCCGTCGTAAGTGCTACGTACTCGCTAAAGCGTATCGCCTAGATCTCCTACTACGTATCGTAACCGTCCGAGTAGAGATCCGTCCTAAAGATAGAGTATTTATAGGCGTAATCGTCGTTTAAGATTCGGAAGGAGCATAGTTGCGTAAAGAATAGGTTTTTAAAATCGGTAACTAGCTTGCCTATATACTAATGCAATTCGCGTAGAATCTAGAAGCGCCGATCGCCCGCGGTAAGGTATAGATAGTATAGGTAATACTAAAGCCTTACTAGATAGTGCTCGACGAGTCGCTTACGTAGGCGTAGGCGAAAGAGGTTAGGCAGTCGACCGTCGGCGTCCTCGGCGTATACGTTACGTACGAGTTTCGCGGCCTAGATAAAGCATATATCTTTAGCCTTGTTGCGCTCTATAGGATCGGCGGCGATTAGTATATCGACCTTCTTATTACAGTCCTTGTATTCTACGTACTACTAGATTGCCGCTTGTTCGGGTATTTCGTTAGTACGAAGAAGACGCTTATTAATTAAAGTCTAGCGCGAGCGCTACCCTCGGAGCCGCCGTCGCTCGAACTTAAGTTCTTTAGGGGAAGGGTCTAGGTATTCTTTATATACCGACTCGATCGGAGTAGTAAGTAGCTTAGAGGGAGCTAGTGCGGGCGCTTGTAGCAAGCCGTTACTCGGCGCCTACGTTAGGGAGGCTAGTGCCTATAATAGCGGTAAATTAGGAAGGGTGTACGCTAGTAAAGATAGCAATTTTGGCGAAGCCGGTCGGTTTGCGGGTATTGTTAAAAGTAGTGCCGATTCTAAAGCCGAAGGCGTATAAAGAGGCTGCGCGCCGACGGGATTAGTCGGGCCGCTTTCCGCACCGTTAACCGGGCTACTAGACGCGTAGGCCGTAGCGTTACGGTAGAGAGCAAAGAAGCTAGGTATAGCGTCCTATAGCTTCTCGGCCTCCGGAATCCTAACCTCTAACGCTTTGCCCTTCTAAACAAACTCCTATTCACCTAAATAGTATAGCGGCGGGTCGCTGTTATTAATAAAATAGTCGGCTATAGCCTTATAGAGTGCTCGACCTGTCTACCGGCCCTTGCCTAATAATACCTTCGCTAATTCCGTTAACTATTTCTTCTTCGTAGTAAGCGCTATAACCGCCTATATAAACGACTTCCTATCGAAAACGTAGTCTAGATTAACCGCCGCGATAACCGCTAGTACGCAATAT